TATCTTTAATATCTAAATTGCAATATTTATCTAAAAAGTTATTGTTGTAATCGATCAGGGTAACCTTATATGAGAGCAGTTCTAATTTTGTACAAACAAAGAATATTTGGAATAAAGAAATTTTTGTTTTGTTTTGTTTTTGATCAAAGGCAGAAAGGTAGCTGGTGTTCTTTGGCTGGTATCAGTGAAGTATCCAGTGAAAGTTACTTTTGTATTTTGTACTCAACTTATGCACAGAAAACTGGATTTGAATGTGGATTAGCTGGTATTGGGAACAAATGATTTCGCAATTAGTGCGCTTTATCAGCAGCCATAGCATTTCCTTTAACATTTTTATTTACATATCGATAATTAAGTTGCCAGCTCTACATGCATCCAAAGAGGGTGAATAGCGTTTAATATGGCGACCGACCGACCAGTGCACTGATCGTACACGGCAACTGCAACCTACGTGACAGGCACCATGTAACCTTTATGTGCCTTTATTGCAATTAAGCAACTTAGTCACTCACTCACCAGTTCAGTCACTCCTCAGTTAACTGTTATTGGATATACGTAGTTATAGAAATAATGAATCACAAGCCCTTACATCCCAATTGCAGCCGTCAACGATCAAACATTGCTTTAGGATACAAACACACAAGTTTTTCTGGGAATTTGCGAATCGAATTTGGCTTGTATCAAAACCGACGCTTCTGATAATTGGTAAATGTCTGTACATAGCTTGAATTTTTCTGCGTCATTAGTAAACAACTGACATGGAATGGAATTCAGGTTTGGCTGTTTCTGAGGAAAGAATAGTACTTTGTCACTATTACATATTTACATATGGGTTTACATACAATATCGTAAAACATTCAACCAATACCAAGTAATAAGTCTTTTGAGGTGACACCATACAGTAAAAGTATATAATTATATGTACCTATGACGGAATTATTTGAAGAAGTCAGTCTGTATGTATCGTGTGGTGTGAGGCACATCAAGCAGAACCTACAAACTCAATTAAATGCATTTTTTTTAATGTAAGTAATAATAATAATATATTCTTTATTTATTTCTTCACATAAGAGGAAAAAGAAACGCATTTACAATAAAGTGCTAAATATTTCATTACCTAATGTGAACACTGGTGCAAGGGCGGATCTAGGGGGGGCGGGGGTCATGGGGGTCATGACCCCCCCTGGGCTGGGTCCATCTGTACCCACTGTGACTTGACCACGACTATATGACCCACCCTGGCGCCAAAGCTGGATCCGCCCTTGGACTGGTGCTTGCAATAGGATAAACCTGTTCTACAAGACACCTCCCAAAACTACATGAACAGAGCAAGTCAACTTAGTACCATTTATGTGGTAAAAGTATTTATTAATATGAGAAGTGCTTAAGAAACAAAATAATAATAACATAATAATAAAATAAAAGGTAATTGTTTGTGTGTGTCTCTCTGTGTGTCTCTCTCTCTCTCTCTCTCTGTGTGTGTGTGTGTGTGTGTGTGTGTGTGTGCGCGCACGCGCCCGTGCGTGTGTGTTTTTGTGTGTATGTATGTATTTATATTTAACTTTTTTTATGTGTTTTATTTATTGCCATTGTTTTATGAATTTACACTTTTATTTATAAGTAGGTAATTAATTCTGTCCCACACAGTACATGTAAGGGTGCAACTACTAGGGAGGTATATTTACCTTACTGTGTCCCGCGGAATTATCCGCGGTTTATTAGGGATACTTTCCCGCAGTAAAACGTAGCTTATTTGTTAATCCAGGGTGTCAGGTAACTCCATACCAAATTTTATTATAATCGATTCAGCCGTTTAGACGTGAAGAAGTAACGATGATACACACACACAAACTTTCGCCTTTGTAATATTAGTGTCATGATAGGTCGACGCGTCGTTACCTTAACCATACGGTAAGTCTTAGATAAATTATTATTGGTCAACCGCAGGATGACCAATCACTTATCTGTGTTATAATTACCTGTGATTTGAGTTGTGTGAACTGTACCCCTAGCACGAACCAATATCGAATTCGTATGGTTTGCGAGTCCGAAATGTCATTGTCAAATATGTACTGATTTTTAGTTCTCGTTACGTACTTTGTGCCGCTGCTGTTCAAGTTTCCATACAAAATTTGACATTGACATTTCGGTTTGCAAACTATTCGAATTCGATAATGGTTCGTGCTAGGTGTACTGTGCAGTGCAGATTCGATAGATATCCACAGGGGAATTACAAATTTAACTCTAATAAAATATATGATGGAGGTGAAACTAGCATACATTGAAGCAGACACATCCAGCAGCGAGACCATCACAAAATTTATTTCTGGCAACTGTTCTGGTGTTTCTTATTTATTTTTAAATGTAAAGGAAATTAATCAAATTGTTTTAAGAGGGTATCCAACGCTATTTTAGAGTATCGGCAAGATGAAATTTCCGCAAAAAGACCTTATATTAAACATATTTTAGGACAGTCTTGATTTATTTAAAAGTAAATGGAAGTAATCTAATTGTTTTTAGATTTGTTTACGTAAAAAATAGCTAAAATCCGTCTTTTTCGCAAATTTGACCTTAGCTGTACTTCATAAAAAGGTTTGGTACCCTCGTGAAAAACGACTTCATTATTTTCTTTTTCTTTTAAATAAATAAGTAGGTAAACCAAAACAGACGACACAAACACGTTTGGTGACGGTCTGTGGTGGGTCCGAGCTACAATGTCTCCTAGTTTCAGATTAATACCGTGCGCTCTATCTGTCTTTAGTTCTGTAATCTGAGGGTATTCCTATCTCAACAACCTAACGGATTCTTTATTGCATTTCCTTCAGTCGACTTAGAAAAAACCACTAAACATCTACTAATAAACATTACTAATTAGCGACCTTTCTATAACACGATCTAGAAACAAAAAGTTAATTGAATTGACGATGGGACAGTCAATAAAAAACCAAATCGATTGAAAACAAGGAAATGACGGTCATTTTGTTAATCTACCTATCTACTACCGGAAAAATGATGATGCAGTCGTAACTGTTCAATTCCAACTAACCAACAATATTGACATTTTAGTTAAATATCAAACAAATATAACTTTATTACGTAAATTAGAGCTGTAGAGTACAGTCAATGATTTTTTTAGCTTTATAGACTACACGTCGGACTCTTTTGGGCGAAAATCGGTTGCATTCAATTTCAATAGTTTATATGCCAGGTACCTTATGTTGTGATTAGGGTTACCATCCGTCGGAATTTATTCGGACACGTTCCGACTTTTTGCCTTTTCTCCGGACTTTGTCAGGCTTTTTAATTTGTCCGGATTTTTTTAATTAGATGGAATATGAGTAAAACTACTTATTAAGTTATATCAAATAAGTCAAATCATCTTTATTAAGTTCTCAATAATATAAAACAAAATATAAATCATCTTTAAAACTCAGCAACGAGACCCCCCTCGCAATGTGAGCGTCTGCTAGCACGCGTATAATATCACTGTAACTAAGTCATTGATGTTTGCATTTTGTGACTAAAATGTCCGGACTTTTATTGAAATGTCTGGCTTTTTGTCAGGACTTTTCAAATTTGGAAATAGTAACCCTAGTTGTGATATAAACAACAAATCAATTGCCAATAAATTAATAAAATAAAATAAAAAACAACAAATTGAATAAATTCACACTTTTACATTACTTCCTTGAGTGTAAATACAATGATAGGGCTGTCACCTTTATCATTTTATTTCTATAATTTCCTCCTCCTCATGATAAATAAGTTATCACACATGCAGAGAGGTTAGTGTATCATATAACATAACAAATATAAGTACATATGAGCAAAAGTATTTGCATATTTTTATAGCTACAATACATTATGGAATATAATAGCTTAATTTTAAGTAACACCTAGCTAACACAACTGATATACACGAAGGGCGGTAAATTTTACAAAATGATGTCAACAAGATGAAGACTTATTATAATGAAAATTTAGTAATAAATAGATTAAACACTGTAGTAACAGTTATAACCCTCAGATATTGATTATTGTTGTGAGAGAATATAAAATGTAAAAATCTCAAGATAACAGCTAACAACTTTGAGGGTTCTTCAAATAATGAAACTACCAATAAAAATTATATTAGTATTTATAATTAAGGGCTGTATTCTTTATAAATATTTTTTGCCAAAGGTCTGAATGTGTAAAAAGTTTTATAAACACTGGGCTATAGATATGCAAAAAAAAAAAAACAAACAAAAATTTGCTTCACAAAATAATTTACTAGTTCAAAAAACTTTTGAGGTATTTGCTTGAGACGTTAATTATAAATATTTTGTATTGTTTCAGCTCTCACTTAAATAACCATAATATTATTGTTTAGTCTTGTTACCTGTTGATTTAACAGTTTCACTGAAAATATACATTCAAGTCAAGGTTTTTGTAAGAATAAGAAATAATATTCCTACTACATTTAACAAGTTGTATGTTTAACAAGAAAGTTAAAACTTGAACTGTTGATTAGTTGAATGATTAAATTGAAAATAGATTTATTAAACTACCTCTTTTTGAAATTTATTGTTGACTAGTTTTAATTCTTATACACACTAATGTAATCAAATGATAATTACCTATAGATATACAAAAACATAAGGAGTTAAAGATACACTTATTTCTCCAAATCATAATAGGTTTATTGGATGTAATCCATTGTCTTTGTTTTAAACTAGGTAAGTACATAGACTTGAAAAAGGGATAAAAATGGATATAATGTAAAATCATAATAAGTGTAATACAGGTGTTCAAATATATTATGGTTATTTTTATAATAAACAAATATCCATTGAAAAAGCTATAGTTTTTAAATGCCTAGGTAAGGTAGGTACCCACTTAGTAGCATAAATTTTTCATCGTTCAATCAGTGATGAGATAAAAACATGTTTAAGCTTTGATTTAGTCAACTCTAGAATCAAATTCTAAAAATTTATTATCACAAAAATCAACGTACTTACAATATGCAGCATACTATGCCCGACGAACTGATGATAAAAACACTTATTTATTGCCCCAACACCAAGTAAAAACACCAAGTTTATTATACTTTAGTACACTATTTGTACAATTACTTCAGTACATCACGTTTATTTCTTTATTATTTCATACCGACTGTCTAATACACATAAAAGCAAAAACGCGATAAGAATTATTGATGTTGGCTGCAACTGCGAACGCACAGTAGTCACGAAATTAACGCAACAAGCGTCTCGTCCGCTATCAGCGCAAATCTTTTGTGATTTTAGGAAAGGAAATTCGTGACATTCTCCTTCCTTTGTTGACAAGATATGACAGATGGTTTGACAGTGATGATGACAGCTTCAAGAAGTTTACAAAGCAAGATTTATCTTGTTAACACTAATAAGTTTTTTTTATAGATATCTATAAAAATAAAACTCAAATTTTAATATCGTAATCAGTTAAACGTTTAAATAAAATAATTCATAATAAGTATAAAAAAAATAAAAATAGAGTAGGATTGAAAAACAAAGCTATATTATCATCTGTGGTTAAGTCTATATAAGTGTAGCCACTCTAAAAAAAATACCCTAGGGTAGGTAATATTTTGTGTTATTTGGTTTTTTTTACACAACTGTACGTATTGATATGAGCCAGTTTGCATACCGAATCTAAAATAACACGTAACTGGTATTTGTTTAAAAAAATCAATATATGTATTACGAAAAAACAATTCAGAAAGTACATTTTTACCAAGAAGTTTACAAAATTGATTTGTTCGTTAAAAAGTCAAGGTACTAAAGCTAAGGCAGAATAATTAGGATGATAGGGAGGATGATTGAGTCGTTTTTAATTGTGTAACTAACATCCATTGCGGCGCACCCGATCTGTGTGTCTGTGTCAATGGCGACGCTCGTAATGGAAGACATACGGCAGACCTTTATGACTCACCGGCTCTATTTGGCTTGTATAGGCTAGAATCCTGTACCCGCATGGTTTTGTTGATTGTCTATTTTTAATAATATTAATGATTATCAATTATTTCTTCATAATATACGTTAAGGAACCTTAAATAGCAATATTAAAAACTTAAGGGACGTGGCCATGAAGCAATTTTCGATAAAAAGTAATTATATTCTATTTCGAAAGCTTCAATAGACTAGGGGTACCTATCTCGTCTATATCATAAATCAGAATCGCTAAGAAATAGCCTCAGTAACTTTACCCTTAAATATGTAACAATTTGCTCTTTAATAACAGTTTTAGCCACACCAGCAAAGTGATAGATAAGCACCATAACTAGAAAGCCCGAGTACAAAAAAATAAATCGAAACTGTCTAGCTTTTATTATGCACTACGCTAGGTAAAAAAGGCGACTGATAGAGAGAAAGCTACAGTTACATACTTGGCTGGGTTACGGGGTAGTGTTGCTGGATAACAGTACGGACGCGCATTTGCTGCTTTCTATGTAAAAGATGTTGATCCGTATCATATCCAACATCGAAGAGACTGAGAGGTGTAGACCATATTTTCGAGAATATCAGATACTTCTTCTACATATATTTTGGAAATGTGCAAATTTGTACGCAAGCATAGCGAATTCTACACTAGACGACAATTACATTCCATCTAGATACACGTTTCGAGTCGAAAATAATTAAATATTGCCTAATTCCAGAATAAAAGTAACAATATCATGCACTTTCCTTTATCTAATAAAATTTATGACAAATTGGCAAATATAATAATTTATTTAATGAAAATAATTACTTGACATTTATAACTAAGTTAAAGTAGGTAATTTCTAATTAATATATGTTACTATAATATAAATGAGAAATATAATTTCATTATGAACGTAAAGGTTGATATATTATATTCTTTGCTAGAAAATCAACTATGAGACGGTATGCGATAAAGACTGATTTATACTTCGGGTAGTACAGTAACGAGATACAGTTTGTCTATAAAGTCGTGACATTAAATGATAGCGCCACTAGTATGCATGTAGCAACCCTGTACAGTTGTACATAAGTTTGGTGTTGCCAGACACATGAATAATGTTAGTTCCTCAAACATTCATGTTACGACTGTGGGAATGCACGCGGGAAGTGATTTTTAAAGTTTTCCAGCGATGTATCGAAGACTACCAAGCTGGACGAATTTTGTTGGATTTGGATGATGTTTATGGGCGAACAGCATCTATGACGGGTATGTAATCGTGAAATTATTTGTTTGTAATTTGCCTGAAGTTACAAATTTACTCAATTTACGATTTTGAGACCAAAAAAGGCATTGTTTACATTGCACATTTTTAGGTTAGATTGGCATTGTAAATAAGTAATATTGTAGTACGACCATTTCTTTTGATACGTTATTATGGTTCAACTCGGTCACGTTTTCTACCAATTTTGAATTAATTGCTTCATTTCAATAAGTTATTGTTTATATTCCGTTACATATATTTTTTCAGGAAAATCGGAGAGTCGGATAGTCAACGAAGGTTTTAAGAATGATAGAAAGTTTTAAACTGCTGGGAAAACAGGCAAGGCCGACCTAAGAAAGAAATGGTCACATAAAGAACCATGGCCAGATGCTTTTAGTGAAGATACCTATCACTAATTTTACTAACTGCACATTTACAAATTATTTCTCTAAACAAACTTTTTATATACTATAAAATGATTTTTAGTATTATTTTCTTAACAAGTGTGTTAAAAAACGTCGTATGATGATACTTGTGTGTATTGATGATTACCTAACGGCTCTGATCTCAATGGCACCTGAGCGGTAATCACCAACATTGACACTATAAGTACTATTTTATCTATAATAATTTCATTCTGATTCAATTAAATATGCTTGGCTAAACTTTTCATAAACTAGGTACCTATGTTTATGAAAAGTTTAGCCAAGCATATTTAATTGTACCTACTATGTATAAAACCGAAACAAAATACGACTTTCCAGTGTGTCTTATTAATTACCTATTTTACTTGAATGAACTGCTAGTATCAAAATCATTTTGGTCCGACTGTATAGGGTTGCTACATGCATATTAGTGGCGCCATCATTTAATGTCACGACTTTATAGACAAACTGTACCTTTCTGCGTAGTTTCGTTTTAATATATTACAGTTTAATCCAAACAATAAAAAATGGTTGCCTGTAAAGTCGGTTTTACGGGCGAAGATTTTACGTGACAACGTCTTTTTCTCGGTAGAATATTTATTGATATGAATATAATTAAATTGCACAATAGGAACAAGGAATTGAATGAAAATAAGAATTGCACAAATTTTAACTATAGAAATATATTTTGTTTACTAAAACATTGTACATGTAAACTTAAACTTAACACGAGAGACTCATCGTAACGTTACCGAGCGTTACACTTTTTCATAAGTGACTCCCAGCCGCAACCTAATTTAAGACGTTGTCACGTCAAAAAAAAACAAAAGGAAAACTGTTCCACAACTGAAACTCGATGACAGCTGATGTGCATAAGTTTGGTGTTGCCAGACACATGAATAATGTTAGTTCCTCAAACATTCATGTCACGACTTTATAGACAAACTGTAAGTTACGGTCATGGCGAGTTCAGTTCTTATCATTGTTTTTAAGAGGATTTGTCAGTTAAGTACATAATGTAACTGTCCGATTTTTAAACTCACTTGCCAAGTGTAGATCCGCTTTGAGTTGTTATTGTTAATAAATTAGATATATAATAATAAATGAAATAATGTTTAAAATAAAACTCATATTTTTAAAACTGTTCGTATTTATTTATTGGAATTTTGAGGACAAGTTCTGGTAACACTGTTCTGTTCCGTCCGTCCATTTTCATTCATTCAGCAAAATCAAAAAAACGACGAAGGAAAAGAAAAAGAAATTTCTTTTATTTGCATAGCTTAAATATATTTATTAGATAATGTGAGTCGGTATAATTTATGTTGTTGGTGTTAATTTTCCATAGCTTTATTGGGGAGATATAAAAAGGACGAGTTTTTAACGGTAAGTTTTGTGACATTTGATAAAATTTATTGTTTGTAAAGTGAGAAAGTGACGGTTGCTTGCTAGTTCTCGTAGCCGCTGCCCGCAGATGCGATCTAGTTTCACATCTTAGCTTTTAATGAGTACGATGCGACTATAAATGAACCGGCCCGCAATTAACTATTTGTTCCGCAATATTGGATGTGTGGCTTGTGGCTATGGCCATTACTTGATTTGAAAGGATTCGTTGAATCATCCTTTCTTGTTTTGTAGACCTGAATGTTTTGTGTTTATCGTGCGATATTAAACACCTACGTAAAAAGAAAGTCAGGTCATAGAATCACTGCATTTTTTACAAGTGAGACACTTAATTTAAAATGTCATGTTTCTACTTCGTGATTCATTATTCATTGGATAAATAATTAATAATAAAGTTGTAAAATATATTTTTTTTCTTTCTACTTTAATATGTCAGTGTCGTTTGGACATGACACTTTCATAAAAGTGTTTCCTGTGTTATTATCATTTTAGCATACAACCTTGACCCTGCAAAGGAAACTATATAAAGTCAACCAACTGGTATTTAAAGGAATGAGTTTTGTTTAAGTCAGGGCTATCAATCATGTTCATATGTAAAGATAGCTTGGATACTATTTTACAGTTTTTATTTAAATACGGTTAAATTTAGTTCATGAAAGAAGTTTTGCATTGTTTTTCATTGATTTCTTTATTACCCACCTGGTCAAACACAAATAAGATTAAGCTGATTGTCTTGTTTATTGTAATATATTTGAAAAATATAGTGAACTGTATCATGTGAGATTATCTTCATTCTTTAGTTTTGTTATGAATAATGTTCTGCATATAATTTTCTATGTTTATCTATCTGATTTGACTATTATTAAATCACAGCCAAATATATAAATCTTGTTTTATAGGAAGAAAGTTTGGTGTAAGTTCACCAGCATACAGAACTAGGTAACCGTTCAAAATGGAAGATGAGAATGAATATAAGAAGCTGCCCACGGATGAGAAATGTGTTCACAAATTATGGAAGGCAAGAGTTGCTGGTTATGAGGAAGCAATTAAACTTTTCAATCAAATTGATGATGAGAAATCACCTGAATGGAACAAGTACCTGGGACTTATAAAGAAATTTGTCACTGACAGCAATGCTGTTGCACAAGAAAAAGGTTTGTATGAGCTATATTAACACTTCAATTTCAGTTATACATCTTTTTTGACTTGAACTTTATTAATTTTATGTTATAATTAAAATGTTCAAGTTAAGTTTCAAATTTATCATCAAATCTAAAAAGCATCAAGCTTTAGACATATTATTCTGTAAAATTAACAAAGAGCAATTTTTCCTTCGTATAAATATAGTTATTGTCAATTGAAGTATCTTCCTGGATTGGAATCCCAATTGTTTGTTTTCTTATAATGCACCTGTTAGTTAGGATAGGAATAAGAGGCTTAGCTTTTAACTTTCCATAACTTAACATACAACATAAATAAATTAAAATTTTCCTACCTCCGTCTATCTCCGTATATCTGTAAATAGAAGGAAGGTAGAAAAAGCAGTGATTGTTTTATCCTGACATAAGTAAATATGTTAAGCCATAAGACATTACTTGAGCCTAACTGGTGAAGAAAGTTTCTGCAAGAAACTAACTCCTCGTTTCTACCAAGAAATGAGTCATATACTAGTGTTAAACAAATCTTATAGAATACTCGTTTTGGCTGTTTAAAACATTCTTTCGTTTACATGGCATAGACAACTAGTATCTTCTTAGTATAAATCACTTATTAACTTCACATATTTTGTTTATCCAACAAGTATTGCATAAAAAGGGTGAACAAGAAATTAGTAAATTTGTATAAAATTTGTTAAATACATGTTAAATACACCTTGGTGTAAATGAGGGGTAAAGAGTTGCTACCCCATTGGTTGCATTAGTTTCAGAAACTAACTTATCATTTAATATAATTGCATGCCACATTCTATACATATTCCTATTTGGTGCCCTTATTCTATTGACTATGCATTGAACCAAAACAGGACCACTGAAGCATATCTTATCCATTCATTCCAATTACGATAAATTACCTCTTATGTATGACTCACTGCTTTTCATTGGTCTCATTTCTTAGATGTATATAACATGGATGCTATGTAGGTTGATGTTTAAAAATTTATTAAATATGTTGGCAATATGCTTCATAAAAATAGCAAAAATATAATGTTATGTAAAAACTTGCATGTCTTTTTTTAACAATACCTAGCTAGGGGACAGACATTTTTGATGGATAGAATCATATTGTTCTGGCACACTTTTCATTGGTGGGAGCTTATGATTATAATGGCTTAATGTGCTTTTCAAAGCACAGCTGAGGTTAGGAAACTAATTTTTATGATCACCAAATTGATCATCAAATATTAACAAATATATAATTTGACCTAATGATTCACATTGAAATTGTAGTAAGGTATAAAAGATCACAATTGATTTCAACTGCTTAGCCAATTACCTAAATCTTACCTTCACGTTTTATTTTGTTGTAGGGCATCTACACGTGCTAAGGAGATTAACTTCAATGTGCTATATTCTAATAGAATTTCTAAAGACTAAAAACTTTTTATAGATGTATTTTGACGACATCCGTGGTCGAGTGGTTTGTACGCCGGGTTTCATGGTGTCGCCGACTCGAGAGGTCCCGGGTTCGAATCCCGGTGGGGGCAGATGTTTGTGTGATGAATATGAGCATTTGTACTCCAGTCATGGATGTTTAATATGTATTTCTATATAAATATACTTATATATGTACAGTATATGTATTCTATCCATTACCCTAGCATCCCATAACACAAGCCTTACAGTGCTTACTTAGGGGCTAGGCTAATTGGTGTGAGTGTCGGAAATATTTATTTATTTATTTATTATTATTTTTTTTACTTAAACAGGTTTATTACTTACTAGCTGTAGCCCGCGGTATTACCCGCGATTTATAAGGGATATTTTCCCGCAGTAAAACGTAGCCTATGTGTTTATCTGTGGTGCCAGCCAATGCCGTCTTTGACCTATTGGAGGCCCTGGGCATATTAGGATAATGGGGCCCCTACGACTTCCGTTTGGTGATTTAGCAGGAACTAGGGCCCCCTATCGATCGCGGGGCCCTGGGCACTTGCCCAAAGTGCCCACTGGGTAAGATGGGTCTGGTTCCAGCTAATTCCATACCAAAATTTATTAAAACCGCTGCAGTCATTTAGACGTGAAGAAGGGTGTGTGTTTTAACAAACACACACCCTTCTTCACATCGCAAAACACTCAAACTCGCCTTTATAATATTATTGTGATTGTTTTACTTATTGTCTCTCTTTTTTCTATTTATGATTAAACTTATGAATCAATTTTGATATGTATATTTTGTTGATTGTGTAAATATTTCCTAGTGTTGATTAAATATAAATCTGAATCATGAAAATTGCTAGATTATATCTTATTTATTCAGAAAACTGGAGATTTTTCCAATACATGCTTGTCTTTTCTGATTGAATCAGAGTCTTTCTAATGGTATAAAAACAATATAACATGAAGATTCTTTAGTCTTCAGACATGTGGTGGGTATTAAAATTTTTACTTATATGTATATTTTATTTTTACCCCGTCTGTCACTTTATTGTTTTTTTACTTTTGCTCAACATATTTACAATTCCATTATCTTTTACCATTTACCATTATGAGTATATGCCACTTTGAAATGGATTTTTTTACTTTCCGATGGCACTCATAATATTTTCATAAAATCTAGGTCAATTTACGTTCAATTAAGTAAAGATAAAAGTAACATCATGGTTTTCAATGGCATTAAACCGAAAGAGCCTTTCAACAAATTCATTGATATTATAGGTGTGAGAATATTCCACACAAAAGTAAAGTGTATTTGTCTTAATTTATTTTATATAGGTCTGGAAGCGGCGTTGGTGTTTGTGGAAAACTGCGGTCATGCTGGCAAAACGGCTGGCGAAGTTATGTCGGGCATTGTCGCCAAGTGCATAGCGGCGCCAAAAACCAAGACTAAAGACTTGGCTTTACAGGTGACGCTATATTGGGATTGAAATAATTATTATACATATTCAAAAAGATCCGTATATTAAAATCACTTATTGAAAAAGCTCATTACGAAGTGTCTGATTATATTGCAGACAAAAATGTTTGGGTTTGAACTGTTCCTATTATTCTAACAGTTTTTCTATATGAAATAAATCATGATTGTATTGGCGTTGTAACAACGTAATGATTTGTAAATGTTGTTACATTATATTTTTAATGTTGTGGAGTTCTTTCGCTCGTTTTTCTCCACAGCTAAAAAATATGTACAATAATGAGTGGTAGGAAAACAAAAATGTGGACGATTCAAAAGAGTTGTACTATACATCCAATATGTATAAAGATATATTGATTTCTGATTTAAAGAATAATATTAATTCTTTCCAGTGTAGGGCCTTTCTTTATTACAGTTTTTACTTCTAGTAGTAGCATTAAGCTCAAGCCCCCTTATTCCAAAACGCAGACTAAAGGTATTCTTGGTTTAAATCTAATGCTGTCTCTGTCTTCTTTTTAGAAAACAAAAATGACAGCAACAATTTTAGTCAGCATTTAGGAATAAGGCAGAAGAAGTATTCACTTGCCAATCGACTTCGAGGGACCAAAGTCCAAAGTTAAAAACTTGATTTTAAATACCTACTTATGCTTTATGTTACCTAGTCAATGAAGAGAGAAAAATTGATGTTTTTGCTACATGAAGCTGAAACTTGCAGACATTGTAGTAGACACATCCAGCAGCAGGATTGTTTGCTAGTTTCAGCTTTTTTTTTACTATTTAAGATCCAATAATTCATTCTTCCACAGGTCACCCTTATGTATGTAGAAATAGAAAAACACGAAGTTGTGGAAGAAGAACTGCTCAAAGGTATGGAGCAAAAGAATCCCAAAGTGGTTGCAGCATGCGTGTCGACTCTCAACACATCACTGAAACAGTTTGGTAACAAAGTCATTGCGATCAAACCTATGGTGAAGAAGATACCATTGTTACTAGCAGACAGAGACAAGGGTGTAAGAGATGAGATGAAGGCTCTGGTCATTGAAATGCACAGGTTAGTTTGTGTGGTATAAAAAATTCATTGGTTTAAGAAATAATTGTGAAGAACTTAAATGATGAGAAAGTATTGTAAAATTTTCCTTGATCACATTTAGGTATCTCAAAGTAATCTTGATTAAGATATTGGAGCTTTATTTTTTATTTCTTAAACATTTAACTGCTAGATGTTTTAAACTAAAGAAAATTTAGCTAGAAAAAAAAACCATGCGGACTAGGAAGCAGACGGGACTCTAACATAGTATTTTTTTTTTATTATTAATGATGATTATAAACTCCTAACAGTTAAATGCTTAAGAAAAAAATATATAACTACAATTGCTATTTCTTCCTTTCAAATGTTTAATACTTGTAAAGGTATTCATTTGGCATTGTGGGTTAGTACAATGCGAAGAGATGGCGCTGCCTTGCAGCCTAAGAAATACTAGAAAGAATTCGACACAGCTATCAGGGCCGCGGTAGCATAATGGCCAGTGCATCCGCCCACATACGAGGGGAGGTCAAAAAGTTCGCGGAATAAGAGGGAAAGAGGTTGAAATTAAACACCAAAATATTTTTCCTTTTCAATATATTCTCCCTTCACCCTAATACAGTTTGCAGATCTCTCAAATAACTTGTTTATACCATCGAAAAAAAATGATTTGTCTTTGGTGTCAAAATAGGCCGAAATTGCGGACTTCACTTCTTCATCGTCGTAAATTTTTTTTCCACGCAGCTCTTTCTTCATTTTTAGAAATAAATAATAGTCACTGGGTGCCAAGTCTGGACTGTAGGGTGGCTGGTTCATTTGTTCGAAGCTGCATCGGTGAATGGCAGCCGTCGCAACATGGCACGTGTGAACGGGTGCATTGTCGTGCAAAAGGAGCACACCTTTTGACAGCTTTCCTCTTCTTTTTTCCTTGATGGCTTCTTTCAATCTTTCTAGTAAAGAAGCGTAGTACTGTCCCGTTATAGGCACACCACGTTCTTTATAATCGATCAGTAAATTACCTTCTGTATCTCAAAAGACAGTCGCCATGATCTTGCCAGCCGATTCAGTCACTTTGAACTTCTTTGGAGGAGGTGTGCCTTTTTTATGCCACTGCATCGACTCTTGCTTTGACTCGGATTCATAGTGGTGAACCCAGGTTTCATCACCAGTAACGATTCGGGCCATAACTTCTTCCTTTCTCTCTCCACAGAGCTCCAAAAACTGGCGAGAACACTCGATACGCTCGCGTTTTTGAAGTGGCGTAAGCATTCTCGGAACCCATCTTGCACTGACCTTAGTCATCCCAAGATGATGATGTAGAATATTCAAAATACTTGTATCGCATACTCCAATCATTGCTGCAAGCTTCTTCTTCGACCGAGCATCTTCCATTACAAGTTTTTCTACTTTTTCGACGATTTCCGGTGTGGTGACCTCAATTGGCCGTCCGGAGCGGGGGTCGTCTTCAATGGACTCTCTTCCTTGTTTGAAAAGACCATGCCACTTGTAAACCATGGTTTTACCAGGGGCAGAGTCCGCGTAAACCGCCAACAGCTCTTGAAAAATAATCTGAGCGGATTTTCCTTGCTTGGTAAGGAACTTAATAACGGCGCGGTGTTCAATTTTCTCCATACTGGCTGACTTCTTCCCGATTCAGTTGTTTGCAGTTCGATAATTCAAAAGTTAATGACCCGATTAGGTTCAAACTTGGTATATATACTCTTATGAGGTGCCTATCTGGATGAGTAAACCTACCCCCACCAACCCCTCCATTCCGCGAACTTTTTGACCTCCCCTCGTAGGTGCGGGTACGAGTCCCGTCTGCTGCTTGGACCGCGTGTTTTTTTTTAAGTAAAATTTTGTTTAGACTTAGAATATTGGATTTAGAATACACGTCAGGAGCTCCATGGCGCAAGTGCTTAGCGCGTTCGGATGCGATCGTTGAAGTTAAGCAACTTTCGCAGTGGTGGATCATTAGATGGTTAACAATAATTCACTATCTTGAGTTCTTCCATGCTACGGTAGTCGCGGTAAGCCTTTGGTCCCGGTTGCATCTGCAGTCGTTAGCACCCACCAATCTGCACTGGGCCCGCGTGGTGGGTCATGGTCCAATCTCCCTATTCCATCACTAGAGAATGCCTGTGCCCCAGCAATGAGGACATTAATAAGGCTGATGAAAAAGCTAGTTTGTTCTTACCTCCGGTAGGGCTGCTTGGTTTCCATAGAAACTTTGACGATAACAATATGAATATGGATCTGTCAAAGTTCGTGCTAGGGGTACTGGACAAGTGTAACTTTTTGTAGTATAACATTTTGTTTAGATATTAAATCTGGCCGTTAAATATTACAATTGCTTTTTCTTCTTTCAAATGTTGTTTCAGGACACTGCCTTGCAGCCTTTATATGGTCCATTGTGAATGTTTAATTTATATAGATAATGGTATTCAAAAGACCTGTTACCGCTACCTCTTTTTAAAATGCATAACGTTTCATTTTTATCATAATACAGATGGATAGGTCCCGCTATAGAGCCGCATATAGCATCCCTACAAGCCGTAGTGCAGCAAGAGTTACGGGAATCCTTCAGCGCGGGTGGTGGGGGCGCGCAGCCTACTAGATATCTTCGTTCGCAGCAACACCGCGTCAGAGATGCGCCTGCCGCTGATTCTGCTGACGGTGAGTGTTGTTTTCAGCTCAACAGATGGATAGGGCTCGCTATAGAGCGCAGCCTACTAGATATCTTCGTTCGCAGCAACACCGCGTCAGAGATGCGCCTGCCGCTGATTCTATTGATGGTAAGTGCTGCTGTTCAGCTCAACAGATGGATAGGGCCCGCTATAGAGCGCAGCCTTCTAGATATCTTCGTTCGCAGCAACACCGCGTCAGAGATGCGCCTGGCGCTGATTCTATTGATGGTAAGTGCTGCTGTTCAGCTCAACAGATGGATAGGGCTCGCTATAGAGCGCATCCTACTAGATATCTTCGTTCGCAGCAACACCGCGTCAGAGATGCGCCAGCCGCTGATTCTATTGATGGTAAGTGCTGCTGTTCAGCTCAACAAATTGATAGGGCCCGCTATAGAGCACAGCCGACTAGATTTCTTTGTTCGCAGCAACACCGCGTCAGAGATGCGCCTGCCGCTGATTCTATTGATGGTAAGTGCTGCTGTTCAGCTAAACAGATGGATAGGGCCCGCTATAGAGCGCAGCCTACTAGATATCTCCGTTCGCAGCAACACCGCGTCAGAGATGCGCCTAGCGCTGATTCTGCTGACGGTGAGTGCTGTTTTCAGCTCAACAGATAGATAGGGCCCGCTATAGAGCGCAGCCTACTAGATATCTTCGTTCGCAGCAACACCGCGTCAGAGATGCGCCTGCCGCTGATTCTATTGATGGTAAGTGCTGCTGTTCAGCTAAACAGATGGATAGGGCCCGCTATAGAGCGCAGCCTACTAGATATCTTCGTTCGCAGCAACACCGCGTCAGAGATGCGCCTGCCGCTGATTCTGCTGACGGTGAGTACTGTTTCCAGCTCAACAGATGGATAGGGCTCGCTATAGAGCGCAGCCTACTAGATATCTTCGTTCGCAGCAACACCGCGTCAGAGATGCGCCTGCCGCTGATTCTACTGACGGTAAGTGCTGCTGTTCAGTTCAACAGATGGATAAGGCCTGCTATAAAGCGCAGCCTACTAGATATCTTCGTTCGCAGCAACACCGCGTCAGAGATGCGCCTGCCGCTGATTTTACTGACGGTGAGTGCTGCTGTTCAGCTCAGCAGATGGATAGGGCCCGCTATAATAAAGCGCAGCCTACTAGATATCTTCGTTCGCAGCAACACCGCGTCAGAGATGCGCCTGCCGCTGATTCTACTGACGGTGAGTGCTGCTGTTCAGCTCAACAGATATATATGTCTAGTATTGTTAAAAAACTTCGGTTATGTCATTATTATAAAGTATTGTTTATTTTCAAAACACAAAAATTGTCTCAGAAGCAATAAATTCGAAGAGTATTTTTTTTCTAGTAAATTATTCTGTAGATTTAGACATCTAGCAGTTAAATGCTTAAAAAATAAAAAACAAAAATTCGAAGATGTTTTTTGATACAGGGTTGTCAGTTGGTAAAAACATGTTTGCATCTACAATGTTTTTGCTTTCCGAGCCCGATGGAAAGTACATACTCGAATCCCCCTCGCCGGGACGAGTTCCCGACCTACGAGTACAACTTTTCATTTGACGTGTTCAATTTTGAATAACATGTAAGAAGCTTTTGTCAAATCTGAAATGTTGCATCTAGATCGTAGTTTTTGAGCGTAGCCCTGTGGGTTTTATGTACGACAGCAACGTGAGCAGTAGACGTCGTGTGTAGAGAAACATGTTTCAGAAACAAAGTTTGCGTATGTGTTAATGTTGAATGTTCTCAAAAAAACTTGCTGGAGACCTGGCTTTAGTTGAATCGAAATTTAGCAAATTTATTTTATTTACTCTTTATTGTTATTTACAACAAATGGCGGACTTAATGCCACATGGCATTCTCTACCAGTCAACCATCGGGCTAAGCAGAGACAATTATGCGGTAAAGTAAATAAAAGCAAAAGGTGAAAGGAAAAAAAAAATGATAAAACTACATGATACTTAATTATAATACATAACATCTATAAATATACTTACATAACTACATATATATACATTTCCTACTAATGGACCTTAATTGTATATACCTTGTCGTTGTATTAGGAGCGGCTGAAGACGACGACGCAGAGACTGGGGGCGGTGATTCTGGCGATGTGGACGCTTACGAACTCCTCGACCCTGTGGAAATATTGTCCAAGCTACCTAAAGACTTTTACGATAAACTGGAGCAGAAGAAATGGCAGGAGCGAAAGGAAGCCTTGGACTCTTTGGACAACTTATTGAAGACCGCTCCACGGTTGGAGCCTGGGGACTACGCTGACTTGGTTAGAGCTTTGAAGAAGGTATGGTTTTTATTTTAATTAACTGCAGTTCACTAGTTGTGCAGCCCTCTAGAAAGTATACTCGTTTGCACGTGCTATACTTGTGATAGTTTCAAAACGGTTTAATGTATACTTTGTCGACGTCTGCACAACTATCGCAATGCAATTAATTGCAAGTATGTTCTAACAGTAAATATCAAAAAGTTGTTTTTTTTTTAAATTTTTATGCAGAATAACGTTGTTCATCATTAGAATTGGTGATCACTGATAATGTTTTGAAATCCTCCAATTACTGTCTACTTTTACAATGGACATTGCAATTTTTATATTTTATAGTCTCATTTCTTCAACACATACCAATTAGCTCTGAAGCAACCACAGTTAGGAGTGTGTTATGGAATACTAGGGAACGGATAGAAATACGCATAATTATTCACTCAGAAGTTATTTTAAAAAATAAACAGCCATGACTTGATTACAAATGCTTGTTTGTCTTTATAATTTACTACATACCTACGTATTGATTATTAACTATAATATAGTTCAGTTAAGATTACACAAAATTTAACCTTACGCTAATGCAATAAATTCGTTATTCAGGTGATATCGAAGGACACAAACGTAATGTTGGTGGCTTTGGGTGGTCGCTTACTGGGAATGGTGGCGACAGGACTTCGGAACAAATTTCAACCTTATGCGACGGCCTGCGTTCAAGCGATATTAGAGAAGTTCAAGGAGAAGAAATCGAATGTAGTCGCAGCTTTGAGAGAGGCTATTGACGCTATATACCCTTGTGTAAGTGATTTTTAAGCGACTTCAAAAAAAGAGGAGGTTCTGTGTTCGACTGTATATATATTTTTTTTTTTTATGTATGATTACCGATTTTTCCGTCAGTTATGAACCGATTTCCAAAATTATCTTTTTATTCGAGGTCCCATTGGAACCAAGTCAGGATCAGGGGGCGATTCGCCTAACGGAAATGCTCTGGAAAACGCTAACGCTTTCGATTTTATTTTGTTATTTCTGACCGCCGAAGGTTTTCAAATACCTCACGTTATTTTTTTTTAATATTGTTATTACCAATGCAAAAGAAAAAAAAGAGCGCGTGGCATTTGATAACCTCAGGCGGCTAGGAATAACAAAATGAAATCGTAAGCGTTAGCGTTTTCCAAAGCATTTCCGTTAGGCGAATGGCCCCCTGATGGCGGAATCCGGGGAAATCGAGGGAAACCTTTAAATTTCAAAGGCACGCACGATTTCTCCGTCAATTGTGTTATTGTTTACTTGGACAATGTAATTTTCACTAAAATGGATGAAATAAAAAAAAAACAAAAAAAAAATTGAAACATTAAATAGATTTTCGTTTCTGATCCGTAATAATACGTCTTTCAATCTTGATCCGCCCGACTTCCAAATCATTAATCAGATATTATTTTTTACGTTTTAGTTCCATTTTCGATTTTGAAGTCCGTTTTATATTTTGTTTTGAGTTAGTAATGTTGTTGAAAAGCTTGGACAGCCCCCCTAGCATGAGTAACAAAACGCGATATGATAAAGCGATTTATCGACATTAACTGTCAAACTACAATGGAGTTTGACAGTTGACTGTCGATAAATCGCTTTATCATATCGCGTTTTGTTAGTCATGCTAGGGGGCATGACTAGGTTAAAAGTATTTTTTTTTTCTAACACCTGCTTGTGTTTTTACCACATATGCCATACGATATGTATCCCATTTAAAATTGAATTAGTTGTCTAAATAATAATTTATTATTTCTAGTAACAATGTAATTTTGTCGCTCAGTACATATAAAAATAGCGCCACAGGTCTTCAGACTATACAATAAAGCACATTCACTTCAGCTCGCAGGCTAATGGTCAAAATTAACAGTTACGTAATTTGTGTCGTAAAAAAATAATGAGGTATTATTTACAAACATGTTTATGTTATGTTTACGAAAACCAAGTTTTTTCCAGATTTTTTCCATAATTTTGCAGAAGTACTGCAAAATTAAGGAAAAAAATCTAATGGTAGATGATAAGGGAACCATAAGAGTTATATATAACCATTATCAGAGTTATATATAACCAACCAACAATGATTCAATTTGAGTTATAAATAATTCACAATGATTTGAGTGAAGTTCTGAATTTGTATTCTGTACAAAAATTACAATATTAGATTTAATCCTCAAGCAAACTATTTAAAAACTGTCAACTAATAAAAATATTTAACCCTACTATTTCTAGACTAACTTGGAAGCAATTATGGAGGACATGCTAGCAGCATTCGACAACAAGAATCCGTCTATTAAAGCGGAGAGCTCATTGTTCCTCGCCAGAGCTCTGTGTCACACTCAACCCGCTGCTTTCAACAAGAAACTCATCAAGGCTTACGTCGCTGGGCTACTGAAATTGCTGGAAAGTGCTGGTGAGAAAACTAAACTCTGTAGAGTATTTTTTAAATATTTGTGAGTTGGGGCAATGCGAGTAACAGTTACTTTTGACACTTTAAAACAGTGGTCCTTAACGGTGGTTCCGCGGATCACTGCTGGTCCCTGAAACCATCTGAAATGACCTACAAAGCAAAGCTATATGAAAAAATATTACATAATAAATTTTGACAAATGGTCCGTCATCACTAAAAGGTAAAGAACCATTGCTTAAGAGTGTCAGTAAAGTTGTAGTTCTTGCACTATGAATAAGCTTCTTACTGCGGAGTAATGAAGGGGCTGTCCTTTTCAAATTGTATTTTCCAGCATGGCCTCCACTGTATTACAAACAGATTTATAATGTGCAAAATACTATTTATCGGTGAATCGTATTTTTAGCTTTAGATAAACTGACTACTATTTGAGGAGCTACTGAACATACATAATTACATTGTTGTGGTTTCTACGTGACATACATAAAATTAAATTTTCCACTTCCACTTTAGATATTATGGCTCCATCGTTATGCACGATGATTCTGCCAATGTCAGGGTTAAGAAAGGCACTGTAATATTGGTATTCTTCTTTGTACGGTGTGGTAGCCCGGTTTCCTCGTGAAGTTATCGCGTGGAGTTGAGATTCTAAAATAGGACAACACATATAACGTCACTAGCAGACATGTACACTAGCATACAAATTGTTAAGTGTCTTTATTATTGTATTCAAGCATTGGATTGTAAGAGATGACATAGCAAAGTATATAAAGGATTTCGACATCATAGGACAATTGTTTGCGCGTTATAGCGACAAAGTGTCGGTATAAAGTTAATGTAAATGGACTATAAGGCATGCAGTTCCAAACACGAAATTAGAAATAGGATGCGGTGCGTGTGGTACAAAGAGGGTTAAAGGTTACCTGGCTCTCAATGCTGCTGCTGCTGTAATTCAACCTGGCGACCAGCCAGCGGCTTGGGCTAGTGGTCCGTTCCCTTTTTTTTTCTTTGTACGCACTTTTAATTCTTGCTTATTGTTACACACACACAATCGATGCACACAAACAGTAGTTAGTTCCCTTTATATTAATTAGGTAATTAGAACTTAAGCGGTTTGCACGATTTTTCGGCGCGGGAGAGAAAAAAATCGTTGCGGTAGCTAGCTCGGTTCGCGATACAGTGTCTTCGTCTTCGCCGATGATGCTATCCCTTTTTCTTGGTCGCGGCGTAGTGGGCGAGAGCGAGAGGGAAGGATGGGAAGAAAAAGGTGTACCACACGCGAAATAATTAAATTATGAATGTTGAAACAATGGCGCGAACATCCCCCCCACCTTAAAGCGTTGCCTTTAAAAAAAAATACTTGTTATTTAGTAAGATGTAATGCGGTGGATATAAATAAATATAGATAATTATAAATAAATACAAATAAGCGGTGTCTAATGTAAAAGTGTGACAAAAAAAAACTTATTGAGTAGGGAGCAGACAAAGACGTACCACAGGTCGAGTGAAAGTACCCCTTGTGGTACGAAATGAAACAACTCTAATTAAACCATCCCTAGATGGGTGAATCTTCTCTATTACCCCTAGCGGCCATGATAAGGGAGGAGAGTTATCGTTAATAATTATTACAACCATTCCCTCCCTCACTCCTTCTTTATTGATGTTCCACTTTTGTCGAGATTGCAAACCAGACAGATATTCGCGCTTCCATCTCCTCCAAAACGTTTGAACCAATTTGTCCATTGACGTATGCCTTTCAAGAAGACGCTCGGGTGTGGTAGCTATCATGGGCGCGGGCAATGAATTAAGCGGAGAAGTATTAATAAAATGAGCGGGAGTTAAAGCGGTTGGCTCGGATGGGTCAGCGCTAAGAACTGTCAGAGGACGGGAATTAACCAAACACTCAATTTGTGTGAGAATCGTAATAAGTTCTTCATAGGACAAAATTTGTTGACCTACAACCCTAAAGAAATGGTTCTTTACGATTTTCACCATGGATTCCCAAGAACCACCAAAGTGCGGTAAAGCGGGTGGAATAAAACGCCAATCGATGCGGTTTTCTAAAAGCTCTTCTTGAAAACTATGTCGAAACTCCCCATCGATAAATTTATACAGATCGTTCAAATAGGACTTCGCGCCCCTAAAATTGGTGCCATTGTCAGAATACATCCTTTGAACTGGCCCCCGACACGATAGGAACCGTTTTAAAGCGGCTATAAAGCTTACAGTGCTCAGGTCGGTGGCAACTTCGATATGAATTGCCCGAGTTGTGAGACAAGTAAAGATGCAAAATATGCCTTACGACTCCTAACACCTCTGCCACGAATGGGAGTATACTGAATAGGACCAGCGTAATCGCATCCAGTATGTATAAATGCCTTTGTAGACTGTACTACGCGTTGTGGTGGAAGATCGCTCATAAGTGGAGGAGCACAAGGGCGCGGTTTTAGCTTATAACATATGTTGCATTCATGTATCTTCCGACGAATAAGGCTTCTCGCGGATAAAATCCAATAACGCTGCCTAAGGCATGACATTAAAAGCTCAGGTCCAGCATGTAAGAATTTTTTATGGTAATAATTAATTAAGAGTTCCACTGTGCGGTCATGACGCGGCAAAACTATGGGATGTTTGACATAATAAGTTTCATTCGAGTTATTTAACCTGCCTCCTACAAGAAGAAGATCGTTATCTAGAAAATGTCTTAATTTAATTAACGAACCCGTAGACTCAAGATTATTTTTCAAATTTTCAATTTCCTTATAAAAGTGTTTCTGTTGGACATGTCGCCACAAAAACAACTCGGCATAATTTAAGTCGTTAACAGAAACCTTCTCGCGGCGCGGTAAAATTTTAATAAATCTAAGCACATAAACTATAACGCGGATTAACTTAGACCACGAAGAAACGCGATCCGCGATTAACAAAATAGGAGATGTAAAAACTTCAGAAGTGGAAACAATATAAGAATGTATCCTTTCATCGGGAATAGTCTCATCTGTATTTAAACCACTAAATTTATTTATAGGCCATTCATCGGGACACCCTTGAATCCACAAAGGGCCCTTAAACCATAGCGGATGTTCAATAATCTTATCTGGTGTAAGACCACGTGACAAACAATCAGCGGGGTTGTCCACACCGGACACATGAAAAAAGCGTTCAGCGGGGATGCTATCAGTAGCTTTTACAACGCGGTTTGCGACGAAAGTATGCCACCTGTGAGGAGGTGAACTTAGCCAACAGCGGGCCACCTTAGAATCTGTGAATGCGTAGATTGCAGAGACACTATGGCGGTTGTTATAGGTGTCATGAATACGTCGAAGAAGTTTAGCCATCAGAACAGTAGCACAAAGCTCCAACCTTGCTACGGACGCAGGTTTTACAGGGGAAACCTTAGATTTTGAGCAAACTAACTTCACAATAGTTTCATGACCCTTGGTAATATGAGCGTATATAACCGCACCATAGGCGCGCTCACTGGCATCTGAAAACCCGCATTGCGGCATTCGATGAGACGCGGGTATGTGTTGTAAGACTTTCTTAGAATTACTTGACCATTTAACCAAATCAAATTGTCCCCTTTTGAATAAATTTATTAATTGTTGAGAAGCACCAATGGCGTCTACTTCCGATATCACGGAAAAAACTACGTCATCCATATACAGCGATCTATTAATGATATCTCGGGCCTTCGGAAACTCGTCCCCATTGTCCCCCTCGTCCTCAACAAGCTTATGTATGACGCGTAGCGCATGGTATGGACTTGACTTCAAACCGAAGCAAACGCGGTTAAATTGATACAACAGAAGCGGATCGTTACTATTAAAGCGGTAAAGTATGCGTTGAAAGCGCCTATCGCTCTCTTTGACTTCAATTTGCATAAACATTTGTTTGCAATCAGCAGATAAAGCGACTGGGAAAAGGCGAAAATTTAAAAGAATGTTAAACAGGTCAGCCTGTAGATTAGGTCCGCTGTGTAATATGTCGTTGAGTGAAACGCCTGAAGTTGTCTTACAACTAGCGTCCAAAACAGATCGTATCTTAGTGGTGGATTTATCCATGCGTATAACAGCGTGATGCGGTATAATATAATCAGGACGGCAATCGTAAGCATCGACTGAAACCGCCAAAGGTGACAAATATCCCTTGTCTATACAATCCTGTATAACTAGATTATAATCGGAACGCAAACCAGAAACAGAATCTAGTTTTCTTTCTAGGCAAAAATATCGTTTGCGCGCGATTTCCAATGAGCTACCCAGCAAAAAATCGTCAGAACGAAACGGCAAAGAAACCATACCTACCACTCACTTTATCACGCGCGGTAGTCGCGTTGAAATAATGTTCACACTCAATGTCTTCCGATGAGTATTGTGCCTTATCTGATATTGGCAGCTCGTCTAGTTCCCAAAATTTTCTCAACATGGTATCAATCTCAACCGTACAGCAATAGGCTAGAGATGTATTATTTTTCGGTTGCATCAATACGGGAACCGTGCCCATGACCACATAACCTAAGGTGGTGCGCATGGCGGGCGGTGTGAAACTATTACTACGCACGACACCCGGAAGAAGCAGATGAGAAAATAAATCGGCACCTATAAGCATATCAATACGCCCAGGTTTACCAAAAGACTCGTCAGCGAGCGGGAGACCTTGTAGGTAAGGTAATGAGGAGACGTCTACCGACGTTTTGGGTAAATTATCCGTGATTACATCGACCACGAGCGGAGAAATACTATATTTTATATTTTTATTGAAACGAGATGAGAATTGAATATTGATTAAACCGTGAACGGATTTTTCAACACCACCTATACCCCTTACTTTAGAATGCGTACTAAAAGTATAATTATTTAATAAACCCAAACGTTTAGAGCAATCGGTTGTAACAAAATGACTCTGCGAACCACTATCTAACAAACAACGAACGTAATGTTCTTTAGCGTAAATATCATAAACTACGACCACCGCCGTTGCCAACAAAACCGTTACGGGCTTATTATACTGCTGGTCTAGCTCGCGACTATTCCGGGCGGCAATGGACGTATTACACATCGACACCTGCGCCGACGCGTCCTTATCACAGTAGCGCGCGGTCACAGACTCAGATGACGTGCGGCGCGATGGCGCGTTGGTTGTAGCACTCAATGTGTGCGCGGGTGAATCAATAGCGGAAAGTACATGGTTCGACACTGGAGCTGCGGGTAAATTAGAGTTACGGGGCTCGAAATGTAAAAGAGTGTGGTGACCTTTAGAACACTGCTTGCACCTCATATTTGAATTGCAATTAAAAGTTTTATGTTTAATACTTAAGCAATTTACGCAGCCGTCGCGTTCTTTAACGGATTTAAACCGGTCACTAGGCTTTTTGAAACTGGAAGTGTCTGGCTTGGAAAGCGAATTAACATTCTGCATAACTCGTAACTGATCCTTAATAAAACTTACTAAGCTATCAAATGTAGGTATTTGTACAGACTTCGAACTGAATTCAAACAATTGTAATGATTCCGAATCCAATTTTTTAAGAGCGATATGTAAAAATATAAAATCCAACAGGTTATCGATTTTAATGTGTTTGAGTGCGTTAATTGAAGACACAAACTTATCCAAAAATGACTCAAAGTTATTTACGGATGCGGAAGAGAATGGTTTGTGTTCTAATATTTGCGTGAGGTATTTCGAAGCAAGCGTTCTTTTGTCTTCATATTTATCAATAAGCGCGGTAATTATGAGATCGTAATTTTCACCACAAGGCGTAATCCCAGCAAACACAGATTGAGCCTTAACTGAGAGTTTGCCCATTAGATAATAAAGTTTTTGGGAGGCAGTAAGGGAATCATTATCATGGACAGAACCAGCATAAAAGAGCGGCCACGAGCGAACGTCTCCGTCAAAGGACATCAATTCAATGGGCGGTAAGCGACATTGCGACTTAATCGGCCTGTTAAGTTGCGAATCATCAGAAGACGAAATTTTGTCGAGTTTATACTTAATACGACAGTACATATCCTCAAAAATAGACCACGACTGGTCTTGAATTGCAGTTTTCGGGTTTAATTTTAAATTTAATTCGTTATAGGTATTTATGACGTCATGATATTCGTTTCGAATACATTCTAAATTAACGCAAGACATTAAAAATTCTTCCCTAACATTCTCGTCACTTATATTCTTCAAACTATTAAATATAGTTTGTAAGCGGGCGGAAATATTGCCGCGGCGATTTAATGCAATTTGCAATTTAATTTCGTCGTCTGATAAATGCATTTCTTCTTTATTAGCTTTAGCCATTTTAAGTTTGTAAAATAAAACGACGTATTTAAGCGAGATTCAGAACTAGCGAATGTCTATAACGTGCGCAGATAATATGCGGATTGCGGGTAAGTATATAAAACAACTGATTGAGTTGAAGCGGCTCGATACAGCTAGTGGACGATTTGTGAAGATAAACACAAATTGTTATTATTATAATAGCGGAGTACGTATGAGATCAATGGTTGAATAAAGTACGAAAACTCAATATGGTGCGATGCTATACGTAGCAATAGGAATTTATTACCTAAGTAGGTATAATGTGGTACAATATTGTTTTTATAATATTTGAATGAAATGCGAGCGGTTTAATTATGAGCGGTTAAATATAAAATTCTAGAAAATATGGCGAAAACTAATGTTAAATATGTGAATGTATAGTGTATGTAACGTGTCATAAAAATATGCGAAATTGATAAACAAAATGGCGTAGGTAACGCTGTTGCAACAATTATCCCCATATAACGGATAGGTTTCTACATTGAAATTGGGTTATATTTTAATGAAATGAAGCGGGAAACTTAATTATTCTATTATGTGAGGCGTAAATAGCCGAAATAAGTATGGATCGCGGCCGAAGGACCATAAAAATGTTTGCGCGTTATAGCGACAAAGTGTCGGTATAAAGTTAATGAAAATGGACTATAAGGCATGCAGTTCCAAACACGAAATTAGAAGTAGGATGCGGTGCGTGTGGTACAAAGAGGGTTAAAGGTTACCTGGCTCTCAATGCTGCTGCTGCTGTAATTCAACCTGGCGACCAGCCAGCGGCTTGGGCTAGTGGTCCGTTCCCTTTTTTTTTCTTCGTACGCACTTGTAATTCTTGCTTATAGTTACACACACACAATCGATGCACACAAACAGTAGTTAGTTCCCTTTATATTAATTAGGTAATTAGAACTTAGCGGTTTGCACGATTTTTCGGCGCGGGAGAGAAAAAATTCGTTGCGGTAGCTAGCTCGGTTCGCGATACAGTGTCTTCGTCTTCGCCGATGATGCTATCCCTTTTTCTTGGTCGCGGCGTAGTGGGCGAGAGCGAGAGGGAAGGATGGGAAGAAAAAGGTGTACCACACGCGAAATAATTAAATTATGAATGTTGAAACAATGGCGCGAACAACAATGTTGTTACCTTTTAAAAACTTTCCCAGGACTTTAATAAAGGGTGTATTGACCTGCGTTAATAAGAACGGAATATTTACTGGTCTAGGGATATTTTTAGGTAATAGGTCATATAAATGTACCTGGATATTCAGGCATCTAAAGAATATGTGTTCCACGGTCCTCACACAAGGAGTTATCCCGAAATTAAATTTTATAGGAGCTGTATAAAACTGAATGATATACCTACAGTGAGGTTTAAGCATGGTTTTCAATTTATAAATTTAGTAAATTTAAGACTGTTTTAGGTGGTTTTGATTGAAAATTATTTGAGATTCAAATTCAACGTGCCCGAAACCTCCAGACTGTAAAAAAAAAGTAGTTTGACCAGATGTGTAATTTAACTGTTTTGTTTGCCTCATTTATTGCTTCAGCTTCAGCAGCTTCTCATTTATTGTCACATGTGTGTGTGCAATATGTAAATTTGATATTTGAATATATGTCTTATACTTCAGCTACTATAATCGTGGGCGGATCTTTATAAAGAAATTAATAATATAATAATATGTTTATCATTATTTAGACCCATCCGTCAGAGATGCGGCTGCAGAAGCTCTGGGTACTGCGACCAAGCTCGTCGGCGAGAAGAATATCGCTCCACATATCGGCAAGATCGACAACTTGAAGGAGCAGAAGATTAAAGAGTTTGCTGATAAGGTGAAGTTATTTTATTGGTTTTGTTTGGATTTCACCTTAAATTGGTTGATTTCGTATTCCTTTTTTTAAGTAACGCTCTCATGAATTAGTCATGGTAAGCAACACTCGAAAAATGTTTCTGGTTGTCGATTCTATTAAGTTCACTCGTAATTCAATTGTGTCTCCATGGTCTTTCAATGACATTGCTGTTTCATAAAGTTTTTGATTCTAAAATTTGTGTTGTCTATATATCTTAATTTTATGGTAAGCTTGATGGCACAGATGTGCTCAATGGGGCAAGTTTTATAGGATGAGTGAGTGTGTAGACATTAATAGGCTGATTTTGATGATGTCAAAAACAAAAGTATTGAAACACCACTGTGAGACTATTTAAGATTTCTAAGCAGGATCGATACTCTACGCTCATAGTGGTCGCTTACTTTTTAGACAATCAAAAATGCTTACAACCTTTTGAAATTGCAACAATTTTTTTCCTATTCTTGCTGTTTACAATAAAATGAAGTTTCAAATATATCTTTATTGACATATTTAGGCCGTGATACAAGTAAAGGTTGCAGCACCGAAAAAAGAAACGAAGCCCAAAGCCGCGGCGCCGACTGCCAAAGGCGACACTAAGTCTACGGCTGGATCTACACAACCAAAGGCTGTTAAACGGCCAACTACGGGTTTGTATTCATGTGTTGGGTTTATGAAGGATCTCTGAATATTCGACAAAATCAGACTGATACACAACTATTTATTTATTTTTATTATCAATATCCTTTATTTTTAGGTAACCATTTATATTTCTATAAATAATTGTTTTTTTTAATACTGGTTATCATGTTTCTACTTCTTCTGAGTTCTTCTAACTCTATGGGTATTTTGGCTATGGTCTCCAAATCTCTTTAGTGAATAACTGTTCATATCTTTCCCTCAGGCAGATTTTACAAAATTATAGATGTAAAAGAATATTTGTAATAACATTTTTTAATAATGTAATATCTCATATCAAACTTGGTCCAATATATGAATAGTGAAAGACGTTCTCAAACTTTCCTGTTAGGATAGTAGCAAAATTTTTCTATATCTGAAAGCCTTTATTCACAGTCGCCCTTGCGGAGATTGGCACCCACCGTAGGCAAGTGGGAGCAATAACTTCATTCCCATTTGCCTCGGGTGGCAATCCCCACTGGGGCGACTGGGAATAAAGGTCAGAAATGTGTTTTTAAATAAAACAAGTTTCAACGGTATAGATGCACTGGTTTATAGAAACAGATGTGTCTTTAACTATAAAATTCGCAGGTTTAACTAAAAAGCCGGCGGCTAAGAAGCCGGGCGTGGCCAGTAGGGGAGTTTCCACGCCCCCACGAGAGGCGGAACTGTCGACTGAAGAGGTGGATGCTGTCGCCACTGAACTGTTAGGGGGAGATGTGCTTACAGGTACTGATGTAGATAAAGAGATGGTTAAAATGCGATTCAACTAAGAATAGGACCGACTGGTCGCCATATTGTGACGACATAGCTGTCAGTTCAAACCAAATAGGTTGTAGTGAGCAAAAATTTTTTATTTAATAAAACTTATTTACTGAGATTAAGTAAGGGAAAACATCAGTTTTTTTAATAAAAATTTATTTACTAAGATTGAGAAAATTCAATGCCGCTCATCTCTGCATTACCGCCGGAATAGTTATGAATAATCATGCACTATTACTAGGTCACATACGAATCCTTTATGTAAACGAAAGTTTTAAATCGAGTTTCTGAACGCAATTTAAAGTGACATTTGGTTGACTATTGAGGTTATCAACCATTCATCAAAGCTTAATAAATGAAAAAAAAATATCAACCAATATTAAATATCAATATTTGTTATTATTTGTTTACAAATGTTTGATTTTTATTCTATAATTAGTTCAGTGCTAAAAAAGGGTTCCAAGATTTTTTGCAAATCGTAATTTTTAAGCAACATTTGACAGATGGAGGTCATTGGCTTTCCTATTCTTATTTGAATCGCGCTATAAATGTAAATATGTGTTTATACATATAACACACCCTCGCGAAAGTCAGAGTTGGCGACCGAAGAGGCAGATGCTATCGCCACTCAACTATTAGTCGGAGATGAGCTTACAAATACTAATATAGAAGTACGATGCATGCATATCAATTTGTGGCCTTTGAAAGGGCCTTTTTGTCGTTGGATATTACTACGCAATACACGCCAACAAAGAAGAAGATGATTATGTTTTAATGCCAAAATGTGTTTATACATTTCCTATATTAATAAAACCAAAGATGAATGATATAGGTATATTTAAGAAAATTAAATAGCGTGGCAATTCGAGTAAGGTAAAGTAATACACAAATTCTGCAGTCAATTTTGAACTCTCATCCTTACCAGTAAAGTTGGAAATCGGTTATAAAATTTCGACGAAGGGCAATGCCCACTTTGTATGGAATTTTGGCTCAATGTGGACAGACAGTTTAACAAGTAAGACTATACACTGCAAGAAGTTTAAACTACCCAGGACCTTTGAATCATTATAATTTTGTATCTGTATCCTATAAAACATTTTTAGCACTGCAATGAAAAAAGGTAATAAAACCACAAACAAGCCATTTTTGTTACGATCTATCATATTCCATGTCATTATATTACCAATATGATTTCTGGACAGTGTCTATGTCTATTTTCCGTTACACAATTAAATAAAATTGAAAATAAACATCTATTCTTAATATATGCCGCGACAAATATGGCGAGCGACGTCACATGCATAATACCAAATGTCTAAACCGAAAAAACGCAGTGTTCTTTTGACAGCTTGGGTGCGTTCCAAACCTACGCACTAAGTACAACTTTTCACTCTGACGTTTTAATTTTGCCATTATGTATGAAACTTCTATTGAATTTGTCATTTGGCGTGCCGTTTTCGCTCATGTGACATTAGATAACTAATAAAAGGAAGTCATCGTATTATTTTCATTTAATTTTATTATTGATATTCATGAAACGCTCCACCAAATTGGTTAAAAAAGAAATAAAATAATGTCGTAAAATTTTTGTTTGCCAAGCACCTTAGTGCTTCCACGCTGAGCCTATTTTAGGCATTGCCCTTTAGTGTGTGGACACAAGTCCACTTTCAAATATAATATTACAAGCTGTGCTTAGATTGCGACTAAATATTTGCTATCCGGAATTTCTTTATTTATTGACTAGTGGCCCGCCCTCGCTTCGCTTCGGTGTAAAGCTGTAGTGTAGACTATAGTTTTTGTTCTCAGGCTTGTATTATACACAATGACATTCTTCTAATACCCAATTACAATAGGCACGCGCCGCCAAGCCCGGTAGCGTCGGAACCGCTATGTTCCTGAATTTTAAATTTGTAATATCTTCGAAAATATTCATTTAAATTATATGCGTTACAGGGCCAAATTGTTCTATATTAAATGCACAATGTATTTAAGGTACTTAATTGGATAAGGATGAATGTTATATTGCTTAAATTCGCTTCGTAAATAATCTATTATTTCTCGTAAAAAGTATAGGATAAAAATTGGTTATTGTGGGTTATCCTTAAGAAATAGACATATACCATCGCGGACTTTTTTGTAGACCTTTTTAAGGTGTACAATACTGTAGTACATTATTTTGATCTATCTCGTGGGGTTCAGCCAGCGTTTGCAATGTAAGCGCAAAAAATGTGTTTATTTACGACCTTACATTAAAAACCTCTAAAATTATCAGTTTTTCTCTAGTATATTATGCATGTATTAGGTATATAAACCGTCCTCTTGAATCACTCTATCTATTAAAAAAAACTGCATCAAAATCCGTTGCGTAGTTTCAAAGATTTAAGCATACAAAGGGACATAGGGACAGAGAAAGCGACTTTGTTTTATACTATGTAGTGATTGTAATTGCCATAACTATAGGCTCGCCGTAGTCGCTGTCGCTATGGCATTATGCTGAGGCAGCGACCTAGTTAGCCTTTGATTGTTCCTCCTGTTTATTAATACTATAGAAAGCTATAATAAAATTACATTTTTTCTTTTTGGAGTTTACTCCTTAAGAATCGATTTGCATATAGGTATAAGGGGCCCGGTATGAGAAAAATGTGAGGAGTAAAATCTATCGATGAATGACCTCGTTACGTTTTTGGTGCGCATCCTATGTCGCGCAATTTTGCCAAACAATGACGGATTGACATTAATAAAAAAAATTAAATCTGAACTGAATTTACATATTGTTTTTGATAGAGCAATGGGGACAACGAGGTATGGTACAACCATTGATGCGGTATTTTCAAGATTCGTGAACCACGTATATACGAACGTCCATGTGTCTTATTTTAGTTACCATAAACCACTTGTCACTGTAATTAATAATGCAGACAATGTTGATTGAATTAATATTTTAAAAAAATATAATAGTCTGATAATGATAATTACATAATTTATCAACATTCCTAATGATATATTTATGCACATCTGAAATTGACTATTGTAAAAAGTTTAATGTAAAATATTTCGTCGATTAGTTATAATAAATGTATATGAAATGAATAAATATATATTTATATATGTATATTATTTTCATTAATTTGTTAATTTACCCTTTCATACAGTATCAATATTTTTTAAGTTAAATAAACTCTTTTTGCGTCTGGTTAGACTATCGAACTTAAGGAGTAAACTCCAGTCGTGCGTCGGAGCTGACACACACAATTTTTTTTTCCATAGGTCTTGGGGACGGCAATTGGAAGAGCCGCCTATCAGCGGTGCAGAGCTTCCATTCCACCGTCCAGGGTTTGAGTTCTAGCGATGTTTCTGCTCAAGTCCTATACCGCACTTTGAACAAGAAGCCTGGCCTTAAAGATACCAATGTGCAAGTGTTGAAAGCGAGACTTGAAGCGTGCAAATACATTACGGAAAACTTTCCTGTATCTACGTGAGTAATGTATTTTTTTTTTCAAAGATTTTTTTGGTCTCGATTTTTAATTGCTATTCAAAAACGTTGATATTTTGGTTATAAATATCGAGGTTTCGCACTTCAATATTGTTTTTTTTTTCATCTTATATATAAAAAGTGAATTGTTTATTTACTAAATAATCACGAAATGTAGAAAGCATTTTTACTTATAAAGATGGTTATTGAACGCAAGTAAATTATGATAAAGAATTTTTGGAAACTTAACTAAAGGGAAAGAATGGGGTGAGAAAATTATGAGTTCATACCATGACATAGGTGTGTATCTAATAAGTTTTTATGGGACAAGGGATGAAAAGGGTCTGGGCCAAGTAAATTTTTCTTGAGCAAACACATATTTTGTTTCATTAGAACCGCAGCAGACTTCGTCCTACAAGACGTGGTAGCTAAGCTAGGCGAGGCATCATGCGCCGCAATATCTGCTGAAAACCTCACCTGTCTTGCTGAAGCTTGTGGCCTAGAACATGTGCTTAATGAAGGACTAACCTTTGCAATGGACTCGCAGAAGAACCCGAAGGTGCAATCGGAGATGTTCAATTGGATGTCCAATGCTATAAAGGAGTTTGGATTTAGGTAAGATTTTGTTGATGTCGTTCAGTGATTTATGAAAGATAAGGCGGTGGCTGTTAAAGATCAGGAGGAGCTCGATGGCGCAGATCCTTAGCGCATTCGGCTTGCAAACAACTTTTAAGCAATTTTCGCAATGCAAACGCGATCGCAAATTGGATGGGTAACCAAAAACTTATTATCTCGAGCTTCGGAAGGCACGGTAAGCCGTTGGTCCCGGCTGCATCTGCAGTCGTTACACCCACCAATCCGCACTGGGCCCACGTGGTGAGTCTTCCTGTCTTCCTACTCCATCTATATCTATAGGGAAGGCCTGTGCCCCAGCAGTTTGGAAATTAATATGCTAATGATGATGAAGACTGTGGCTGCCACTACTTCGACTGAACCATCACTGAACAAATAATCAGCATTAGATAAATGCGCACGATGTGCAATATGATCCATTTTGTGAATATTATTACAAAATCCTACTTTATATCCTACACATATTTATAAATGTGAAAGTTTCTATATTTGTAACTCAAATCATATAAAAATGTCTAGAGTGGATTTGTATGAAAAATTGGCACATAGTTTGTTACCTGGATTGAGAAATAGTTTACTTTTTATGCTGGAAAAATTATAGTCGTTTTACTAGGTTTTCAAAACACTAACTAATTGGTCCACAGATAGAGTAACTTATTTTTTTCCCCTATTAAAGGTGCAAAAAGTCTCTAAATGGAGATCGGAAGCTAGGTGTTCATATTTATGTTTATTTCATTACATACTAGCGACTTCGTACGCGTGGAGTCAGTTATAAATAAAGGTTCACTGCTTGTTCCCCGTAGGTGATAGCGTGATAAATATGTAGCCTATATGTTGACCCAACTTCTTAATAACATTCGCGCCAAATTTGAAGTAAATCCATCCAGTACTTTTTGAGTTTATCCCGGACATGCATACAGACAAACAGACAAAAATTCTAAAAACTATATTTTTGGCTTCGGTATCGATTGTAGATCACACCCCAAGTATTCTTTTAAAACAATATTCAAAGTACAGTTTTGACAGTTTTACAGGTCTAATAAGATTATTTGATTAAGTCTACAATTTTTTTTACAGCATGGGCATACGGTCCATAATTGCGCATTCCAAGAAGGCTCTGTCTGCAACGAATCCCAACGTGCGCACATCGACGGTGAATTTCCTCGGAATATTGTCTCTGTACGTGGGGCCGTCGCTCATCTCCCACTTCGACTCCGAGAAGCCAGCCACCAAGCAACTTATAAGCTTGGAGTTGGACAAATACGCGAATAGTACGCCGCCGACGCCTACAAGGCAATTGGGGAGTGTGAGCAAGGTAAACGGTCATTTAGGGAGTATTCCGAAATATACACCAGTACGCCAGCGGTAATGACGTCATGATTTCGACGCCATATTGCACTGGTGTACCGCCACATTATGCTGGTGAGAATACTGTGACGTAATTATTTATTAGCCGGGTGTATATGCTCTGGCAGTAGTGAAGTTCTTTTTGTATTATAATAAGAATTTCTTCCCCTTCATTTTGATAATAAGCGAGCAGTATCTCATCATCATCGTCACTATCACTAGATGAGTCGAATTGTTTCAACAACAAAACGAGATATTGTCGTAATAGCTATCACTTCCATTATTTTCAAATAATCACAGTTAAAATTGTAGGTTAAAATTTATTATATTTTTTCGAGCATAAACGTTGCACACAAACACGAGACTGCTTGAATATAGCGCCAGTTCATGACGTTACCGCGCTGATCAGTGTAGCTTTTAGGAACGAATCAACAGCATGGCGTCGATTCATGACGTCATTACCGCTGGCCAGCGTATTTAATCTTAATAGTCCTTCCGCTGTATTCAGAATTTCAGATAGGTCGATTAAATTCGATGTTTTCTTTAGAATTAAACATCTAGCAGTTAAATGCGAATAAATTAAATATAACTATTATTGCTATTGCTTCTTTCAAATGTTTCATATTTGTAAAATTATTTACTTGACATTGTGGGTTACCTACAATGCGAAGAGATGGCGCTGCCTTGCAGATTAACAAATACTAGAGACAATTCGACACGTACATCAGGGTTGCGGTAGCATAATGGTCAGTGCATTCGCCTGGATAGCGTCTGCTGCCTGGTCCGCGTCGAATTTTTCTAGTAAAATTTTCTTAAATTTCAATGTCATTTAAAATCACGTGTTGTCTTATTATAATGTAATTGCAAAGAACACGACAGGACTATCACTAATCAAACTTAAAAGTTAATTGGTATCCCTTAGTATAGTACTTGGAGACAATATTGTTTATTCAATCTATCACAAATTCTTTATTGATACTCAGTCCTGATGCAAATACTATGTTTTTTTTTAATTTATTTATTTCAAGTATTGATTTATTAAATTAAAATAATTGTAAATAATGAACTAAAATCAAAATTCATTAATAATCGTCGTCGATACTTTTCGGTATCTATTGGTTAATGACGGCATAGAGTGGTATACAGGTTACTAAGGTAAAGGTGCCCACTCTGAGACAAAGTTTAAATCCCGGTAGGGACAAACGTTTGTATGATTAATATCTTCAGCCAATATACCTTTAAGTTTGTGGGTTTAAGTGTAGTATAGTAAGTGAGCACAAATTATTAAATTAATTTTTAATTTCAAACTATTTTCATTCCCTCACAGTCTGCAAGCAAAGCGTCGATGGGCGATGATATAGAAGAGACATACGAAGATGCGACAGAAGACGAACCGCCCGCCGTAGACGACACGCGGCCCAGAACAGATATCGCACCGCTCATCACAGATGCACTCATCGCTGAGATCAACGACAAGAATTGGAAGGTATATACAGTATAACGCCGATTTTATCCGAACGCCGATTAACCTAATCGCCAATTGAGTACATCCTAAGCGTAAAATAAAAAATTTAAACCAAGTTATTTTTGTTTTGTTGTAACAAGTTGGAACTCTCTGGAGTCCAGGTATATTTCATCTGTTATGGTTGAAAGCTAGAGGCAAGACACTACATATTTTACGTGGCGCGGTTTTTTTGCTACTATGTGCCTCTTACGTACGTAACGCGTAACGCATTCGCCAGTTTACCCCCCAAATCAAGCGTGCGTAAAGAAGTTTCACTTTAAAAAATTTGGTTTGTTTTAGGTTCGTAACGAGGCCCTAGACAAGTTAAAAACTTTGATAGCCAGCTCTTCACCCATAAAACCGTCTCTGGGCGAATTGCCGCCTGCCCTGGTGGCCCGCCTCCTAGACTCCAACTCGAAGCTGGCACAAAGCGCGCTGCAGATCTGCGAGAGTCTATCAGTGGCCATAGGACCGCGGTGCAAGCAACACGCGAGGACGTTCTTCCCGGCCTTCTTTCAAGGTATTTATTTCAATCTTAATATATTACGTGAGGCTCGAAAGGGGGGGGGGGGGGGAGTTGTTCATAAAAAAATACGAAATATCACAAGGGGGGGGGGGGGTGTAGTAATATATCACGTGTATTTTCGTGGTCTGAGGATACTGCACATTAAATAATGTTCATGTATTAGTACAAAAAAGTTGTTCGCATTCATTCATTATTTTTATGTCAACCAAAAACAACCTGCAACTTTTCTGTCTACCTCTGAGCGTTATTATTGTAGTCTTTAATTTTCTATAATAAAATTAGATGATACTTGTACCTGTATTATTCGAGTGAAAAAAATAAGATTCTTTGTAAGTACTAAAAAATACACGTGATATAGGGGCCAGGGGGAGGGTTTAGTCTGAAACCTCACCATGTATCACCAAGGGGGAGGAGGAGGGTGTTAAAAACTGCAAAAAAAGATATCACGTGATTTATGGACGGCCCCTAAACTACTTAACCGATTTCAATCAAATTTACACATCTTGTGCAGTTTGATCCAACTTGAAAGATAGTATAGCTTATACATATATCAATTTATAGTCGCAATATTATTTTATTGCAAATTATTACTTTTGAGCGGTACGAAGTTCGCTATATTCACATCTAGCATTTTAAGTTTTGACGGTCCCTACAGGTTACATTGAGAAAAAAGTTATTATCTACGTAGTTTTGAAGCTGATTTATTAACTATCTCATTATGTGTTTTTAAAATTATTGCTCAACCATATATATGTATATTTTTGCTACAGACCATTGAAACTTATAACACTAAGTGGGCCGACAGATGTGTTCGGAAGTATACATTGCTTGAAACATTACAGTAGACTATTATTTTAATTGTTATTTTAATAAAATAATAACTTGTTTTTCTAACAAAGACTTTATATTTGATATACATCTTTGTTGACGTATTTGTTCATAGTTTTTTTTCTTGTTGTTTATTGTTCCACGTGATAAGCACAAATTAATCTATTGTTCATTTAATAATTTATATCTATACCACAGGTTTATCTTTGCTGGGTCTAAATAAATCGATATATGTTGTAACTAGTCCAGAATTATTTATTTATTATTATCATTTCGCAGCGTTTGGCGACAGTAAGCAATGGATTCGCACGGCTGCAGTTGCTTGCGTAGAAACGTGGTGCCGTGAAGCTGGCCCGGCTGCCCCCCTCGAAGGGGAGATGATATTCGACGCTCTAAAGGCTGGATCGCCAGTACTGAGGGCATCGCTACTGCAGTGGCTAGCTGAGCATCTGCCCCAAGGTCAGTTCTATATGAAGGACAGATGATATTAGACTTCTGAAGAAATCGCCAGTACTAAAACCATCGCATTGCAGTGGCTAGCTGACAATCTGCCACAAGATCACTTCTTTGTTTTATTTCCAACGTTCTAAGAAGGAGATTCTGGCATAAAAAAGTAATAGAATCAATATAATTATTTACACAGTTTAACTTACTAAATCAGTTTTATATGTGATTGATGTTATTGCAAGAATTTGCATAATTTATTGTGATCATGATTTATCTGCTAGGTTTCATATTTTTTAATTTCGTCAAGATACCGAAAGAGTATTGTGACTAAATATTAATTAGCTAACACTACAGACATAGAACAAAATAGTGAACGCAAGTATGTGTACTTTGCGTGCTAAAAGGGAGAGCAAAGTTATTTTACTTCTTTGCGACACACCGGTTTTTATACCGGTTTAAAAAAAAACAAGTAATTAGGCTGTAAAAATGATAGAATTACAATATGTAATAATCATATGTCTTTCTAATGTTTTCATGCATACACTTTGCATACATTAGTAAAACACTGTTTTACTAGTATTTACTGTTTTTAACGTTTTGGAACTGCAAAACTACTAGTTTACTCAATAAATTTCTAAATAAATACATAATTATATAAAAGCAAATGAATAAAGTGTTATCAACTTGCAGGCCCCAGGGAAATTCGAATCCTCGTTCTCTTGTTTACTTGACAGACGGGTTTTCGAATGGTCCTAAGATATTTCAGAAGGTTGAAGGTTCATCATCAGCCTATTAATGTCCGCACTGCTGGGGCAAAAACCTTCACTATGGATGTATTAGGATGACCCACCGCGCGGGCCCAGTGTTCAATGGCGGGTGATAACGATTGCAAATGCAGCCCGGACCAACGGCTTAACGTGCCTTCCGAAGCACGAAGGAACTCGAGGTAGAAGATTTTTGGTCACCCATCTAATGAACGACCACTGCGAAAGTTGCTTAACTTCAACGATCGCAGCCGAACGCGCTAACCATCTGCGCCATCGAGCTCCTAGAAACTAAACTAGATTTTCCATACAAAATTTGACGATGACGATACGTTGCGGAGCTCTGAAAAACTCGCCCTTGGGCCTCAGATAAGCTTATAATTTTTGAACAAATGTCGAATTTAAAAGTTCATGTTTAAAGGAAATACTGGACGGAAATGCCGTTTTAGTTGCAACTTGGTTCATTTCTGTGGTCTACTTATTAAGTACTTAGAAAGGAAACATTAACAATAGGTTATTTTTTAATAATTTCGACTAGGTACCATGGCTTATGTATTTTTTTTAAACAGTGCCAGCGAAGTCCTTCCCCCGTGAGGAGCTGACCGTATGCGTGGGCACACTGTATGCGTGCATAGAGGACCGCGCCGCCGACGTGAGGAAGGCCGCCGCCGACTGCGTGTTCCCCTTCATGCTGCACCTGGGCTACGACGCGATGCACAAACAGCTCGACAAACTGAAGGTGAAGCACATAGATAGGTGGCACTCACTCACCACAGGCGGGCTAGTGGTATAGGATACATGCTGCACCTTGGCTACGACGCGATGCACAAACAGCTGGACAAACTGAAGGTGAGGCACATAGATAGGTGGTACTCACTCACCACAGGCGGGCTAGTGGTATAGGATACATGCTGCACCTTGGCTACGACGCGATGCACAAACAGCTGGACAAACTGAAGGTGAGGCACATAGATAGGTGGTACTCACTCACCACAGGCGGGCTAGTGGTATAGGATACATGCTGCACCTGGGCTACGACGCGATGAACAAACACCTCGACAAACTGAAGGTGAGGCACATAGATAGGTGGCACTCACTCACCACAGGCGGGCTAGTGGTATAGGATACATGCTGCACCTAGGCTACGACGCGATGCACAAACAGCTGGACAAACTGAAGGTGAGGCACATAGATAGGTGGTACTCACTCACCACAGGCGGGCTAGTGGTATAGGATACATGCTGCACCTGGGCTACGACGCGATGAACAAACACCTCGACAAACTGAAGGTGAGGCACATAGATAGGTGGCACTCACTCACCACAGGCGGGCTAGTGGTATAGGATACATGCTGCACCTAGGCTACGACGCGATGCACAAACACCTCGACAAACTGAAGGTGAGGCACATAGAAAGGTGGCCCTCACTGACCACAGGAGGGCTAGTAGTATAGGATACATGCTGCACCTGGGCTACATAGCGATGCGGAAACACCTCGACAAACTGAAGGTGAGGCACATAGATAGGTGGCACTCACTCACCACAGGCGGGCTAGTGGTATAGGATACATGCTGCACCTAGGCTACGACGCGATGCACAAACACCTCGACAAACTGAAGGTGAGGCACATAGATAGGTGGCACTCACTCACCACAGGCGGGCTAGTGGTATAGGATACATGCTGCATCTGGGCTACATAGCGATGCACAAACAGCTGGACAAACTGAAGGTGAGGCACATAGATAGGTGGCTCTCACTGATCACAGGAGGGCTAGTGGTATAGGATACATGCTGCACCTGGGCTACATAGCGATGAACAAACACCTCGACAAACCGAAGGTGAGGCACATAGATAGGTGGCACTCACTCACCACAGGCGGGCTAGTGGTATAGGATACATGCTGCATCTGGGCTACATAGCGATGCACAAACAGCTGGACAAACTGAAGGTGAGGCATAAAGATAGGTTTCTCTCACTGATCACAGGAGGGCTAGTGGTATAGGATACATGCTGCACCTGGGCTACATAGCGATGAACAAACACCTCGACAAACCGAAGGTGAGGCACATAGATAGGTGGCACTCACTCACCACAGGCGGGCTAGTGGTATAGGATACATGCTGCATCTGGGCTACATAGCGATGCACAAACAGCTGGACAAACTGAAGGTGAGGCATAAAGATAGGTTTCTCTCACTGATCACAGGAGGGCTAGTGGTATACGATACATGCTGCACCTGGGCTACGACGCGATCCACTAATACCTCGACAAACTGAAGGTGAGGCACATAGAAAGGTGGCCCTCACTGACCACAGGAGGGCTAGTGGTATAGGATACATGCTGCACCTGGGCTACATAGCGATGCGGAAACACCTCGACAAACTGAAGGTGAGGCACATAGATAGGTGGCACTCACTCACCACAGGCGGGCTAGTGGTATAGGATACATGCTGCACCTTGGCTACGACGCGATGCACAAACAGCTCGACAAACTGAAGGTGAGGCACATAGATAGGTGGCACTCACTCACCACAGGCGGGCTAGTGGTATAGGATACATGCTGCACCTTGGCTACGACGCGATGCACAAACAGCTGGACAAACTGAAGGTGAGGCACATAGATAGGTGCCACTCACTGATCACAGGCGGGCTAGTGGTATAGAATACATGCTGTACTTTGGCTACATAGCGATGCACAAACCCCTTGACAAACCGAAGGTGGTATCGCCAAAGGCATAAGGCTCTTCCGAAGCACGGAGGAGATCGAGATAATAAATTTCTGGTCACCAATCCTAAAAAATATCGGTATATACCTGGTTATGCAGTTGACGAATGCCACGATATTGGGAACAGGTTCCGTAAGTCAATGAAATGAAAAAAAAAATCCCAACATTAATTCTGTAGTAATGTACATATACATAAAAGATAAAGAAAGTGGTCCTTTAGAGTATAGACCATTATTTATTTTCTAAGATTTCTCGCAAATTAAATCGCGCTAAGAGTATCTCTTATCTATTAGACAAGTCCGTCCGTCCATCTGTCTGTGGTGCTGTTTCAGCGGCCAAACCGTAAAAGATAGATAAAGAGAATGTTTAAGTTATAAGTTAAGAATAGTCTGATAAGACTACAAACCGGATTTGAGTAACGTAGCACTTCCGGTTTTCGAGAAATCACGAATTTCAAACGAAACCACACAAAATCTCCGAAGTTCTCAATTAATTAAATACATTTTTTTTTTAATTGGTGAACATTTGGTTCACTGGTTTGCTAGTAAATATTTTAATTTTTCCGACCAGCCGGGTTCCAAGTCAGTGGTGCAAGCTGCTTTGGACAAAGCTCGTCCTTTACTACCGGTACAACCTCTGCCTTCGAAGGGCAAGAAAGAAGAACCACGTGGTGTCAAAACGGCGGGCGCTCTCAAGAAGGACGCTGAGAAGAAAGGCACCATAGCTGTTAAGAGCAAGGTAAGAAGGGTGCTTTTGATTATTTTCTATTTTTCAACTTAATTATAGCTAAAGGTCTGAAAATTTAAAAGGTTGAAATTTTATCCTTTTTCCGTCAAAAATTGAGGTTAAATTTGACTTCATCATCATCAGCCTATTAATGTCCCCACTGCTGGGGCACAGGCCTTCCCTATGGATGGAATAGGGAGATTGGGCCATGACCCACCACGCGGGCCCAGTGTGGATTGGCGGGTGACAAATTTGACTTGATTTAAATCAATCTTTAACTAATATCCTTTGTTTGATTGGTTAATTTGACATTGAAAGCAATATTTCTGTTGTTTTGCCATTTACATCCATCCACTTCACACAATGATGGAAAAGTACAAAGTACAATACACACTACAGATTGCAGTATAACAATCTTAATGCATAGATTAAGTATCATATTGCACAGACTACTCGTACTCGTACGTAGTATTTAAGATACTACGTATATTGACATTGGTGTCGATTCTGAAATGATTCTCTGAGCCTGAATATGAATTTGACGGCAGTGTATCCTTGTCATTCTCTATACAAAGTGATAGGGGGGGACTGTTGTTGGGTTTGGTCTTGGGTTTGGAGAGTCATGACAGAATCGACACCATTATCGGATGCGGTGCGGGTGCGTCGGAGTGCTGCGCTGTGTTTCTTTATTTAGGATTATGTCATTTTATGTATTTAATGTGTGTGTGTATATATATATATATATATTTATATCAGCGTGTGTATGTATGCATGTGTGTATGCGCAATACAATAGGATTAGTTAAGCATTGTTGTATGTATTGTTACAAATGTATTGTTTTTGTTGCTTGTTAGCGCCTAATACGTCCTCGCACAGGCCCTGCCAGAATACCAGCGCTGATACAGTGTGAGAGTATTCTCCCACCGTGTCAGCATAAGCTGAGGCAGGGTCCTGATTGGCCGTCTTAGTTTTATGTTGTTATTTTTTGTTTATAGGTTAAGTTTCTCTTTTATTTTTTCTTTAAATTTATAGTATTTTTATTATGTAAGATGGCCAATAAAGGTTTTTTCATTTCATTTCATTTAGTGAGAGAATGAATGACAGAAGACTGGTAAAATAATAAAAGTGTTAATATGCCGAACTTTGACAGATCCGTATTCGTATTGCTATCGTCAAGGTTTCGATGGAAACTAAGCAGCGATAATACTGGACGTACACAACAAAAGAATAAACTAGCCCCTTCCCTTTGAATATTTATTCTCTAGATAGTGTCACTTTGTAAACACTTCGATAAAAACAGACCAGGTTTTATATACTTGTGTGCGTGACACGCAGAACAAAACACGCGAATCTTGTATTTTACATTCGCACAATGTCAGCGTAATGTTTTTTTTTTTAAATTTATAGTATTTTTATTAACCCTACACTGCGCTTATAACGTTTCGCTTAACAAAGGCCGTACTCATGCATGCATCGATTGATGAATGTAGAAGAAACAGAATGCGTATATCAGGATTTTCATAAGTGGAATTCTTCATGTATATTGCTCTGATGATTACGAAAATCTACCCAATAACTGTAGGGCCCCGCGAAGCCGACCTCTGCCTCCAGCCGCGGCAAGAAAGACGATGAGGATTGCTCGCCACTGCTGCCCAACAACAACGCGAAGAACCAGCGCATCATCGACGATCAAAAACTTAAAGGTAAATCAACGAATTGGAAATACGAACTACGCAAAATGCGATCAAGTGGGAGGAGGCTAAAAAAAGTGTGATCAATACGCCGATCATGCGGTTTGTTGGGATTTTTGTTAAACATTATCTTACCTAATAAATGGGTAGCTGAATTCATTGCTAGATATTTGATTTGGCAATGCATTTTGTTTTGTTGTGTGCTGTTTTAGCCCCCTTTGGTAGAGAGTAATGCTTCCATATCATTTCTAATTCGTTAAAGTAAAGTTATCATTTCTATAAAAAGGTAGAATATAATATGTGAAAGGATCATAGTTGAAATTTGTTTCGAAACTATGAATTTTCTACATAAAAAGGTTTTTTTTGTTTTCCAAAATTTGTATCAAATAAATTCAAATACTGCTATATTTTGTGTAGAATTTCTTAATGGTTATTCACAAGTCATAAACGTAGTTATAAAGGACATGGCTAAGAAAGTGCCCATAACATGTATAATTATTACGCACCAGCCCGCAATATAATAAATCTTTTTTATTATTGTTACGTATTTATTATTCCCATAACATTTTCGTGAAATAATGAAATGACTTCATGCCTGTTCCAAAAGGAAAACGTTCCGTTTTACATGAGTAAATGAACAATAAATCTACACAAATAGATTTGTGTAAGTATATCGAAATAAACAATATTAATTCCGAATCTCTAAGGACTTTCAAATAATTTGTTCATTTTTTTTATAAAATATTGTCGGACGGTGCCGTGATGCTGCCGAACGACCTATTTGATAGATATTGATAACTTGATAATACAAACTCCTTGACGATTATAGAATGTTTATTTTCTTGATAGGGATACGAGCTTACAATTACTTGATACACACACGACTGACTATACAATAATATTAAATAAGTAAACTATTTCGCTGACACGGAAACATGTGCGGTAATTGGACCGCACAAATATCATTAAATACATACTTAAAGTAATAGATTTCATACTTTCTGATCAGACTCGAGATAAGGCTGTATCTTGTGATTTTTGAAAATTAACAAAATAAAATTAACAGCTTTCCTGTCAGGCTGACGACATCAAATTATTTGTATTTATTTTTGCTTTAAAAAAAGGTTTTGTGAATCAGCGAAATGGCAGGAACGATTCTAAGATAATGCGAAATTGTTGGCTGTGTATATAATTGGTAATATCTTTTATCAATTGTATTAAGGTAATGATTGTAACTTTATCAAAAGTTCCAGAGCCTTTTTTTATAGAAATTCAAAATGTATATATGTACAGTCCATCAAATCTAAGAAGTACCGTTTGACAGTTCTGACAAATTGAATAATAGGGATGGGTTTTAAAAAATCGATTACTATGATATCTGAATTTTAAGAGATCGATTACTATAATATCCGAATTTTAAGAGATCAATGACCATAATATCCGAAATTTAAGATATTATTTCCCTGTACTCTTTTCCTATATTTTTTAAATATGTTCTTGTAAAAGGTTGTTTATTGGTAAATTTAGGTTTTACTAGTAATCTGAGGATAGAATACCGAAAAAATCTTAAGGTTCTAAAGGTCGAAGTCGAAGCATTTAAATAAAAGTAATGTTTAGGATATTTTTTTATTCACTACAAGTACTGGAATCATTGTCGTCCTCGTCATCATCGTCATTTTAATGAATGACTAGTTGATTATCCATGAAACCATCGAATTTTACGTCCCTGTTGAAGTCGTCCATTATTATTTTCTTTGTTTTTTCTACTACTTTTGACCAATCTTCTTGTGTAACTTGCGCACATGCTTCCTTTAATAAGCCTTCCATTTTCTTGACACTTGAAGGGTGGTTTTGTGTTGTGTCTTGCTGCATAACCTGTAAAACAATTATATAATTATTAGGTGGGAGACTTAGACTATTTTTTAAATTATAAAAGCTAGAGGCACTTGTGTTATGTGGCTACAAAATGTGTTAAGCTAATCTTGCTATATTTTGTTAGGTAATGTACAATTTAACACAACTGCGAAGAAGAAGGGTAATGTTTTACAGTATTACTGTACTTAACGGAAAATCTCAATTCACAATATATTTCAGCTTATTAAGAACAAGTTCTTGTTATTAATATAATCAACTACTAAAAAATATTATTATATTATAAAGTATTACCTTTAACTTGGGCCCAAATCAGTTCAATGGCATTATATTGGCAATGGTACGGAGGAAGTCGTATGACTTTGTGCCCGTGTTCTTCGGCTAATTGGTCAATAGTATAAGTCGGTCTTGGTGGTTTATGCAATTTCACTAAATGTAACCATTCAACTTTTAATAGTGACATGTCGGCTTCCACTCCTTTTCTTTGCAGCCACGCCACCAAATCTGCTTTCTTATTGGCTGATGTTGGTACTTTATCAATTTGCACAGAGTGGTATGGGGCATTATCCATTATAATTGTGCTGTTAGGAGGGATATTCGTTAGTAAATTTAAGAACCACTCTTGGAACCTTTCCGCGTCCATTTCTTCATGATACTCTTTTGTGCTTTTAGATTGGAAAGCTAATAATGAATTTTCCACGAAACCTGCAGACGCTGATCCAGCATGGCATATAATGACCTTTCCCTATCGGCACTTTCGAGCACGAAGCTTCAGAATCATCTGTCCATGTTTTCGGCACAGAGAGGTTGGAATTTAGCCATGTTTCGTCCAAAAATATTACATTATCCCAGTTTATAATTTGTTTTACTTCGCGCTGGATTGTTAGTCGCTGCATAATTATGTCATGTCGCTCCATAACAATTTTTCGTTTGTCAACTTTTTTGTATCTGAAGCCAATTCCTGTTATTATCGTTCTCAACGACTCTATGCTTCCCTTGCACAGCCCGGCATCTTCTAAAGTTGCACATAACTTTGCCAATGTTGGAAATTCGTCTCTTGTAAAATAACCATAGATATGGTTTCTAATAGCATGGCTATCGAAGTCATCGATACCTGTCACAGGTTTAGTTCTTTTCCTTTTTTTCGGCGTGTGAAGTACGTTACTGTCACTCCCCGAAGGCCCATATTTTTCACTTAATATTTTGCCGACGGTGCGGCTACCAATACCGATAGCTTCACCGACGCGATCCCGATCTTGTGTAACTGGCAGTAGAGCTCCACCATTTTGACATTCACGCTCAAAATACTCGTGTCATTTCACCACCAATTCACGAGCCTGGCTGTTCAAAGTACGTCCTCTTTTGGACATTATTAATAAACACTTGCTTAGTTCAGAGTCCAGAAAAGTAATAGCCAAGTCACAAATTGTAAAACACAAACGAGAAAGTAGGTACGCGCACAGTCAGCTTCCAAGATGGCGAGAGACTGCTGACGCGGGCGAGGGGGACCGCGTGCGCTTGTGACCACAAGTGTTGTCTGATAAAAAAATCTTTTTTCTGGAGCTATTTCGCCTATATAGATTTATTTGAAAATAATTAAATTAATTTATTTTAGGGTACCTATGTATTAAATGCATTATGCGATCGAGCAGTAACGTGAATTTATACAAAAAATAAATTGCGCTCTACCTCTAAACATTACGTCGAAAATTCGCTTTCTGGCCGTGATCTGACATTGGCCATAAGCGCTTCTAGCGCTTACAACATCGTAATCTGAGTAGATTATGGACCGAGCCATCAAATTTGATCATTTTGTCATCTGTCATGTATTTTTACAAAGTCATTAATTGATAATTTGAAAGTAATAAATTCGATTTTCCGAATAATGTACACGATTTTTTCGTACAAAATTGATTCCGAAGAGTCGCAACACTACGAGCAGTGACCTAACTATGTGACTTTGCAATGAGGTCAAGAATAGAACTATGAGAACTTATTTATTGTGTAAATATTGTTTATTTTGCTTTGTTTGAAAGTTTTCAATTAAATTTAGATATTAAGAATTGTACATTTTTAGATCCAATAATAAAACCTTTATAAATTCATGGTTTTACGAAAAAGGTTATCGAATTTGAATAAGTTACGCTTAAACAAAGTTATATCTGTTTGAAAAACATGAAACGTCAAACGGTACTTGTTAGATTTGATGGACTGTAGTTAATTATAGGCAATTTTGATGAGATTGACGTGTGTAACACTAACTTAACACTCTAATAGAGGTGCTAATTATAGCCTTAAGCTTAATTATAGCCTAACTCCATAAAAGCTCAACCTTTTCTGATATCTAAATGCTTCAGCAATTAATATGTATATCATATTTCAGTGCTGAAATGGAACTTCACAACACCTCGGGAAGAGTTCTTTGAACTGCTGAAGGAGCAGATGGGCACAGCTGGTTTGAATAAACAACTTGTTGCCAACATGTTCCACAGCGATTTTAGGTAAGTCATTGTTAATTGTTATTGTTGATCTGTTTTATAAAACTTTAAATTATTAAATCGGATCTTCGTACAGAAAAAAATTACATCTTTTTTTGTATAAAACCTTAATAACGATAAATTCACGTTAAAATGTACCTCTGTTTTGCTACAACCTATATGTTTTGTTAATAATGATTACTGGTTTCGAATCTGGCATAATTAATCAGTCTCTTCTTTTCGCTCTGTGTGGAGAATGACAAAGATACACTGTTGTCAAATTTAAGTGGTAATAATAATTCAGAATCGACACCATTACCTTATCAAATCTGCGTGCGTCAGTCCATACATTTGTAAAGAACATAAAAATTGTGGTGCGGCCATTTTATGTCGTACACTGTATCATTACTATTATTCTCTATTCACGGAAATAAGTTAGTGGAGCGTTTTCTTTTTTACACAATCGCTTACAAAAGACAAAACGCTTCAACCAATAAATGAAAAGCTTTATTTTGTCAATACTAGATCATTATCATGAGTAGAGTACAGAGGCCCAAGCAACTTTGTTAGCTCCACAATCGTATCGACATCGTGAAATTTGAATGGAAGGAGCCAGTTCTTACGTCCGGTAGGGGCGCTGCTTAGTTTTCATAGAAACTTTTTCGACGCGATACGATTACGTGTTCTGTACCCTTAGCACGAATCATTATCGTACATTATCGATGTGTACTGATTTTTAGTTCTCATTACGTCCATTGTAGCGCTGCTGTTCAAGTTTCTATACAAAATTTTACATTGACATTTCGGACTCGCAAACTATTCGATTTCGATAATAGTTCGTGCTAAGGGTACTGTTTACATTTGATGATTCAATAAACAATAATCCAACAGATACCACCTCAAAGCCATCGAGGCTCTCTCCGAAGATCTGCACGACAACGGTCCCGCCCTCATGGCCAACTTGGACCTAGTGCTGAAATGGTTGACGCTGCGATTCTTTGATACCAATCCCTCGGTCATCCTCAAGGGTCTGGAGTATCTGTCGCTGGTATTCCAGTACCTTATGGACAGTGATTACACTATGGCGGAGTATGAGGCGAACTGTTTCATACCATATTTAGTCCTCAAGGTAGGTTTACATTAAATCTCAATTATAGTCAACGATTTTAAAAGCCCTAGGTACAACATCACAAACAAAATCGTGGCTGAAACCTATCCAAAAGGTACATTACATACTATAAGTATTATTTACGATTTTTTTCACGCAGCGAAATTTTTGCGGCATGTTGACTTACTTGAACCAGGAAGTGCTTGATTGTAGTTCAAGCACTTTTTGATTTATCCCAATCATTTTGACCGCTGGGTTTTTAATATCGTTGTTTATAGTTGCAAAAGATAGTTTAACCTTAAAAACGAAACAATGTGTTCTATTTCGATAGCACACGAAGTTTTTGCTTTGTTGCGAAAGTGCTCAAACAATTATGGCGCTAAATTCAATGTTCTTAAACCTTGAAATATAACAATTAATTCCTATTTCCCTTGTGCATCCCAAAACTTAGAACGACTTTGCCGATTTCATCCATCTTTTTTTTTAAGTTTTCTAATACCTTTCAGTAGGTTCTTATAAGAATCAAAAAAGTTTCGCGAAACTACAGTTAACGGGTTGAAGTAGAAGAAAGCTAGTTCAAGCAGAAACCTATTTATTGTGTATAATAAGTTTGATCTAGCTTCTTTTAAATACCGTGTCATATCGAGTTCAAAATAGGGTACATGTCTTTATTTTTGGTTTGCATTACTTATGGTTTTGGATGTACAATTTTATAACCAACATTAGTGCAGTCATTGAAGCGAGAAATACGGTCTTACCTCCGAATTTTTTACTGTGAACCGATTTACATGAAATTTTGGAATTAGGCTCATTTTACCCTTAACTTCAAAAGTGAAAATGATCTGAACTCCGCCTATTATTTTTAAGGGGTGTAAACAACCCCTTAATGGAAAAATTGACATTGAGACATTTTATCGCTAGAAAACATGTCTAAAATCATTTTCAATCCATATATATATATTGTTACGTGTCGGGATGGGGTTCGAAATTATATGCCAGTTCACGCTAGACAGTTCTTTATTCACCACACAGTTTACACAATTAACACACAATGTTAATTACAAAACACTCACTAAACACTGTATTTCACTATACAAGTCTCTAAACAATCTCACTTGAACACTTTTGTTGCACTTTGATCGCCTTTGGATTCGCTCCGAAATCGCTGTTGAAACTCAAGTGTCTCTGCGCGGCGCCAATCGCGCTTATATACGCCGATCGACGCATTCTAGAAAGTACCCGTTAAATTGAGAATTACCTAGCACCCGCGAGTACGAAATACCTACTTATACCTACGCAGGTAACACCCATAACTTGTAAACAAGTGCAGGAGTCGTTGCACTTTCTCCCTTATGCCGCACTGCATAAGGCTCATTTTAGAATGCCGCCTTACTCGACCTCTATCGCGACCCGCGGTGATCTGGCAAATACAATCTCTAGTACTTTCGCGGTTACGTTTCGAGATATTACATATTTAAAAATAATTTAATTTAGGGGAAAAAATTTGCCATTTATTGAATAAAATATTTACTAATTATATAAAATTGTACTATTATTATTAAAATATAATATTATTATTCATGACTCAATGTCGGAGTCGCTGTCACATTCAACATATTCTGGCTGAATTGGAGGGCTATTTTGGCAGTTATCTCCACTGCACGTTCCACAGGTACTATTACAAAACAGACCAACTTTTCTGCATCCGCAAGACGCTCCACATCCTTTTTTGCAGTTGCAAAAAATCATTTTCAGCAGTTCTTGTGGTGCGGGTGGATCTACAGACTTAAGTGGATTTAATAAACCGTCATTCATGACCCACCCCCAATCCGTTGGATGAATGATGATGATGAAATTATGAAATGTGTTATATATACATATAAGAATTTTGGTATGTATTCATGCCTACGTTTCCAAAATATATGAGCCATATTATGTATATAATTATATACACATTACAATAGTTGTGGGTCTCTATTATACTGCGTACTTTCACATTGCTCCAAATATTCACACTCCGAAATTTTCAGTTACTAAGTAGAAAAAAATATGATAAGTTTTTGGACCATAACTCCTTCAATTTTCATGCTATCACAATTTATGTAAAACCATTGTAAAGGTAATTAAGGGAGCTACAACATCCTGCATTGCAATATATATTAAAAAACCTTTTTCTAAAAATATGTGTCCTGAAGCAGCCAAACTGATGCTATCTATCAAACTCTTCATAATAAAGTTAATTCTAGGCGGAATACGATTAATTTTAATTTTGGTGGAAATGGCACTTATGAAACCCATTGATTTAAAAGAAAAAACATTAGATGCTCCCCTTATTTGCAATACAGCTGACTTATTTTACGTGCAAAATACTTTTAATAGTGCTCATTTTAAAGCTTATTTCAAGCACTACAAAACTCTTTTGTATTAGAATGCATAAAATGCATCTGCTCGCCGCAAGATGGCATTGACCATATCGATTAAATTTCAGACAAAATAAAAAACGGCTTTGATCTTTAATATCTTAGTCCAGTCAGTATTGTCGCGAAATCCGTTTTTCCTCAAACAGCTGGAACTATGCTAAAAAGTTTCTTAAGATAGTAAAGAACACTTTACATAGAGAAAAAAATGTTTCCAACCCCGGGCAAGGGTGAAAACCACCCTTAATAATCTATTTTTCCAATTATCTCAAAAAGTATACGAGATACGGAAAAAAACTTCAAATGAAAATTGTAGATCTTTTTGAAATCTACAAAACATTATTCCACCCTCTTGCCCCTATTTTCAATAGGGGAGCCAATAATCGAAGTCAAAGATAACTTTTTTAACTAACTTTAACTTTTTAAGTATTGAATCTTTGACTTCGATTATTGGCTCCCCTATTGAAAATAGGGGCAAGAGGGTGGAATAATGTTTTGTAGATTTCAAAAAGATCTACAATTTTCATTTGAAGTTTTTTTCCGTATCTCGTATACTTTTTGAGATAATTGGAAAAATAGATTATTAAGGGTGGTTTTCACCCTTGCCCGGGGTTGGAAACATTTTTTTCTCTATGTAAAGTGTTCTTTACTATCTTAAGAAACTTTTTAGCATAGTTCCAGCTGTTTGAGGAAAAACGGATTTCGCGACAATACTGACTGGACTATCTAGCTTAATTGTACTTAGAATACTTTATAAAAAACCAAATTGTTCATTGTTTTACCTGCTATAATTTTGTTTTTTATAAAATTTTCGATAAAACTTATTTTTGGAGATATTTGCAAAAAACCGATGAAAAACGTGAAAAAATTGCGAATTTTCAATTGCCAATAACTTGAAAAGTATTGGATTTTTTGAAAAACTTTATAGATGATTTTTTGCTTAAAATTAGGCTTTCTATCGATACCCGAGGTTATTTTGAAAAAAAAAAAAAATTCACCCCCGAGAAGGGGTGGCAACCACCCCCAGGGTGGTTGCGGAGTTCAAATCATTTTCACTTTTGAAGTTAAGGGTAAGGTGAACCTAATTCCAAAATTGTATGCAATTCGGTTCACAGTAAAAAAATTCGGAGCAATAATGCTTCAATGACTGCATTACATGTGTGTGTACTGAATTTAGAAAACAGAAAGAATATCAAGTCACTTGTTGGTCGTTCGTAAGTTTTTTTTATACCAATTAGCCTTGCCCCAAAGTAAGCACTGTAGGCTTGTGTTATGAGATACTAGGGTAACGGATAGAATAAATATAGACTGATGAGTATATTTATATAGAAATATATATTAAACATCCATGACTGAAGTACAAATGCTCATATTAATCACACAAACATCTGCCACCACCGGGATTCGCACAGAACACAGAAAGAGGTTAGAATGGCCTTGTGGGCGGGGCAGGCGCGTCTCAGTTATGAGCAAATGCTCATAACTTGACCGTAACGTCCGATCGCGTCGTTTAGTTGCCCGCGAACGCTCAGTGAGAGAGTATTGTGATTACCGTTTAAAATATGCCTTCGTGTGCCGTAATTACTTGCAAAGTAAGGAGTCAATCATCAAATCTACCTAAAGCAGGAATTTCTTTTCATCGGTAGGTATAAAACTTCTTAGTTAGAATGATATTTTAGCAAAAAATCGAGAAATATTAATTAAACGATAAATCACACCTACATTTCTACAAAAATATTCATTGTAGACAAAGTACGCTCGCTATTCTTTCTACGACATTCAAAACAAGTAATGTAATACGATCGAGCAAGAATGACGCGTTGATCACAGAGCGCTGCACGTGGCCGCACGCAGTCGCAGTACAAGTTCATTGCATCTACTTTAGTGGTGTCTTAGACCAGGGTCGATAATTTTAAAAATGGTGAAAAGTGAAAAAAAAATATAGTAGGATGAAACCCATTAGAAAAGGTAGAGAATATAACAAAAATGAAAGGAAAAATAAATTACGGGCGATCTGAGGTTGGGAAGGGGGGGGGGGCGGGTTTGAGTGAGTTTTTAAGGGTAACAAATGGTTAATCTCGATTTCCGGTAAAACTGCAAGTCCTATGAAAAAAAGTTAAATGGCAAAGTTGTAGGTAATAAAAAGATCTACAACTTTTGTACCGACACTTTTTTCACATAACCTCAAAATTTACGTGAAAAATGCGAATAACCGAGTTTTTGGTTTTTGATTTATATTTTTTGCAAAAAAAAAATATTTTTTCACAAAATTTGGTGAAAACTTACCATTGTATGTCCCAAACATACAGATTTTTTTTTTATTTAAAATATTCATTTTTTCACCTTATTTTGACTTAATATCGAAAAAGCACCCTTATTTTTAATCGAAAATTCTCACATCAAAATATCGGCTTTTTAAAAAAAGTGGGTGTTTTTTGTTTGTTGAAATCTCTTCTTTCTGATGGTATAAAAAAAATATACACTACTATGGTAAATGTTCTCAGAAAATGCAAATTAATAATGAAAAAAACTCGAATCACTTTCACAAGGTGAAAGTTTGTGAGTGTGTATGTTTGTTACTTCTTCGCGTCTAAACGGCTCTAGCGTTTTGAATAAAATTTGGTATGGAGTTAGCTGACACCCTGGATAAATACAAAGGCTACGTTTTACTGCGGGAAAATATCCCTAATAAACCGCACGTAACACCGCAGGGCACAGCTAGTACAATATAAATATAAAGCTGAAGAGTTTGTTTATAGTCCAGTCAAAATAGACATTTGACTTAGGAATTATTCGAATAGGGCTGAAAAGCCATTAAATACATCATTATAAATAAAATGTCAAAAATCACTACAAAATTATGGTGTTTTCCATTTTTCTCGAAAACGGTAAGTTTTGTCGTGAAAGTAGGTCTTACAAAAGTTGTAGACCATACAATTCTCTACAAAAATGGTCTAGTCACTTTTTCTCTCACGACTCACCATTCGTGAGATATTGCTGTTTTAATAATTAAATTCATTTTTTTCATAATATGCATACATTTCTGCACCACCTATGAGGTAATGTACTTGGCGGATTCAAAGTTGAAAAAAAACCGACATATACGAGTACATTACCTCATAGGTTGTGCAAAAATCCCATTCGATCCTACTTCTGCAAACAAATATTCAAGGTCAAACGTACAAAATTATGGTATTTTCCATTTTTTTCGAAAACGCTAAATTTTTTCGGGAAAATAGGTCAAACAAATGTTACAAAATTATCTACAATTCTCTACAAAAATGGTCGTCACTATTTCTCTCACGACTCACGATTCGTGCGATATCGCGGTTTTAACAATTAGAAAATTCATTATCAACTTTTGTCAATTTTGGAATACTTATCGAAATTTATACTGAACTACATCTGTGTTTATACCATTGAGTTTGTATATAAAGCATTATACATCTTTTTGAAAAAGGAATACGCATATCTCATATTATTATTGTGTTAATTTTTTCGCAAATGGTACGAAAAGTATAGTATTTTCCTCGGTGATAAAGCTGTCTTAGTCTTGGGTGAACTTAAATCCTCGCTACACTCAGGACTTGTCTTAAAAGAATTTGTCAAATGTGATATTTGCCCTGGAGCCCTAATATCAGATTCAAGTAATAATTAAAATAAATTTATTTCGTTTAAAGATAACGGTGGCCTGATATATCCGTCCGCGGTGATGTTATAAAAATATGCAAAAGTAACTGTAATACGACAACATGCAGATAATTTGAAAAATGTCAAAAAAGAAATTTTAGTCCCAAAAATATAAAAAAAGTTTATTGGCACTTCATTATTTGATGACATATCATTTCATCAAGTCGGTGAATTCCCATTATCTAACCACGTAACAGATTTAATTAAAGTGGTAATGGAAATATTATATATATATTTCTTTTGAAAAATAACTTTAAAAAAAACAAAGCGTCACCTTTTTCATAAATATATATTGTTTCAAGGTCAACAAAATAACTATCTGTAGTAATGCATTTTACTTTAAATCATTTTCTTTATCTTTACTGAATTTGACAGGATACAAAAAAATCCATACAATCAAGTCAAATCGAATTCGCACTTGGCATATTTAATATCGATAATATTTCATCGACTCAGTGTCTAACCACTAGAGCTAAAATCGGTGTGAACGAATGAACGCTAACAGTCACGGCTGTGAGCGCTGATTCGTTCGGTTGCTTGATATCGCGTCGTTTGATTGGCTTAATATCTATTAGGTGGAAGTGTAGTGGGGGCGAGCCGGCGACATCGGTTCTCATACTGGCGATCGCCTATCACCCTTCTAACCTCTTTCTGTGTTCTGTGGGGATTCGAACCCCTCGAGTAGGCAGACACCTTGAAACCCTGCGTATAAACCACTCGGCCACGGAGGTCGTCGGGTTACTTTTATTCTTAGATTTAATGTTATTTATTCATTGTTATCAGGTGGGAGACCCCAAAGACACAGTTCGCAACGGCGTCAAAGCGTTGTTCAGACAGATTTGCGTCGTTTACTCCGTCACCAAACTGTTCGGCTACCTGATGGAGGGGCTCAAGTCCAAGAACGCCAGACAGAGAGCAGGTTAGAGAAATCTTGTTTTACTGACTTCTTTGCAGGATAATAAAACTCTTTTATTTTGTATTAATTCCGAAAATACTTAAAAATATTTGGTAATTTTAAAATATTGCCTACTCTTTGTGAGTATTCTTTAAATATATAGAAGGCTAAGATTACGCTAATCCATCTGTTGTTAAGCGTGAATGGAGTGGTAAGAACAAAAACAAAATGGTATAAATTCTTGTTCAATTAATTTTACGAACATTTGCCCCACTGAGATTTGAACCCGGAACCTCTGAGTAGGACACCCTTTGCAAACCTGTGAATATACCTCGGAGGTCGTGTACCATCCTATAATATCATATATATTTTCATCATCAGCCTATAAAATAAAACAAGTTTCAACGGTATAGATGCTCGTATTTATTTATTTTATTGAGACTTATTAAGACGACTCATATAGTAGCAGTGTTTTACGACGAGTATATATTTTTTTATTAAAAAATGCATTTACGGAGGTGGTATACATTGTTCGAAAGTTCGACATTACGGGCCATACAACAGAGTGTGCTTATATTTTACGGTTATTTTATTTCGGTCGAATCTCCATGGAATCTCTTTTAATCTTTTCTCTCGTCTCATTTTAATACTAAAAGGAAAAAGAGACGTTAGATGTAGTTCAAATTTCCGCCACCCGCAAGTAGCGCCTACTGGAAATGCGCGCCATTTTCTTATTAGAAAAAGTTAACTTCATTACTTCAATTAGATATAGGTACTGTTTTCACGCAAATGTGTTGAAAAACGTTGTATGACGTTCGTGCGGAATTGGTATTTACAAACTCCTGACTATTCTTGGGCTTACATTCATCTACTCGTTTGTAATAACCAACTTACCGCACTAATATAATAAATGAATAATAAACTTGTATTGGCTTGAACAATAATGTGATCTTAAACTAATGACCAGCATCTCATTTTAAACTTAAACAGCATGTATCAGGAGATACAGCTGTTCCTTAAAATAGATAGTATAACATGCCAATAAATTCCAACAAAGTATGACCAAGATCTTATTAGTTTAGAAGTTAGGCGTTTAAGCCTACGTAAGTGTAAATGTGGGTGTGAGTGTTTGTGTGTATTTATATCTTAGGCCCGTATATTATAGAAAGATCCTCAGTGATTGATCTAGTCTTGAGCGTAGTTACATAACGATATAAATATAACGATATCCCTTTCTAACTGTACTCAAGTAAAGATCAACACTTAGTTGTCATTCTGTAATACGGGCCTTAGTGTGTGCAAAAATACTAGGCTCTGCTTAATATATATTTAGGTGTTAACCATTTTAAATAAATAAATAATAAATATTTCCAACACTCACACCAATTAGCCTAGCCCCAAAGTAAGCACTATAAGGCTTGTGTTATGGGATACTAGGGTAACGGATAGAATACATAAACTGTACATATATAAGTATATATATATTTTTTTTTATATACAAATACATATTAAACATCCATGACTGGAGTACAAATGCTCGTATTCATCACACAAACATCTGCCCCCACCGGGATTTGAACCCGGGACCTCTCCAGTCGGCGACACCATGCAACCCGGCGTACAAACCACTCGACCACGGAGGTCGTCGTTAGATCGATAGATTTTATCATTAGATCTTTGCATTGATAATAAATTTTGTCATTTAAATAAATATTTTATTAATGATGTTGTATTATATAGATCGACTATTACAAATAAAGTGCTGTATGTATCATAAATAACTATTACCATTTTTTCAGAATGCCTTGAATGCATCGGGCATCTGCTAGAAACGTACGGGTCCACAGTAATGTCAGGCTCAGGTGGCGCCTCGTTGAAGGAACTGGCTCGACACATCGGCGACCGCGACAACGCCGTACGATCCGCCGCGCTCAACGCCGTCGCCAGCACCTACTTCCTCGAGGGAGAGAAGGTGTACAAGATGATCGGACAGGTGAGCTACGCTTCTGTCTGGCAGTCTGGCAATATAATTGTATCGTAGGTTTCAACAAGAAAACCTTTTAGCTTTGGTATGTCCGTTGTTCGCAGTTTTTTCAGAGGCTTTTATGTTAAAAGTACTGTAACTGTTAGGCGGAGGTTACTTTCCCAGATGGGCGTTTCAATTCGAGCTGAAAATCTGCTATGTCCAACTTCTCGTAGTACTAGAAACCTTAAATTTAAAATAGATATATTAATTTATGGAATAAAATTATATAAAACATTTAGTTCACCCTGTACACATAAAGTGAAGTTAGTGTTTTTTTTTCTCGTGCACTCTACCATCCGTTCAAATGGCTAGAATTAGTGCTAATGTATTAAAATTTGTTGCAGATATCAGACAAAGATTTGTCCCTGTTGGAGGAACGAATAAAACGCGCGAGCAAGAGTCGAAGCGCGGAAGCACGACGCTCGATGGTGGTGCCGCTCTCTGCCACCGGCAAACCCATACTGCAGCAACCAGAGGTAAAAACATTGTAATTAGGAGCCTTAGATAAAATTAAATCAATTTTCTCGTTGCTGTTCTACGTATCTGTTTTATTGTGTATGTACTAAATTAGTATATAAATAAATAAAAAAGGCTACTAGCGTCGAATAAAAAAATGCTCGACTCAACTACATAATTAACGCTCTCACACATTCACATCTATAAATAATCATTTCATCGAGCGAGCGATACATTGAATCAAAAAGGGATACACGGTAAGCTCTTACTAGCGCCAAATAAAAAATCATTCGACTACTACTACATAAGCAACTCTCTCACATATTTACACCTATAAATAATCATATAATAATCAAGCAAGTGAGTTGGTGGTCCACGACTCTTGACAACCGCTGATGAGCTTTCTCTCCTTACAAACGCAAGAGTTGTATTGTTATCCTTTTCTGTATAATAAATGGCAAATATAAACGAATTCATCACATTCATAAAAAACCGTGATTTTGGAGAAAACAATGTTTCAAAAAATTACGTATGAAGTTATGCCGTGGCATTTGTTCTTGAACTATTTATGTACGTTTTAAAAAAGGCGGAGGCACTGTTTTATCTTTTTAACACGAGCATTCTAATCTTCCCACTGCTGGGGCATAGGGTTTCATTGTAAACAAACATAAATGGGAATAAGATCTAACCTATCAAGACACCAGTATGGTACCCTTAGCATGAACCATTATCGAATTCAAATAGTTTGCGAGTGCGAGATGTCATTGTCAATTTCATTTCATTCCATTCGCAAACTATTCGAATTCGATATTGGTTCGTGCTAAGGATTCGGCTCAGTGGTAGCTAATTACTACAGACGTGTCTTTCGAATGTTCTTTTTGGTAAAGCAAGATAATTTTTTAGTCATTTATCCGATAGTAGGCTATCTCGAAAGTTGCCTAACTTTCACAAACGTAGAATGAACGCGCTTGCCACTGCTTCATCTAGCTCTTCTCTCATAGAGTACTGACGTTAGATTAAAGGTATTGATCGTATGAGTACACTTCAGGATTGAAAATAGAAAAGGTTTAGTCAGATTCGCACCCAAAGGGTTCCTTACCGTAGTGCAAGATCTACCTACCAACAAATCGATTAAAAATTATCGAAAAAATCGCGTGTTTTGTCATTATAAATAAGGTTTTAAATATTATATAAATGGTTTCTGTTGAATACTAAAGCCATTTAAACGTGCTTTCTAGCCTAATATCATTTAGTGGGTGTTTATTTATCGATATGTATTCAATTTGAATTGTTACGTAAAAATGCCGCAGGTATATTATCTTTATCGTTGCTAATAATCTCGTGTTATGATAGCTATATCAGTATTTTTTTATCATCTTCACATTCCTTTAATCATGTTTCGTTTTTGATAAAGATATTTTATTCCGTGATGTTTGTAAATAAGTATATTGTGAGATTTAGTTTTTTTAAGGATTTAATTTATTAATATTTACTTAGGCCATTGATTAAATCAATATTCAAAACCGGCATCTACCGTTTGACTTGATTATTTTATTTCTTAATAACATAAAAAATAATGGTTAAGGAGGAGCCTCCACGTCGCGTCATTTCCGTGGACACGGCACCCACAGAATATCCGGAAGAAGAAGAGGAAGAGGAAGAACCTCCGCCGCCAGTTAATCCGTAAGTACCTAAATGATCCATTGCTTGGTATCGAAACTGGGAAACCTGGATTTTTTTTTTGAAAACTCGTTAAAATAACATCTTAAATGTTCAAACTAATTCATAAAAATTCCTTTAAGTAATTTTTGTATGAAAATATGTGTTTAGCAGAAGATAGGAATTTCTTGTCAAGATTTGTCAAATTTTTGTGTCACAATCCCAACTTGGTATATTTTTGCAACAAGTGGACTGAATAGATAGGCACGGGCCTTAACAGCATCTTGGTCCAAACCATTGACTAAAAGAAAGCCTTTGGTCAGCCTGCAAGTCATATTAGGTGTAGTGGATTAATAAGGCTAAGTTCAGATGGTCGCCGACGACGCATGCACATTCTAAAGCGCGTATTGTTTCTAAATCATTTTATCAGACCGTTTAGAATGTCGCGTGTTCCTAATTTACCTAATACTTGCAATTTTGTTCGGAATTGCAACGATTTTTGTCACCTCTTGTTTCTTAATCTTCATCACCTGTCGAGTAGAGTCAGTCTATTTCGATTCGTTTTATTGTTAGACTTGGCGACAATAACGGATAGTAATTAATACCATGATGTTCGATAGGATCATGTTTGATATCTGGACAGAGTGGAGTTTTTACTAGTATTTTTTTTATTTATATTTGTTAATTTAGCATTTTAATGATTAAGAATTAAAATCACTCACGAATTCTCACTGGGCCCGCGTGGAGGGCTACGGCCAATCTCCCTTTAAGGCCTGTGTCCCTGCAGTGTGGACATTAATAGGCTGATGAAGATTACAGCAACAATGTATTGAACAATTATATCTTTCTTTTTCTTAGGTTTTCAAAAATCATAATCCGAACGACGCATCCTGAAAAGGATGCGGATTATGATTCAATAAATAAATAAATCAGTGAATCTATACTCTTGAAACTATTGTCATTAGGTCAGGGTAGACAATGGCGCGTGTGATATTTTTTGTATCGCAAGCGTCTATAGGTTATGGTGGCCGCATCAGGCTGGCCATATGCATGTTTGCCTCCCTTTTAACATAAAAAATGTATGTTTATTTAGCAGGCCGGCTCCGGAGCCGCGCGTGATCACTGGCCCGTTCGGCCTTGACCCCGAGCTGATCGCGCAGTTGGACGCGGCGGTTCCCGTACTAAAACGTCCCGCATTACCGGAACTGGATCTACGGTTCTTGGACGAACCGCTGCCCGCCGCCCCCCGCCCTACCGCGCCGCCTCCTCGCGCCCGCCCCCACACCACCAGGTGAGCTATCCCCCGATACCTGTGTAGATAGCACGCGTCTATCGCCCGATAACCGCCATATAACGCCAGGAACGCTCCTGCAACTGGATTTGCGGTTCTTAGACGAGCCGCCGCCTGCCGCCCCCCGCTCCCATAACACCAGGTGAGCTATCCCCCGATACCTGTGAAGATAGCGAGCGACTATCGCCCGATACCCGCCGTATTACAGCGTTACTGCAACTGGATCTGCGGTTCCTAGACGAACCGCTCTCTGCCGCCTCCCGCTCCCATAACACCAGGTGAGCTATCCCCCGATACCTGTGAAGATAGCGCGCGTCTATCGCCCGATAGTTGCCGCCCCCGTCTCCATACCACTAGTACCTTTAGCACAAACCATTATCGGAAACGAATAGTTGACGAAGTTTCGAGCCAGATACACGTCAAATATGTACTTATTTTTAGTTTTCCTTACGTCCATTGTGGCGTCGCTGTTTAAGTTTCTATTCAAAAATTTAACAGTAAAATTTTGCACTGGCAATTGTAACGAATAAGATATAAGCATATCGACAGCGGATGAACTCGATGGCGCAAGTCCTTAGCGCGTTCGGTCTGCAATAGTGGAAATTAGGCAACTTTCATAATGATCGGTCATCGAAAGGGTGTCCAAAAACTTAATACCTTGAGCTCCTCTTTGCTTCGGGAGGCTAGTTAAGGCGTTGGCGTTGGTCCCAGCTGCATCTGCAGTCAAACATTGGACCCGTATGATGGAAGATGATGTCGCACGATCTCCCTATTTCATCCATAGGGAATTTTTGTGCGCCAGCAGCGGGGACATTAAAAAATCTGATGGTGGTAGTGTGCATAGCGAATTTGCCGCTCGAATTTGAGCTCCCGTCTGGGGAAGTAAACTCCACATTACAGAAGACTACAGTAAAAGTACTCTACCTTTTGGTAGTGTTGTGTTTCTGTCGGTGAGACCTTCACTGAGTAGGGGATTGGATCAAAGTAGGCAATAGCGCGAGTGGTGGCTTTATATAGGGCTCATCATCAGGTTTCAATAGCTTTTAACCATTTATTTTTTGCTTTGCATGGCTTTCAAATGTGGATAATCGAAATAAAATAGATTAGCTATGTAAGTAATAACGTAAATATTGAATGGTGTTTATCGATACAGAAATAAAACACTCAGTATGGTCAGCACCATCTCAATAACGTGAGAAGATTTATTTTATTGAGACTTATTAAATTTGATGTCACTTGATGAACACAATTTTTTTTTCAATAAATGCAAAGCTCGTTTGATAATCGAAGTTTTCCTCATAGCGAGAAACTAAAATGGCGAGTAGGCTGTATATCGATACAACTTTTCAAACTCAAATACTAACTTGGCAAATTCATTTATTTCACTTATCAAAGGTACTTTAGCAATTTTTTTTAGTTTTTGGGTACCGTACCCAAAGGATAAAAACGGGACTCTATTACTAAGACTCCGCTATCCGTCTGTCACCACGCTGAATATCATGAGTTCATGAACCGTGATAGCTAGACAGTTGAAATTTTCACAGATAATATATTTTTGTTGCTGCAATAACAACAAATACCAAAAATGTAAATGTTTATTTTATTTTTATTTATTTATTTATTTATTTATGGTACAGCGACAGAGTACAAATTATAACTTACATATTATTATACAAAATTATTGTAATACATAAACTTGCACCCCAATTGATGCTGAACACGACATTTGCTTAATTTTAGCTCTCAAATTTGAATAAATAATTATTATAATAATTAATGATGCAATTACAATTAAAAAAAAAAAAGTTTAAGGGGGCTCCTATGGGAGCCCCCCGTAATAGTTATTGTATGTAACAAATAGGTTTATTGCCGTTTTTTGCTCGACATTATAATTAAGTGTTTAATGCTGTATAGTTGTGGTACGGAACTCTTCGTGCGTGAATCCGACTCTTGGTCTGTTTTTTATGAACTCTCGGTTAATATAATAAATAAAATTGTGTTTATATTGATTGGATATATCTCCGCTCTATATACTTTAGTGTTAAAAAAATACAATTATGTTCATATTTTTAAGCATGGTGCCAATGTCCCCGCCGAGACATATGACGCCACACCCGCTGGTGTCGCAACAACACACGCTTTCGTCGGTGGACGATTCCCAATTGGCAGACACCATCCATTCGATAGCGAGTCCGGACCTCAATGTAAGTGTTAATGATAGGGATACTAGGCTTACTTGAAAGAAAATCTAAAGCTGTTCGTGATTCGTACTTAAGTTTAATAAAACTTGTAAAAGAAAACATTGTTTATATTCAATGCACTACGTTTATACGCTAAGGGGAATGCTATCTTTATTACACTATCGCTTATATAAGACAGAGATGTAAAGCTACGTCACACTAGAAAGTGTTCATTGAAAGAAGTAATGTCAACAATTCAATATGGCTACTGACAGAATGTCTGACGAAGGATTTGATTTTATTAATTAGTCGTCATTGAAGTGTGAATTTGAAATATTTTTTAGAAATAATATAACATGCTATACTAAAGCGGTCTTCTTCAAACGAAGTTTAAAAATAATGTTTCAAAAGGCACTCGCATTCCTGATGTCTATGTGAGACGGGTATCATTTTACATCAAGTGGCCCTCCATCTACCTCCGAAGGCAACAAAAACAAAATAATGATTTGGCCACATTCGTATAGTTACAAATCTGGAAAAATTACTTCAGCTTACAAACTTTCATCTCTCATTTCAACCCTTTAGCTTAACTATTTTGTATTGTTATATAACCAGGTCTCTTGGAGCGCCATGATATCGGCTTCATCACATAGATGCCTAACGCGTGAGACAGAGCTCTTAATCGATTTACAATAGGCTAGTTGCCTATATTTTAAAAAGTGGTTAATAATATACCTTGATGTTTATTTAACCCCAAAAAATATTATTTTAAATAAAAAAGTACATTAGCAATATGTATTTTGTATTTTAAAAAACTTATCCAAATTTCCCTCGAAAACGCTCTAGACTGTCATGGCGTCTAGAATGACGTCACGCCGTGCAAAGCAAACAATACGCTGTACGCCGACTATTAAATTTATTTAGTTAAAAATGAATCCATCGTATTACAAGTACTGTATAGTGTCCTAGTATAAAAGGAGAAGCATAAAACGCCAGACTAATTATTTATATGCCACAAATGCGGAAAAAATGGTTAGAACTTGCAAGGAGGGATGGTACCTATTCATTGTTTATCAACAAATACAAGAATAATTTTGTGATGAACATTTTGATGTAAGTATTTTGCATAACATAATCAATGAAATCAAAATGTTATACAAGCCGGATAAATTATATTGCATTATATTGATAAAACAATGACAATAGGTTGAGGTTAGGTAAGCTGATTTAATTTTATGGTATGATTTAGAGTCTATTTGAGAGTTCAGTATATTTATTCATAATAATAAACACTTCTTATTCTTGTTCTAGTTGCCAAATGATATGCTTAATTATGTCGAGTAGTTATGCGATTATTTTTTTATTTTGGTTAAAATATTATTATTTGCTTCGGTACTTCCCAATTCCATGGATTTATTAGGCTTCCTTTCAATACTTATCTGAAAACAAACTGATAATTGTATCAAAGTAACAATAACATGAATGAGATATTAATGAAATGTATGGAAACGGCAACCACAAGTAATGTTTTGCAGGTGGTGACGTCAGTCTTTCTGATTGGTGTTTGCCGTCACGTGATCTAATGCCTATTTTATTCGAATTTATTTTCTAAAAATAATAATAATCTTTAATTATTATGATAAATAGCTTTATTTTTTGTTATCTGTATATCATAATTCATATTTAGAAACTGTAACCCATTCGATTTATTGTTATTTGACACAAGCCTATTGTATGAAATCATAGTAGTGTTTTTTATAATATTGTTGTGTGATTTACTGTCCATATTTTATTTATTTATTTCTATGACGTTTTATGTAATCTAGCTGGTCGATCATGAAAGCGTCGATACTTAACTCCCGTCGGCCAAAAGTCACTAGACAAAAATTTCTCTAACCTATCTTTGTTTATCACAACCTTAAACGAGCTGAAGTCGGTGTCATGTTTTTTTTATAGGCGGCCATCCGTGCTCTCTCACTCATCTCCGGCGCGTTAGTATCAGGACGCGGTGCAGCGCTTGCAGCGCATGAACAACGCTTAGTTAGCGCTGTAGCGGCCCAAGTGAGGCGTTTGCGGACCGGCGCCTGCAATGTAACCCCTGAGGAAGCCCTGCCAGCGTATAAATATTTAGCCGGCGCTCTTACAACGGTAAGAATATACAGTACCGGGCCTACCTAGCATTTTAATGGTCCATAGCTAAAACTAAATGTTTCATTGAGCAAAAGGTAGGCAGTTTTGAAGCTGATTTATTAAAAATATTTTTGTGTTTTTTAAATTATTGCTCAATCATTTACATTTTATTTTTGCGACAGCCCTTTGATACTTATGACACTAATTGGGCCTATAGATGTGTCCGGAAGTATAATTTGTACTGGCGAGTAGATTGTTCTGTCAAAGAAGTCGGACGATTGAAATTTAACAAAATAATAAAAAAATTGTGTTTAAACACAGCATTAAGAGTTCGCTGTGAATACCGACTCCCCTCCTGGTCGCTACGGCCTCGTTGCTTTATGCTATATAGGGACGAAGACTTAACTCTTTTTCTCTTCGTTCATGAGGTAGATTAAAAGAAAATAGATTGTACATATATTTTTTTAAACATTTCAGAGATATATTGACTTGTAAATGTCACGTCGTCGAGATACAACAGTTTTTACTTATAAGTGACGGCACGACCCCACTGACAAACTTTGACGGGCTTTATCTTGGTTATTTTTGGGTCATTGACAAAACAATATATACCTAAGTGTCTATTATTTTTCGACTATATAACGTAACCATCTTACTATTTCGATGTGATGCCATTGGATGCCATGCGTCACAAGAGAGAGAGCTAACTAGCGGTCTCTCATATTCTTTCTCTTTCTACTAGACGGACACTTTTAGAGCCGCCTTCTCCACTCTATTCTTATACCTCTGTGGGGTTTATTCGTTTGTTGTAGTTCTACGACACGGCCGGCTGCGGCGCGCAAGTGGGCGAATCGGCGCTATGCTCTCTACTCGGCGAGCTCCTCCGCGTATTGGGAGCGGAGGCGGGAGCGGGAGCGGGCGCGGACGCGGAACGCTTGGTGCGGGTGCTGAACAACGTGTGTGTGCGGGTGCTGGAGCACTCGCCGCGCACCGCGTTACTATGGTAACGTATTCGTTAGCTGACTGTTATTATATCGGCGCTTTGCTCTCTACTCGGCAAGCTCCTCCGCGTATTGGGACACCCGTATACGGGCTAAAGACCAAGTGTAATTGAGCCGTTATTTCATATTTTAGGGCTCCCAGTCCCAGTGGAACTGTAGTCACAGCGACCTTATAGATTTTTGTGACTCGCCAAGTTAAAGTATCTCTTTTAGCCCGATAGCTTCCAGGAAGCTCAAAACTTGCTGAATATAGACTAGTCTATTAATTTATGTCCCCACTGCTAGATGTAGGTTGCTAGGTAGCGGAAAAGCATGGATCTCGGCCACCTGTCTCAATTTCATCGTTTTAAAACTTCATCGTCACGATGATTTCAAGTCAAGTGGATGATTTCTGCCAGGGGCTCAGAAAATTATTTTCATTTTAAAAATTTTCCTATTTTCCGTTTTATCATATTGGTTTTTAATTTACGCATCTATTATATAGATAAGTTTGTAGAGAAATTATTCAGGATTGATTTAAGACATAAATTAAGCCTGGATATACAGTAGAATTCGAATAATAGGAGGAACATTAGCCGGAAAACTTCGATTTTCCTGCCGTGAAAAACAAAGTGGATGGCTGGCTACACAGCCGAGGTGTTAATGCCGCCACTGCTGGGACCTTCTCGCTCTACGGACTAAATAGGGAGATTGGGTCATGACCCATCACGCCCGCCCAGTGCAGATTGGGGGGTGCTTAACGACTGCAAATACGACCGGGACCAACGGGTAAAAAAAAATTGTTTTGCCATCCGATAACCGGCCATTGCGAAAGTTACTTATCCACGATGGCAGACTAAATGAGGATTCACCTCCAAGGGGGTGCTCCCTTGTGTGCAGATTAGTCGATACTACTGACTGAACATTCTAATTTTTGCTAACTTCATTTAATTTATCATCATTTTCGCTGTGGATATGACTTTCTGCTTCTTAGTTTTATACTCGTGAGTGGATTGGATAATATATGTTTGATTGTACTGTGCTTGAAAATTGTGTAAGGCTTATGAATGCTACATCATTTTGTTTTATCCTCTGTTATAACATGCCATTGGTGTTATATGAATATCTAAATTAAATAAATATTTACTAAGTAATAATCACAAAGCAAACACAACGAATGAATCATTTATTCATTAACGTTTCGCACCATTTTCAGGATGCGTCGTCTTTATTATATCTTGAAAAGGATGCGAAACGTCAATAAATAAATAAATCAGTGCATATATACCGTTGAAACTTATTTCATTTAATGAGTGGTGTGCGTGAAAACCTAAGAAACAAATAAACACTAACAATACACTAATAAACATAAAACTCTTTTCACACACAGTGCCATAGTGTCACTACTCCACGACTCCATCGGTGTGTCAGAGCCGGCGTACCCACGTTACCAGGATCTGCTTCTCAAGTGCTTCTGGAAGACCCTCAAAATGATCTCCGGATGGGACGTCAACTCCATAGACTACGATGCGGTGCTGTACAAGATACATCTGTTCTACACTGCTTACCCTAATAGCTATTGGAAGAAGAATCCCGATATAAGCGACACACCGTACAGGTGAGAAATTTGTTTCTAATAAATCAAAAGTAAGTATTGAAAAGCCAATCGTTTTGACCAAAAGAATAAAGGCAAACTAGTTGAGTTCATTTAACAATATTTTATTTAAATTTAGTTTTATGGTACTATATTCACTGAAATAGTACCGACTTGTCTGTCAACGGTGGAGGAACGACAACAATGCAATCCAACCTTCTTTCCCGTGTCACGCAGTTTTCAATCCTTGTCTAGTATAAGCGTTTTTGCGCTTAATCAGCTTCGCTCATTATAATAATGTGATTTCTTAAATATTATTAAATATCCATCTAAAGAATGCAAGGAAGAAAAAGACACCATTCTGTCACTGATGCTTCTAGTTCATTCATGAGAAAATATTTATTTATTCTTTATTACCAAAATACAGTAAATAGTGGTGTATATGAGACGGATGTAAATAAACGTTTGTTTTAAATATATCTAAATTAATTGTTGCCGTATTGTTATTTTACAGGACAGTGAAAACTCTGGTTCATACTCTAGTCAAAATCAAGGGTGCTTCCATCACGAACCATCTCACGCAAATACCAGATGTCAACGAATCGGATCTGTACCCGTACTTGCTAAAAGTGTTAAAGGTATGTCACAATGTGTCTTAAAAAGAGGTTATTTCCTGATTTGGGTCAGTTTTTAATAATATTTAGGTAGAACTTTTGACTAGAGAAAAATCAATTCGGGTACTACAATTAATTAATAAATATTAGGATAATTGACGATGACAAACACGATGTATCAAATGCCGGTACTTCACTTATCTATTCGTGTTTGCTATTTGTAAACTTGACAACACCTGCCCCCACCGTAGCCTTATACAGTGCGGCGTAAGGGCGAAAGTTTAATGACATCTGCCTACTTGTTTACAACTCATGCGCGTTACTTATGTATAACTAGTGTCTACGTACTCGCCGGTGCTAGTGAACTGGCATTATACCTAGTCAGGTCATAAATTCTGTCACATGTTTAATATAAAATAATTGACACAAGTTTATTCATTATGTAACCATTTATATACCAAAATGAACTTAACAAAACATAGATTCTTATGACGATAAAGTTTATTCAAAATGACCTCCGTGATTTTGAATACAGGCCTTCAATCTGCGCGGCCAGTCGTCTATCGCAGCACGAACGGGGTCCATGTCAATATCGGCGGCTGCCTTAATCAAGGATGTCTTGAGTGACTCCTAATTGGGTTGAGGCTTTGAGCACGCCTTTTTCTCCAAGTGTTGCCATATCTTGTAATCTAACGGACTCAAATCTGGACTGGAGGAGGGCCAGTCTTCGTGCCGGATGAAGTCGATTTCACGCGCCGCCAGCCACTCTTGTGTGCTCTTCGCTCTATGAGCTGGCGCCGAATCTTGTTGGAATACCCAGTGCCTGTTATTGAACATGGTATGAGAAACAGGTTCCACAAGGTTCGTCAGGACTGTATTTTGATACACAATTGCATTCGTTTTTACACCTTTCTCACAAAAATGTACCTCCCAAGTCCCAATAAGAAACTCCCAACCATACCATGGGCGAGGATGGAAAATGACCTCGTTGGACACGTGGAATACGGTTGCTCGCTTCTTCACTACTGTGTGCGTACACACTTCATTTTGTTTGTTGTAGCTCTCTTCTACGGTAGAAAAAAAGAATTTCCCGATATTTTTTTCCCGCGTACCGCTTCAACAAAGCGCGGCATCTCTTCAGTCTCAGGTCCATTAGACGAGCATTTAAACGATCTCCTGTTTTTCTTCGATATGCCCGAAGCCCTAAGGTATTCATTTAACACCCTTTTCACCCTGGTTCTGCTTAACCCCATCTGAAGGGCCAACAATTTCTGCTTACGTTTGGGATTTCTTTGAATTCGCGCCTTCACAGCTTTTATCACTGCTGGAGTCCTAACAGACCGAGGGCGACCACTTCTTGACCTGTCAACTACACTAGAGTCTTCATTCATATCGTTTAATGGTACGATAAACGAATCTTTTGGTTATATTCAGATTTTTCAGTATGTCAAAAATTTTAATTGGCGCGTAACCGCAACGATGCAACGCAATAACTGCAACACGGTCTTCTTTAAACGTTCACTCCATATTTAAAAATGAATAAAATTCGAAAAAGTATCCATTTTTATTTTCATGAATAATTCGAAATTCGAATTCAATAAACTTTTTTGTGGCCAGCATTCTAAAAGAAAAGCTTTTACTGTGTGACAATACTTATGACCTGACTGTGTACATTGTAACCCCATCCCGACAGGTAACAATACTATCTCTTTGAACTCGCGCCAAAAATGCATAACAGTAGAAATGCTACAGTGGCACCAACTTATAGCGTAAATTTTCAAACGTAATTATTTTCAATCAATCAATTATTTATAAGCAAAAACAGGTGATACAAAGGTGTTTAATTATAATACATAAGAAGCTTATTCCATATTTAACCACAAGGTATGCAAATTTAAATAAACAAATAGGAACATCCATTTACAAAGTTTTGTCCTCTAAAAATTTCTTAATACTATAATACGCCTTTGTAAGTAATGTATGCTTTAATTTAGAACAAAATATTTAGCAAATTTTATTCCATTAGCAACTCAAACTGGATGAAAAGAAAGAGAACACATCGGATGCCATAAACGGCAGCTCAGTGCTGGGCGTGGGCAATAACGCGGCATTGAACTCGGGCCGATTGCCGCGAGCTTTGCACGAAGAACTGGCACAAATACTGAAGCGGATCGGCACTAAGGAGCATAACAAGGATGCTCTCGCACAGCTATATGACCTCAGGGTGAGTAATTTGTAAGGATTATCTGTACTTTAATTCATGTAATATAGGTAAATTAAAATTGCGACTTATTGCATGTCAAGTTTTGATATGGACTGATTTTTTGTTTTTTGAGTTTTTATATGCTGCTTGCATTTTTGGTTTTGTAAAAACTTGATTACATAATTTTTTGTATAATTCTTAATTTGATAAAAATTTAATTAAAGTCCAGTCGTGGAGCAGGAAGAATTTCGTACAATGGCCTCTTTACCTACTGACAGTGGTCACAAACATTTTTGTATTTAATGCGGTTTACATGAAAATTTGAAGGAGAAAGAAAATTTACCAACTTATTAAATCAATTATTGTTATTATATAAATTAATTATTTAGATTTTATACTTTAATTTACAAAAATCGAGGCAAGTACTAATTCGGCAGAAATAAAAAAATGAAAATTCAAAAATCAGAATCCCAAGGCCAACCAAAACTACATGCGAACACGAACAAACCTTACAGTCTCAGGTAAAAGGTTTGCAATCCCTAATTACGGCGGCCATTGCATCTGTGCGAGCGAGATTCATTATATTTACGCGGGAGTGACAGAGACAGGTAATAACAGGTTAAAGTACGAAATTCTTCCTGCTTCGCGACCGGACTTGTGAAAACGAAATAAGTCATATTCCTTTCCTACTGTCGATTTCTGTTATACTTACTTGTTTTATGCGTTTTCTCATCCATATTAAGATAAATAAACTATCCCACCAGGAACGTCACCCAGAAGTGGATATTTGGACCTTCATGCAAGGCTCATCGTTCTACTTCCGTAACTACGTGGAACGCGGCCTCAGGGAGGTGGCAGAACAACGCAAGCTCAACTCCATACCCGTCTACAAGCACGACTACAAGCAACACAATATAGGTCAGTTATAATTAGAGATCGAATAGTCGGATGCATATTTACCTAAAGCTGAGATGTTCACTCATAATCGTAATCAAAATCATTTATTCAGTTTAGGCTGTTACAAGCACTCATGAATGTCTAGAACAATGTTTCCTAACCTTTCCAATACTGGTACCCCTGTAACCTATAAGGAAACTAGATTTTACCCCGACTTTAATATATTATCATCAGTCCAAGAAATTCCAATTTGGCCGCTACATCTTCGTCTCTAATAATGTCATCATCAGGAGGAAATCTCGCCCCGCTTGCCACACTCAGCACCCCGCGGGCTCGCTAGCAAGAAGGAGCGCATGCTCTATTTAGAAGTATTATTATATAGTATTTTCTTATTATTTAGATTTGATCAAATAATATGGTTCTTTGTTACCCCCGAAGTATGGCTGATTTACCCCCGGAGGGGTAATTACCCCCAGGTTCGGAACCCAGGGTCTAGAAGCTACGCCATCGGTTCGTAAATCTACGGCGGGAGACCTTTTTCTGAGAAGAACCGGCAAGAAACTCAGCAAGGGCTGTATTTTTCTCCCTGTTTTATTATTTACAGAGTCGTCAAGTTGAAAAATGACTTTAGATGAAGTCACCTTTCATTACATAATGTGAAATTATAAAACCATATAAGGTATTATTTAAACATTGAAAGTCACCTTTAATGCATACTATATAAGGTTTTAATTAAAACGCATGCATCAAAAACTTCTGGCAGATCGAAATGCAAGCTCGTAAAATTTTACGACTCATTGATTAATGCGGAAGAATATAGACCTTATTCTTTTCACTCTACGCACAGTCCTGAATGCGCTGTTAGCAATATAGCAGGTAAGGACCGCGAGGAAAAGAGACGGCTATACGGCGACGAATAACCGACCATGCATTTGAATATCATAAATATTTTGTATTAAATCAGTTTATAGTAAGTATTAGAACAAAGTTTGCTTCAAATGCGTTAAATTAACAAGCATTGTTATAATTTATTTTATGTATGTTACAAAGTATTGTTATTCCAATAAATATATTGAAATGTAAAAAAAAAATATATTTTAAAGCAGTTACATGCTTTAATTCTAAAGAAAATATAACTAGAAAAAATTCCACACGGACCAGGCAGCAGACGGGACTCGAATCCGGGCGAATGCACTGACCAATTATGCTACCGCGGCCCTCACGGACCGCGTCGAAATTCTTCTAGCCATTCTTAAGCTGCAAGGCAGCGCCATCTCTTCGCATTATAGGTAACCCACAATGTCAAATGAATACTTTTACAAGTATTAAACATTTGAAAGAAGAAATAGCAATTATAGTTATAATTTTTATTATTTTAAAGCATGTAACTGCTTGATGTTTAAATCTTGCAGCTTAAGAATGGCTAGAAGAATTTCGACGCGGTCCGTGAGGGCCGCGGTAGCATAATTGGGCAGTGCATTCGCCCGGATTGCGAAGGGTGCGGGTTCGAGTCCCGTCTGCTGCCTGGTCCGCGTGGATTTTTTTCTAGTTATATTTTCTTTAGATTTAACAAGCATTGATTAGATACCTGTCGGGAAACCGACACTTTTCGTACTATAAGATTTTTTTTCGTGGAGCTCTGTGGCATTTTGAATTCGTAACGGTCCGCGCGTGACTGCGAACCAAGAAGTGCTTGAGTGGAGTTCATTTTGAGAGCTCGTGATGTATCTAGGGTATTTAATATCGTTGGCTAACAACCCCCATTCATGAACTGATGAAACCATGTATATATGCCCTTTCTGTACTGTTATGCGGTGTTTTCTATAAAGTATTGTGTTTTTATAATTGAAGAGTGTCTATTCAAAAGGGCTTATTTAATTGTTATTTTGTTTTACAGAAATGGCAAAAATACAAAGATATTAAAAATCCTTTCTATGCAAAAAAATACAACTTTTAAACTGCTAACACACGCAGAAAACACACACGCATGCACACCCACGCACGCACGCTCACACACATATAAACACACACGCACACATACACATAAACACACACGCACACAAATTAATTCATAAAATCCTGTTTGTTTTTTTTGTATTCCACTTCATTTGTTTTGTTACAAATAATAATTGCATATAAATTTTATTGATGTGACGCTATCCTATTTCTAATATTAGGGTGCGTACCATACAGATTTCTCCTCGTGTGGCACTCTTAAGTCAATTCTATAGTATTGTATTATATTCCTTCCTTAAAGGCCGGCATCGCATTTGTGATACTCCTGGTGTTGCAAGTGTCCATGGGCGACGGTGATCACTTACCATCAGGTGAGCCGTCTGCTCGTATGCCACCTATAACATAAAAAAAAATGTTACGTTTATTCATAAATAAAAAAAAAACCTTTTAGTAGCTCTGTTATGCATGTACGATTGTTTGTAATTTTGTAGAAATTAATTAACTTATGTGTTCATGGTGTACCAACTTATTGGAAATAATTAATTATTATTTATTTATTTGCTGCAACTTCAAAAAAAGTAAAATAAAACTTTTCGATGCGAATGCCACTTTTTGAATTGGAATTTTACAAATGGAATAGAATAGGTTGTGTTAGTGTAAGCTAAAATCTTTCAAATGACGTGGAGAATCAAATGGCATAACCTATTTGAAAATAATAAAAACGCTAAATTATATAAGCCCCTTTGAAAATAATCTCCTCAATCACCCACCAATAAATTTTGCGTAGGTCTTTTAGGTTTATTTTAAACTTTTATTCATCTTTGTTTCAGACATTAGCAACGAAAATGATGAGAAATCACATGTAATGTTCTTAGAACGATTACGTGCTTTACAAGTAAGTGTCAATTCTGTTGAATTTTTGTTTAAATCTTTCACCTTTTTTAAGGCAATGTTATGGCAAAGGCTTCTGCCCATTTTAAAAGTTTTATATTATAAAAATTACATACCTACTTAATTAAAAAATAAATTTGTATTAGGGTAATTTATATTTACAACTTTCTAAATGGTATCACAACTTACGCTTAACTTACCCTGCACAGAGTATTTGAGGTTATCATCATTACCAGCCTATGAAGTTGATAAATGTTTAGATTTGTGACCATGGCACCTTTACAGCAACTTGTAAAGGTTCCGAAACGTCAGGAATATTGAAAAAAATAGCGCTCTATACCTGGGTATATCGTCTATCGCGATTGCTATCGCTTTCGCTTACGATTTCATACTTTTCTTACCAATGTAAATTTAAAAACAGCGCGAGGTATTTGAAAACTTGGCAGCCAAAAATGACAAAATAAAATTGTAAGCGATAGCCATAGCAATCTATTTAGGCGATTGGCCCCCTACGCTCATAAAGTGTGTGTGAAAATATTTAGCAAATTAATATCTTTCTTTTCAAATTAAGGCGAAAGCAGGTTTGAAGAGTGAATCTACGCCATCATCACAACCCCGAACTCCGATGGGAGACAACCGGAGTCTAGCAGATTCCATTAACGAGAACACACTGCCTAGAGCGCACAGCATCGACCCGCAGCTAGAGGTAAGGAATACGGAATATATTTCGACTGTTTATTAGCTCAACAATCTAATTTAATACAATATGTGAGATACATAGTGTTTTCATGTGATTGCTAAGCGAGAACACACTGCCTAGAGCGCACAGCATCGACCCGCAGCTAGAGGTAAGGAATACGGAATATATTTCGACTGTTTATTAGCTCAACAATCTAATTTAATACAATATGTGAGATACATAGTGTTTTCATGTGATTGCTAAGTCAATTTATTTATTTAAAACATACAATATTTTTAATATTGATAAGGTCGGTATAAGATGTTGTTAGGTGAGCTAATTTCGTAATAACTCAAGACAGACGGTTCCTTAAGTAGGGGTTGAATAAATTAACCGACTTTGCATTACATAGATCTCACAACTTTTGACGGTAGAAGAAGTAGAACTGAGTTGTGAGACTTGCTTTTTTTTCCAAGTTATTACAAAAGGGGTTTAGGAATGAGATCTGATTTTAGTAGTTTCTGGTTGTCTGCTTGGACTGCGTCATGACGAGAATACACTTCCTAGAGCACACAGCATCGACCCGCAGCTAGAGGTAAGGAATGCGGAATATATTTTTTACGTAAAGGGTTTTGAAACAAGATCTAATCTAAGTAGTTTCTGATTGTCTGCTTGGACTGCGTCACAACGACAACACACTTCCTAGAGCGCACAAAATCGACCCGCAGCTAAAGAATACGGAATATATTTTTTACAAAAGGGGTTTAGGAATGAGATCTGATTTAAGTAGTTTCTGATTGTCTGCTTAGGCTGCGTCACAACGAGAACACATCTTTTAGTGCGCACAGCATCGACCCTTGGCTAGAAGTAAGGAATACATTTGCAACAAAAAGGGCTTAGAAATGAGATCTGATTTTAGTAGTGTCTGATTTTCTTGTTGGGCTGCGTCAATACGAGAACTCTCTACCTAGAGCGCACAGCGTCAACCCGCAGCAAGAAGGTTCTTTTAATGACCCACAATAGGCTAAAGGAAATGTACCAATTTTTGGCATCTGTATTTAATATGAATATTAGCAGTGATTACACTGTTCTGAAAGAACAAATAATTAATAACTTTTTTATAAAATTATTGAATAGAAATTAATTTTTTGCTCCATGGTCACGTGACAGAGAACACCTGGGATTGACCAAGACTAAAATTAAAATGACTTCACACGGTAGTAAACTTTCGGCTAAAGTGACACAAAATTGTATCGTTTGGCGTTTTATTGACAGTTGTGTGACGTCACACACTAGTGAGACGCCATAATGTCCAGAGAACCGTTTCTGCGGCAACTTAAAATTTTATTTCTCTTTTTTTTTTACTGAATTACAACATAATTAAAAATATCACTTTTTATGGACTCCATAAACAGTAAATAACGTGTGATCGTTTTCTAAAACTTGTCAAATACCCTTACTACTACTTAATACTTTTGTAACTTAATACAAAAGTAGCACTTTCTATTTAATTGCCATTCATTAATGCATCAAAAAATGACTAATTCATTCATTCAATACATCTATTCAACATAATTAGCCACTTAGTAAAGTAATTAGGTTAAAAGCTAATTATCAAAAACTTGATAAACACGAACATGACTTAACTATTGGTATTGGTATGCACAACAAATTATCATAATCAATAATGACTATTATTACGATTCAGAGACGTAAATAGAATGAGTACATATACGGTTTAATATCGCTTCGAACATTGTTCTTAGATGCCTTGACTATGGGATCCGATGACCTTTTGCGTAATGGTGTTACTAGTAATGTGCGGCAACTCTAAAGCCACCCCTGACAAATAAATTGCGAATAAAGTAACTTTCCCTATAAAATCTTATCTGAAATTGATATAAGTAACCATAGAGTATCTGATAATATATTAAAGTAAATGGAGAAACTTTTTTCATGTACAGTTTAAAAGCTTTTAACCAAAATCCGAGTTTGTTTTATAAAATCTTTTCATTTTAATTAAAAAGGTTTCGTATACTATTTGCATTTATCTTGTTAATTTTGATTATTTTGTTTCAGTTACACACAACACAACCGGTATCTCACAAGAACGAGGCAGCCGTAGACGCGCTCAGACTAAAATTACAACAGATCAAGAGCTCCTCGAAGAGATAAGGTTGTCCCTTTCTCACCACACCCGGATTTGTAGCTCTCTCATTCACGTTTTGATCATCACACGTTCAAGCGACTTTACACCATTCGGTATTGTAAAAAGGATGAAATCTGCACTGACACCACCTCAACGAGTGAACTGAACACTAATTTTGAGGTTTCAATGGCAGTGACCATTATTTTGTGGAAGGATTTTTAACAGCTACAACACGATTTATTACATGACCATTTAATCTCATACCTATATATTCGTCGAGTCCTTAGTATTAAAAAATCCTATAGTAATTACTTTAATGGCCTATGTGTGTCTTATTAAACGTCCAATGATACTCTCCCTCGACTATGTGTTTAAAAAACATGACAATATATGGCATTCGATATCGCCAAAGACAGGGTAAAAAGCTTAAAAAAACCACGCATAGTGTACGACGGTATGTGTTTTGTCAAAATGTTAGTGTTGATCGTTGAATGAAAAAATTCCAAATGAATTTCTAATTAGTCCATTAGCGACTAATGTTCATGTTTACTTTAATGTTGGCTTGCTAATTGACTCATAAGTAATTCTGCACCTCAGGACCCATTCATGTTGTTTGAATAAAAATAAATAAAAAAATATGCATAGCTTTTTGCCAAGTCGAGCAATATCGGTTAGTTGAGCATAACTTCACTTGTTGTTATGAATGTTAATGAGTAAAGTGCAAAGGGCACTTTAAATTATAAACACATGCATTTCAACATTATCACTTAACATGCACGCCAAAAAGTAATCTAGTGCTTAACATTTGGAATCACTTTGGATTTGTAAAAGAATCGTATTTCTGTTCCAAAATTGTTAGTTGCGAATGCCCTTTTTCTTATTATAACATTATAAAGAGGCATATTGCCAGAACTAAGTTGTATAGAACCTCCATGATTTTCGGCTACACTCATTTCTATGTATGTATGTTAAAATTTAAATACTGTAATAATGTGATTATTAAAATACCTGCATTTCACATGGCTATTCGTATTTGCAAACTTGAGAACAGTCTTTTCTTTTTACTCTATCAAAACAACTTACTGTCAGTATGACAAACAGCTAATACGAATAACCATGCCAAGTGCTTGCATGACGTGTGTGCACAATGATATGAATTTGCACGTTGTTAGTAACACTAAGAAACGACTCTTGCCCCATCAATTAATACTTGGATATATTTGGCCTCTGTAGATAGAGTAGTACCGATGAAATTTAGATTTTCACTCTAATTGTTATTTTATATCTCTGAATTTTAAAGGGATTTGGCAAATCGTTGATTTGGAGTGCCGAATTCGAATTTACCTTTGAATCACGGTAAACTAATTTGGCAACTAAGTTTTCCCATCCAGTGATAATAATGCCATGTAAAACAAAAATATATAACACGTGTACTCAACCATACTATCTAACCAATTACCACAATAATCGATGTTATGAAATCTTAAGGTAATAAAGTGATTAGTTAGTAAATAGACCAGTTGTAGGACAATTGTGAAACCTTAATTGTATTGTTGGCTAATAGATTGATAGGTATGCTCCGATTTTTACGATACCATAGCTGCTATATATTGTAACACTGAATACGAGCACGAAAAAAAGCGGCGATGGTAGGTTATCTACAAAAGAATTCCATTGTCATTATGCTTTCAATTACATATTACGACCCTAGTAGTGAAAGTTGATTGCTATCAATATAGTTTTCATTATGATTGAAGACTATAATTGATATATTGTTTGATTTTCGTGTTCTTTATAGAGTGGGTTTTGTTTGGTTGTGTTTGATAATTTTCAAAGAAATGTTTTTAAATTGACTTAATGTTTGAGAAAAGCATGATAATGTACATTTACTATTCATGTAAGTTGTCTGGAGGCAGGATACTGAAATCAATTTAATTATTACTCTTGTTATAGTTCCAACAATCGCAATTGAAAATAGGCTGATGGAAAAAATTATGTTTGGCAAAGTTTATTCATATGAAACTGATCAGTTTTAGAATTGAAAATGTTAGTTTTAGTTACTTCACAGATGTGTTGTGTTTTAAACTCTTCTTTTTATTATAGTTCGGTTTGCCATCATCCAGTAGGTTTGTTAGAAATCTTTTAAGCTTGGATGAGGTTGGGCGTTATGATTTGTGGATTCACATATTCTGAAGTTCAAATACGTAAATTTTAACATTCCTCTCAGTATTGGTTTTTCTACGTAGACTTAATTGTTCATTTCACCCCATCACAAATATTTATCTAACATCATCGTTATTCTCACAAACTCGTTATCAATTTTAGATTGGTTCTTAATTTAAATTTTAGTATTTCAAGGGAGACTTTATGACGGGAGTGAAGCTGTTGGATAAGAGTTGTTCCCACAGTCAACAAGAGTGAGAATCATTCATAATACGGCTTTTCACGATTTCCTTTATATAGCGGTTAGGGTCGGCGTTCACTTGTCTCATTTTTTGTTAGGATAAGATAGAACCAACCAACAATCGATTCGACAAGTTATAAATGTCATGGTGCCAGATTCGTCAAGTTTGTTGATGTATTGTTTTGTTTGTCCAGGTTTAATTACCATATTATGTTTATTACTGTTAGGTTAATGATCATACTCTGTAGTTTAAAATATTATTTTGCTTTTTTTACCTACTGTTTGACATCATTAATAATTGTGAACATTTATTTATTGTATGTAAATTAATATTGTAAAATCATGATGTAACAATGATGAATAAAGTTCATACAACACTGTATAAAAAACTTTTTATTTTGACAAAAACAAACAAACACATCTGTAAATCCTGCATTCTACATCTTTTATGGATTACATGCAGCGATGTTTATCTAATTAGTACAGTCAATCTGTAGGTTGAGTGGTGAAAAAAAAAACCTAAAGGGTAAGTCTTGTTTTTTCTGTTGCCAAATGACGTCAGTATGCCACCTTGGCGATGGGCATGTTCAACTCGTAGGCGTTTTTTGAAAAACTCAAAAAACCGTCAAAAATTTTTTGAAACGCATTTTTCTTGTTTTGTATGCATTTTAGAAACTTTTTTTTCGACCATAATTGTAGAAGGCGTTCAGTACTACAATTTATGTCATTGTTGCAATCTCGTACAACAAAAAATGCGCATTGTAGGTGGCGCTAAAGTCTCAAAAAGTGTATTTCACTTTTTCACCCTGAAAATATCATTTTAATGGAAAACTTTAAATGGCTAAGTGGTTTCGTACATAATTACCAACAACTTTTGTATAAACAATTTTTTTGTATTACTTACCGTTTTCAAGTTATAAATTGCGCAGGTATGAAAAATCCAATAGAGCGGTTTTGGGCAGTTCAAGTACACATTTGCAGGTGCACATTTCAATGTACGTTTTTACTATTTTTTTTTCAATCATGAAAATAAATAAAAATAAAACTATTTTTTTTCATTTTTTTTTGTTTCTCAATCATGAAAAAAAAATAAAAAATAGTAAAACGTACATTGAAATGTGCACTGCAAATGTGTACTGGAACTGCCCAAAACCGCTCTATTGGATTTTTCATACCTGCGCAATTTATAACTTGAAAACTGTAAGTAATACAAAAAAATTGTTTATACAAAAGTTGTTGGTAATTATGTACGAAACAACTTTGCCATTTAAAATTTTCCGTTAAAATGATATTTTCAGGGTGAAAAAGTGAAAAAACACTTTTTTTGAGACTAGCGCCACCTACAATGCGCATTTTTTGTTGTACGAGATTGCAACTATGACATAAATTGTAGCACTCAACGCCCTCTACAATTATGGTCGAAAAAAAAGTTTCTAAAATGCATACAAAACAAGAAAAATTCGTTACAAAAAATTTTTGACGGTTTTTTTGAGTTTTTCAAAAAACGCCTACGAGTTGAACATGCCCATCGCCAAGGTGGCTTACTGACGTCATTTGGCAACAGAAAAAACAAGACTTACCCTTTAGGTTTTTTTTTTCCACTGAAACGATATTTTTTTCGACAGATTGACTGTACTAAATGGTCAATTCATACGCAGCGCAGAGACACAGCCCATCGAATCATATCTCAGAAACAGTAACAGCAAATCCAACCTTGTCCAATACACATATTCCTTCTGAGCTCATCGCTACTTCGTTTTATCTCTAAAAGGAATATGCACATTACCGCGTTGTAGTGATAATGGTAAATTGTCACGTTTTTGAAGTTCACTTCGATGCGATGTGCTTCAACTCGCACTAGTATGAATTAACCATAAGGGTCGAGGACACACTTAACCGACGGTAAAAAACTTCCATCTTGTTCGAAAGAAAAAAAATATGTTGGTTTGTATGCTGTTTATGAGGATTCGGCTGTGTACAGCTCCGGACCTCTTATTCCTTGTCGTCCGCGTGTAGTCGGCTAACACCGGAGATAACGAATGGAGAAAATGCATACGACTTTGTTTGCTATGCTCTCACGCCTAAACCATTGAATCGACTAGCTGAATTTTGGTATACACTTAAATAAGACTCTGAAGACGGTTATAGACTTAATTTTTCGTGAAAGTAAGTTTAAAGGGGAAATGAAGGATGCAAAGAGAAATTAAGCCACGCAGATGAAATGAAAAAGCCGCTCATTAATATATAAGTATTTGCCGTAGCCGTAATTTTGTACGTTGCATGAATAGTTTGGTATGGTATGGGGCTGCAAAGCACAGGTGAGTTTTTCCATAATTTACAAAAAACAATGATAACATCAATAAATAATAAAACAATCAACCCAATAGTTAAGTTATTTATATCATATACATCAATATAATGATGACTCATTAGTTAAAAAAATTTGGGCACATCAATGTACGATAGACATATTTTAGTATGGTGTATAGAGAACGAAATAAATGCCCTTCTTGTGACCATCTCACTGTGCCCGAGTAAGCCACTGCAACCGACAATGTAAAATAAACTTAATTCTGTTTGAAACAAGATCGATAAAAAAAAGTTGTATATTTCTCTCCTGTTTTTAAAGAGTAAGTCCATGACTCATGCGGTGTTGCCACCTTGGTGGTTTTTCCACCAGAACTGGTTCTTTTTCACGGCTTCTAGTGGTATATTTTCATTATCTGGCGGGTATAGTTTTTTTAGTGTTTTTAAGTGGTTTTTAACATGAAATCTAGTAACATATTTTTAAGGGGGAAATCCCCTAACTTTCCGAAATTTCATAATGTTCTATGCTTACTCTGTGACAGGGGAATTCTTACACGCGTTTGTCTGTTACGGGCTACCTTTAATCGTTAGGCATGCGTCCGATATATCAAAACGAATCCAAAATCCGATTTCAAACACAAATCGATACCGAACGATTTCTCAACGAGAAAATCCGATTTCAGAAATCTAACTGAACCAAAACGCTAACGATCTAATACCACCACAAGTATCCAAATGTAAATCGGATTCGAAATTCGTGCTTTCGTTTTCGGAAGTCCGATTTCGGTTTGCTGTTTACGGAAATCTATTGCTCTTCTCTAAGGGTACGGCCAGAGTGCACTCAGATTCAGATTCAGATTCCGAAAACAAGCGCGAGAAATAAACAGTGTAGTCGAAGGGTACGGCCAGAGTGCACTCCTGATTCAGATTCAGACTCAGAAAAAAAAGCGCGAGAAAAAGCAGGCAACCTGCTTAGACTACACTGTATATTTCTCGCGCTTGTTTTCGGAATCTGAATCTGAGTGCACTCTGGCCGTTCCCTAAGGCGGGATTATTTATCACTGAAAAGAGATGTCGTCTAAAAACATCAAAAGTCGAGCAACTGACATTTTTTTGAACGCTAACCTGAAGTAATTAGGTTTGATTTTGTAAATGGTTTGAAAAATAATAAAAACAAACAGAGAAACAAAAAAATACTAAAAAAATATGTAGAAAGAAATCATTGTATATAAGCCGATTTTTAAATGCGCCGCAAAAGTTTTACTCTTAACCGTAAAGATAACTTTTCTGCTAGTCCTAAGCCACAGAATATATACTCTTGCCTAAGCCTAGATTTAAAGCATAAAGGAAAATCGCGCAAATCTACGAGTATCCTTGCTTCGTACAATTAATTGTTTGTGATTGTCGTTAGCTAATAAAACCAAATCATAACACAAACTAGTGAATTGGCTAAGTTCGGCACATCTGAAATCGGATATCTAAAAACGGATTTTAAAATCGATTTCGAAATCTGAAATCCGATAAATATCCGTTTGCGTTCAAAACCAAAAACGCCCATGTCTATTAATCGTCCATTCTGTTTCAGGAATTAGGTTCGCGTTCATTGGTGTCAATTCTGGCGTGATTTTCTAAACTTAAAACTAAATTTAAGGTCAGTCTCACCCTTTCCTTCTGTATAGAGAAGGACAAGGATGCACTGTTGTCAAATTTAAGTTTAGCTTTAGAGAATCAGGCCAGAATCGACATCAGTGGTGTCGATTCTGACAGCAGTATATCCTTGTCATTCTCTATACAGAATGAAAAGGAGAGACTGATGTTTTTAGTTTTAAGTTTAGAGAATCACGCCAGAATTGGCACCATTGTGTTGTTAAAAAGTTTGATTTGATAGAAACGTTTGTAACAGTGTGTGAACTCCTGAAGCTGTATGTTTAGAGTATTCAATTATATGTTATTATGGAAATTCCAAACCCGGCTTAAACCTTTAGCAGGTGTTCATGCAATTATTAGCAAAAATACCTGGTAAATTTGAGACATGCTGAAACAAAAAAATACAAACAAAAACTACAAAGTCTATCCGGCAATCAAAAGATATCATTTAAAAAACACAAAATACTCTTTCTAAAATCCACTACTCGAGATCGGCTTCATCGACAGAAGCGTCAGCGTCTGTAAACAACGATGAAGTTATAGAAGATGTTTAACAATATTGAATTTTAAATTTCACATTTTGTTTAAGACTTATTTCTTGATTATAAATAATGAATGTAAATACATATTTACCTGGTTTTATTTCATTCTCTAGTACTACTAAGGTTATAAGTTAGTAAAAACAATATTGCCATTTTTTTTAAATAACAAAATTTTCTAATTTAGAACGACTCCGGGATACAGTTATTTCTGTAGCATCTCATACATAATCACTGGTTTTTTATTTAAATAAGGGTTTTTTGTTGTCTGAGATGTAATTGTAATTTAGCGGATTCTGGTGTATTTTATTAAATTCAAATTTTTGAAATCTGGCGATATTTTACCTTTGACTTGGCGCCTTATAAAAATCCAAGGTGGCAACACTGGACTCATGAATGAATGAATGATTATTCATTCATTCATTCATTCATGAGTCCAGTGTTACTGGTGAACTTGGTGAGTGAATGAATGATTATTCATTCATTCACTCACCAAGTTTACCTAGTCTCTGGTTCAAAGCAAAGGGCGGATTGCGGATGGACGAAACGAAAGTCCGCCACATGTCCGCCATATCTACTTCATCTTCTTTCTATTAGTGACGTTCATATTATTTTGTGTTGATAAAGCATCACGTCGCAAGATATAGGATATTTAAATTCGTTATTTTTAAGTTTATTTTTACAACGGTGAGTAACAAAGTATAAACTTTGATGTAAAGCAAGTTTTTAATTTCGAATTCGTTTAGCCGCGACATGCTTTACAGTTTGTCAAAATGGAAAAATCGTAGTTTGTGTTAAGAATTAATATATAACACGTGTAATTTACCATAAAGTGCGTTCTTCTTGTATTGTGAACAAATACCTGGTAATCTTTAGTGTATACATTATGTTTAAAGTGTGAAACTGTGTCTGTGTTGAGTTGCTAAATTGCTTGCATTTTGCAGGCTCTGGACGGCGAAAAGACCATGGAGTCCCCTAGAAAATTTAACGATTGTTATTTTTATTACTATTCCACGTGTACCAAGGTAAGACATACCCGATTATAAATTAATCTAGGCTTGATTTAGGGACAAGACTGATAAAGCCAACATTGTTGTATTATTCTACTACCTACTATTGAAATCATAATGAAACTGTTTCATAAATTTTTTGAACAACCTCTTGCTAGTAGTTTAAGCTAAATTGATTATGAATATAGTACTGTTATTAAACAATACTTGTGTTGTTTCCAGGGAGATAATTGTGTTTTTCGCCATGAACCCTCTGCTTTAGGATGTGAGACAATGTGCACAGCATGGCAACAAGGCAAATGCCTAGATAAACGCTGTAAATTGCGCCACATGGAACTTAGGGTATGTATCTCAATCAAAGAACTAATCTTAGATTATTTAATTCATGTTTAAGCTATTGCAACTCCTATGGACTATCAAGGATGTCTCGAGACTGATATAATATGAATTAAAAAGAGCAGGGGTCTAATTGTGTAATAGCTGCTCCTGTGATGATCCCTTTTTTTCATAATTAGGAAAGAGATTGACTTATTTTATATTGACAATTGCTGCTTGAAGGGGATTGTGGGGAGTCGGAAAATTATCCCCCTTGCTTGTATATAACTTTACGTTTAAAGTTTTCCAAAATTTTGTGGTAACTTCACCCTATATACTATTATATTTGTTGCGGAGTTGATATTGCATCATATAATGTTCTAAATATTTGTATTAAAAGTGTGCTCTACTTTTTTAATCTTTTTATTTACAGAAAAACCGTAAACAAATCCCATGTTACTGGGAGAATCAACCGGGTGGTTGCCGCAAAAAGCATTGCCCTTTTATGCACAAGAATCCAGAGGCACGTACAGATGGTATTGCGCCTAGCCAACCTGCTCCACCAACACCAGTAAGTACCCATTAATATGAAAATTTTCATTCATGGTCTAATAACATAATTGATAAAAATTCTTGAAAAGTTAATTTATTAAATAAGAGAAGACACTTGTGACTGTCAAATTAGAGTTCAGGTGCAATTTAAATGTAGTTTTCATGATTAAACTGCATTATTAAAAGTAGTGATTAACCACTCGGGTCCATAGTAATGCAGTTCCAACAATGTTTGGTTGTGAAGTTCTTGCAGTCATGATGATTGAATCGGATTTCAATTTGCTTAAAGAGTGTAATTGAAATGTATTCTGCTTAGTAAAAATAAACCTTGTTTAATAAACTATACAATAATAAATTCACAACAAGCAAAATGCAAAACTGCTGCCTTGAACCAACTAGTCCTCAAATGTGAAATTTCTTACGTACAATCTAAGTCTGCCGTGTGTTTGCATTAACCTTTAATATTCAACTAGCTGACATCAAAACTCATGGACTTGCCAATGCATAAAATCATTTTTAGAAAGACATTATTGCAATGATTACCTACATACATAAACTTGTTCAAGATTATTTAGATTATAAATAACTTTTTTATTTATTTATATAACATGCATACTTACATTGTTATTCCAAATGGGATCCATAATGATCATGATTATCTAAGTACCACCTTTTACTAATGCACATAATGGTTGCAATAAATAGTTTGTGTAATTATTTTAGTAATTTACTCATTCTTTTCTTGATTGTATTTGACTTCATAATCAAATGACATATTAGCTATTTGTAAAAAAAAAGCTTTCATTACTCATTCATAGCTACCATATTTTGATAAATTTAAATTGACAAAAATATTTAATAATATTTGTAAGTAAATCCAAAATAATGGCAGAATAGTGTAGATAATTTTCATTAAATTGTAAATTACAAGCAATGTTTTCAAAGTATTTCTTACTTTGAGGTTTGAATCCCAATAGTAGAATTTTTTTTAATGAATTTGTACCTAATGAAGTTGTATTTCTTAAAAAATAAATAAAGATGAGTATGTAGCTTAATTATGTACTAGCGGCCACCAGCGACTTCACCCATGTTAACTATAGTTTTTTGAGAATCCCTCAGGGACCTTCCAGTATAAAAAGTATCCAATGCCTCAAACCAACTAAAAGACTATATGAGTGTCAAATTTCATCCAAATCCGTTCAGATGTTTTTGAGTGATTAAGTAACAAACATACAAACTTTGATATTTATAATATTAGAATTTCATTCCGTTAACATTCCTTAACATAAGCCTTACAGCACTTCTTTTACTTAATTTTTAGGCTTATTTGTGTTATGGTGTAAGTTTAAGATGTAGACATAGAGAAAGGGGTGAAGCATTCCATGTTAAACAGTAAAACTATGCAGATGAGTGTGAGAGAATCAGTTATTTTGCAGTCAAAATTTGTATAGATATTGGCTTCACAGTTGATTGTTATCTTTCTAGATTTTCAAAAATTTCATGCAATTTTCTCTTCAATAAAACAAGTTTCAACGGTAAAGATGCACTGATTTATTTATTTATATTTCACATCGTTATCAGGCTGCATCTTCAGAATTACGATTTTATTTACTTTGTCAAGCTACCTTAGAAAGATATTTTATTGAGCATCCAGATAGAAGGAGATGAAGAAAGTACAATGTTCAAATTGGCCTAAGAACCAACACCAATTTGGCATTTATGATAATTCTTAGTTTATTTTTTGCGATAATTATCAGTATTTAGATTGTGACGGACACTTCCAGTTCAGTAAGCTAAATTAAAAAGTTAAAAAATAATCTGAGATAATAAATACCATTTTATGTGTATAATCTATGGCAGGGTTGCAAACAAAACACTCTTTCTTCCTAATGCCGGCATTTCACTTGGCTATTCTTATTTGTTATTTTAAAACATGACATCAGGCTGTCCTTTTCATTCCTTATTAAGCATGACAAGGACAAACTGTTGTCAAGTGAAGGGCTGGCATAAAAATCGTTACTCTGTGGTTGTGGTGCATGCATTCGTAGTAATCTGTAATCTGTGGCATTCGTGCATTCCAAAGAGTAGTTTATTATACCGGAAAGTGCATTCTCGTTTTGTTTCGGATTACCTGTTGTGTTTGTTTATTTGCGATTGTTTTTCCTTTAATTTAACTATTTCGGCTTTCTAATATGCCATTGATGTTACCAAAAAGCAGAGATATTACCAAGTGCTAGTGAACCTGTGCCACAACATCCTGAGGGGAACATACTGCCAAATTATTCAAGAACACCTGATACATATTCACGCTGCATATTTACACAATATACATGTGATATACAAATAAATACAATATAATATATGATACAATTTTGTGAAAAATAGTCAATAAATAAGAAGTAAAACTACAATTTTTATTTTATTAATGATTCCTACCTAACCAAGTTTTTCCTAATAGTTATTCTTTAAAATCGCACCGAATAAATGATTTAGTTGTAATATTAATTCACTTCATACTGAGTTCATACTAAGTTCATAGGTTGACTTATGTTACATTGAATATTAAACAAAACCTCAAAAAAAATTAGTTTTCCTAATAATTTAAGTTCTCAGAAGTGTCCGTCAATAATCTTTGTTTTTACAGTCATTTACTTACGAATTTAAACCTAGAAAATTATATTTCATGATTATTGGTTCGTAGGCTATCTATGTATGGACGCTGTACAATGTTATATCTTTAGTTTGTATACTATTGAAACTAGTTGCGTGAAAATCTAATAAACAAATAAATTATCTCTTGGTCAGAAGTCTTTATTTGCAGAAAATATGGTGAATTCTCTGTGTGTATAGTGTAATAAACATTTATTTGTGTTTGCAGGCCGCCCCCGCGGGCGGAGTAGCGGGTGGAGTTCCCGGGGTACCAGTAGGAGTGGCAGACAGCGTGGCAGAGGGGGTGGCAGTGCCGCCAATGGCACAAGCGGTGCCACCCGCGCCCGCCCCCGTGCCGCTCCTGTGGCAGCAGCAGCGGCAGGGTGAGTACTTTGTGACTAGGCTAATTTAGGGATATACAATCAAATTTGGTAAAATCCACAAAAAATTTAAAGTTACATTTTCTTATCTATATTCATCCCGTAGAATAATTTTATACAAATTCTAGAAATTTCGACTGTTATTTCAAATTGAAAATTGACTTTACAAACAAACATAGCAAAGTTTTTTCGAGTTGAGTTTCAATTCACGTAAAGTCCTTTTCGACCAATAGGAAGGCCCCATTTCACTGACAGCTGTCATGGCCGCCTTTGATGTTGTAATGCTTTTGTTAGGTTACAGTTACAAACTTAGCACAGTCCAAAACTTGGTAACAAAACTGGGACAGTCCATCTTATACTTAAGTTTTTACACAAAATTATTGAACTGAACGTTATGAACACTTGTATTTCCATAATGTATTACATTCTGCATATAAATAATGTTTAACATTAGAATAGTTACCTGTAATTATTAAAATAATTGTTTTTATTGTTTACTGAACATTTTGGCAATGTGGACTTTACCAACTTTGATTGTATATCCCTCAATTGGTTTGAGTGTAAATCCACGTTTCCACCTACAAGAAAACTTCCGCGAGATATGTCCTACAGCAATGTGCAAACTTGCAATGCTGTCGCGATTGTACTTGCAACGTAATTTAATTTGCTAGTTGCTGTTGACTTTGCTAGACTTGTCTGACATTTCTCGCAGAAGTTTTCTTGCAGGCGGAAATGCGGCCTGAGAGATATTAATTTATTAAAAGTAGTAGTTTACCAATCGGTAGATATTTAAATTCGGATTGTTATTAACTCTGGAGTTGAACAATCAAATCCGGAAGTTTTGAGTTAAAACTATGATTTTATTTTAGTCTTTATTATTTTTAATTGATAACTGATCGGTTTTCAAATTGCTCACCAGTCGGCAATGCCGATCATTCTAATATCCATCTTAGGAAGGTGTTAGGAATATTACGTCACTATTCTGTTAACTTACTTCCCATATTGCTATTAAATTGCCTAGGTACTGTTTAGAAATTAAGAAACACTTGTTGGATTATTTCATTTGTTATGTGCCGATTATAATCGGCATATTTTGCTGAATACTCGGACTGATTGCAGACTACAAACGATGCCGAATAATCGACTTTCCCGACTGGTCTGCGGCTAGTCGGCTCATCTCTAGTAGTCTTCTTATATTTGGTTTATTAACAGAGCTCATTGTCCAGTAGTGACCGTGGACTCTGTACTGACCTGTGGACCCGTTACTCGTCATGGGTCGGCTGATTGCTTTATCTCTCGCTGCTAGGTATCACTTACCAGTTGGTTAAGGAACACTCGGCTCTGTCGATTCTCTACCTTTTGCAGGTGTCAGTCACTATCTCGCTCTGTCTTTTGTTTTTGTTGATTGATTGTGTTATCATGACTCATTGTGTGTTGCCAGCAGCGAGCGCGGCTGTTGTTAAATATTCGAGATCGAGTATTAAAATCGTGTGCCTTGTTTTGTTTCACGCATCTTATGACTTTAGCCCACTAGTTTTAAAATGTGTGTTTCTTTCATAGAGGTATAAGAATAGAGTGGGAAAGGCGGCTCTTAAAGTGTCCGTCTAGTAGAAAGAGAAAGAAGATGAGAGACCGCTACCTATCTCTCTCTCTTGTGACGCATGACCAGTCGTCTGTCCAATAGTTAGTCCAAGCATCACATCGAAATATTAAGGTGCTTACGGTTGCCAATGAGCATGCGCGATTAGAGAGAGAAAGCTAGTGGTCTCTCATCTTCTTTTTCTATTAGAGGGACACTACTTGTAGTAGAGTCTATATCTCCCCTACTCTATTCTTATACCTCTATGGTTTCTTTAGGTAATCATCTTAATTTGGTTTATTTAACGCAGCTCATTGTCCAGTAGTGACCGTGGACTCGGCCATACTGGGCGTCCTACCGGCCGCAGGCGGCGACATACTAGGCGCGCGCCGCGTTCTACCCGCCCACGCTCATGCGCACGCGCACGCGCACGACGTTGCCCCGCCAAATCCGTACGCGCCCTTACCCGTGGACCCGCTAGTCGTCAACTTCGAGGAAGGTATGAGGCTCTACTGAAACTATATGTATTAAGCGTCTAACGTAATTGGGGACTCGAGTGCGTGCCAATATATTTAAGTTTAAACTGTACTTGTGTGTTATGTTACCCATAGGCAAAGAAAACGGACTGAGCGAGCGAGACATTGATAACTCTCTAGAAAGAGAGAGCGATAGTGCAGCTAAATTAAATATTGCAAGCAAGCTTCTCTTTTTATCTATTTACCTTCACGTATAGTCGATTTTAGACGTAAAAAGTATTCTAGAAACAGGAAAAATTATGGTATAGCTAAACTATTGAGACGAAGCGATCATGATTCCAATAAGCATGATCGCTTCGTCTCAATCACACTCAAGGTCGTATTAATAGATCATTCTCAACTTTGAGAGCGGTCTTGAGTACGATCTTGAGATGCTATTTTGTGTCAAAACAGTATCTCAAAATCGTGCTCAAGATTGCTCGCAGAGTTGAGATCGATCTATTATTACGGACGTTAAAGCGCGATTCAAACTTAGTGCCGGTTGTGAAGTAACCGAGAGTCGCGGTGCAGTAAACGAAATATAGGACGATGTCACGTAATCCGGCGCTTAGTTATGCTCGCTGCTAACTTCATAACCGTCATTAAGTTCGTACCTGCCCAGTTTTGCTTCACAGTTGGACAGATAACGCTCAGCCCGTTCTCTGTGTCTGTGGTATTACCGCTGTGGTGGGATAATGGAGTTAGTAATAGTACAGTTGTAGAAGTTAGTCCTTGCCACTTTTTTTTACGATAATTAAATTTGCAATGAAATTTTGTTACACCCAATTTAAAAACATATCGACAATTTACAAGAAGAATTTTCGATATTTCTATAATTCGTAAAGCATGCAAGATGGATAAAAATTTAAGTATATAGTAAAAGTTCCTTACACACATACAGTTTACAGCTTTTAACCTAATAATTATCCTGTATCGGTACTTTATTTCCATTTCATTATGAAATAGATAAAATTCGCAATATTAACTTTATTTTGGCGATGTTTATGTATTGAAAGAAATCTATTTATTTTAAATATTTGTTACTTGAATGCATAAAAAGAAATTAAATCTTTGTTAGCATCCACCATTCAAAAGGCTTACAGGTCCACTCATCCGTCGGCTGATGATGATAATCATGATTATCTTTGTAGGTATGTCGCTTGCGTTCAATCATGGTGTTGGATAGAGATTCCTTGCATTCTCCAAACGAAGTTCAAACTATTGTCGCTTTAAGTGGCACACCATTAATTTCTACAACTGTATAATTGGATGAACAAAATGAAATCATAATACAGCATTGAAAATCTGTATGAATGTTATTTCCCATTTTTAACCCTTGCCATATTATACCTATTAAAATATCGTTTTTCAATATACTTTTTACCGAACTCCGTTATACTCCACCACAGCGACATTGTAGTAGTGTCGTTGACTAAATGAAGTGTTTTTATATGTTCCATACACTGTTAGTCCAGTCATTGCGACACTTGATTTGCGCACAACTCTGATGTCCCAATTCTAATGTTAGGCGCTTAAGGCTGCTTTCACGACTGCTCGAGAAACCAACTACCAACACAGTTATAAATGGATTTTGTATGTTTAAAAGTGGTCAGTGAATTATAAGTATGCCTACTGAGATATAAATTAATATTGTGCGAGTCTTAAAAAGGAGTTTTCAATAAATTCACCACTTAATGCCCTATTGAAACGAAAGATTTTGCTTATGCATGCTCTTCAACATTACATGGTTTTAATGTTACATAGAGCCATCTTGTGGAAATCAGTTATATTTGGGTAATGCGAATGACTGTTATAGAACGTGGCTGATTTATTAAAAACTGGATACCCACGGATTGTATAGGCTTAAGAACAAACAATGTTTAAAAATGTTTGATGAAGCTCATTTTTTTATTATTTTGTTTAATTGTTTTTCTTTAATCTTACGCAATAATAAAGTGCTTATAAGAGAATGTATTGGAGACTATGAAGTTAACACGTTTTTTTTCTTTATGAAATTTTATATACCTGTAGCGATTGTGTTATATTTTGGCATTATAATATAAAGATGGAAAATTTATTTGCATCATGTGCCAATGAGAACTGCATTAAGACACTCGGAATGTGTTAGATGTTTAGCGTAAACAATATTTATTTTACCAACACGTTACATGTTATATTTAAGGATGATTTACTTAGCGGTTCGCTCACAAACCGGGTATGTGTTGCTTTACACAAAACAATATTTACAGCGAGCAAGTTGCGATTTTATTATTTCTTTAAAGTATTTTGTAGAGAAAGAAATAATCTGATTATTATGATTTTAATTTTGGTACCTGGTTTGCAGGGCGCAACTGCCTGTTTTGTATTGATATTAAAAATAATATGTTTTCTTTTATATCGGTAGTCAATTAAAGTACATAGTATTTATTGCATAGTGTTAGTTGGATTCAGTTTGAGACAGTTTTTGTCATTTCTATGTTGTTTTAGTGAAACTTGTAGAACTGAATTCAAGATTCATCCACTTGTATACAAATGGACGTGGAGATGATTTGTTTTTATTTTTATTAGTATTATTATATATTATGTTGCACTTTCGTTGCCAGGAGCGGCAAAACTTTAGTTGATTCTAATACATAGATAAATTTTAGCTACGTTTTTTCCCGCCATAGACAATGATTACATTAAATTTAGACCTCCACGGTTGTATTAAAATCATATTGAGCTCTCTCTGTCCTGATATCGATAAAAATAATAACACTAATATTATGTAGTCGATATTTTTATATGTGCAATAAATTAGAGAATATTATAACCTTTCATATCTTAGCTAATTAGATTCATAAAGATCTTTTTTGCTTTTTCGTTTATTTTATGATATAATTTACTTATATCGCATGTAATAATATAATAATTTGCAGTCGCATTTCGAATGCTTGCTGACCAACAAGTGTGAAGTTGTCGACACGTATTCGATATACGCCTCCACTAAGTTTTTACTAGATGTTGATATAATCTTTGTCTATGATAGAAAAGTACATAATAAATAGGTTAAAAACATATTAAATACAAATAAAAATATATATACACGAATAATGTAACTCATTAATATAGTTGAAAAAAAAAAGAAAAAAAAAAGCTTTATGCCTTTAAATTGTTTGTATGTTAGTATGTAGGACGTTGTAAGGGCCTCAGCGGTATTATATCAGTACTCACTGCTCTTTGGTCCAGTGTACTTTATATTCGCACCACGAAGTTAGATAGAGCTAAAAAAATTGAAAAAAAAAAATATATGAGTACGATTGTAAAAATCACAATTGTATGAGTTTCAAATTGACATTTTAAGTATGACATTCTAATACAATTGTCATTTTTGCGATATGAAAAAAAAAAATTCGTGCTTAAATAAGATTGTATTACCATTTTTAGGAGAGTAAAAAGTAAATAAAAAAGATTATGTAATAAAAAAAGAGATGTAATTGCTTAGCGAGTTTTTGATAATACCATATTTGAGGATGCTTCAGGTTTACCATTATATAAATACTATGATAATAACACTGCGGTAAAAATATATAGTGTGGGAAAATATTAGACGAATTTTTACAAAACGTACGTTTTCTTTGAACTGTCGGTGACGAACGTATTATTAATTATTATAATATTTTTGCACTGAGAGTAAAGTTCCTATATTTATTACGAAATATGAAAAAAAACAAAAATGTCCGGATAGCCAAAAGCAAGCCGTTGCAAGAAGTTTTTTTTTTAAATGAAAGATGGTCCATGTTTCACCTAGTCATTATTTGTGTATAAAATAATTAACAGATATCTGTTTAAAGAATGGAAAAAAGAAAACATTAAAACATGTCTCGATTGGTGGGGATAGCGTAAGGTATATGAAAAGGTTTTATTAGTTTTTAACGAGTTTTAAATATATTTTGGTAGCCTACGTTGAAAAAGCGTCAATGAAATAAAAGTAGCTAAATCAGTTCCATTTTGATAAAACGCGGGCGAAAGAATCGAAAGTCAAATGTTAGAAATGAAATTGTGAATTAGTACAAACAATGGTTGTTTCGTCGGAGCATTTTTAAGTATCAATGAACTCTGTTTTTTAATTAAAAATATTGGTTTCACTCGTATCTGTAGCAATACTTCTATAACTGCATAATTAATTATATATTTAGTATAAAATCTGTAGGTTTATCTTTGATTAGAGAACTAATTTATTTATGATTAGTATAATTGTTGGAATGTTAACGTTTTTCTGTTAAAACTAACGAACCGGGTTTTCTCAAAGGATAAAGAATCGCTCACGACCTAATGCAAGTCTTTAGTGGTCACTTTAACAGCAGTGCAATAAGACATGTGGAAAAAGTCATTGAAAGTTTATTTTAATTGAGCAGTGTCGAGTAGAACATGACCAGTGGGCATTTATTAAAGTTAGCAAAAATTAGTTCTGTGGATCAATGTTAAAGTATGATTGTGAAAGCAGAAAGTGCCCATTGGTCATTTTTGGCATCAAACAGAATCAAACTTTAACATGCGTTCGTAGAACAAATTTTCGCTTGCTTTAAAAATGCCCGCTGGTCACTTTCTACTTGACAACACGCAATTTCTATTAAAGTGATGCCTTTAATAGATTATTAAGAACTTTCAGAGGGTTTTCATTGTAATAATGAACAGGGTAAAATGTAGCATTAGGTAGGCTTATGAAGGTTTGGTTTACATTATGAATTGTAACCATAACAAAGGTGCAATTAGTTCTTACAAAAGTTTTTGTCTGAAATATTCTAAACATGTCTTATTGTGCTGTTGTTTAATTATTTTACCTTTCTATTCTATCAAATTTTCAACTGGATTTCCTGACTCGTTTCTTTCGTCATTATTTTTCAGATCGTACTGTTTCTATCTTGAATAAGAGTATACGACGATGTAATTTTATCATTTATGACTTTAGAAAGTATACAAAAACTATGATGGTGGTGTTCTTCTTCTTACATTTAACAGCAGCGCCTCTAGCGGAAAGCACTGAACTGCCGTTGTTAAATTTATAGAGAAGAAACATAATGATGTAAGGGCATGCGCTGCTTTAAGCGGGAGTACGGAACGGACGTCCGCTCCGCGTGCAGTTTCATGTTATTTCATAGAGCACCGCTGCGACGGGGTAGCGCACGCCCTTCGGGATCCGGTTTTCGGTTTCGAAGGTATATTCTAAAAATAAAAATCGCACTTAGTTCGTCGTCATCCTCAGCTGAAGTTGCTGATTACAATGTTTTAATGAATCGATTTCGAATAAAAATTCTATTTTTCTTCTTATTTTTTGAAGTAGAGCCTCGGGACCCGAAACCGCCTTTCTGTAAGCACTCTATATCGGGACTTGTAATAGGTCGTCCGGTTCTACGGTTTGCACTATGAAATGGTATTTATTGTTTTACTACGAACTGCAGTCTTGTGAATGGGACGATAGGAAAACTTATATTTTTATCTTCATGTATTATTTGTGTGCGATTTTGATATCATTCGCCTGGAGGTTGAGAAAGTATTATTTTAAAGTAGGTATGATTTTATCACCATTAAATGTTCTTTAACTGTAGTTAATTTGAAATTATAAAATGTAGCGGTAAAAGTCTTTAGCTAAGCCTAAGAACTGATGTTTTGTAATCCAATGATATCAGAACCGCACGCTGGTTTCTATGTGTAGCTATGTATGTTAGTGAAGTTCAAATCGATTAGTAAATGCAGACTGATGTTTTTCGAGGTTGCTATGTGCGTATGTATGGGGGTGGATTAGATAATATAATGTCGCTACCAATTGGTGTAGTAGGTACCGTTTTATTCACAAGCGATCTGAAACGGATTTCTATTTGTATGATTTTCACTGTCACTCGTACAGAAATAGAGATAGACTTCGTTTCTGATCGCTTCTGCATAAACGGACCAGTGACGCTGGTGCGACGTGTGGGCTCAGAACTGCCGTAACATAGATATAATTTGACATAGATAGACACCAACGCAACTAGCACGCTTGACACTTTCTGTTTTCAAGACTAACAAATATACGTGTAATGTGGCCGCGTATCGTGCTAGTGCTTATTGTTTCAGTTAATACGGGGTTGTTGTTATGTTAAACTTAGTCTTACGTTGTATAAGCGTTTCAAAACATTTTAATATTTAGTATTGCGTGTGTTTAAGAACTTTTGTAAGCTAATTAACTTCAAACCGATGTAGGAACTCCATGTCGGGTCAGGTACATTGGCATCGTTTATTAAAATTGTGTTTAATATACCAACGAGTAAATAAAATGTTCCACAATAATGATTTTTGTAATTATTTTTGACCGCCCAACCCCGTTTCAGGTCTAGGACTAGACGAGAACACACGCAAGCACAACCAAACCGGTCGGTCGGGTCGTTTCAAAATTAATTACGAAAATCATGAGTTTGATCAGTTTGCGCGACCGATCCATTAAGCGGTTACTTGGTGTGTTCTTGCAGAGTCGGACAATGAAAGCGCTCCCTCGTCGACGCCGACTAAAAGCGTGTCGTCGGACGACGCTCAGCGCATCGCTCGCACCAAGTCGCAGGAGCTGCTGTTGCTAGAGAAGATACAGGCGGAGGCGGCCGCCTACTATAGCTACGACGCCCTTCCGCCCGAACCACACAGAGACCGCAAAATCGTCAGAACCAACCTCTCCACCAAATACGATAGGGTATCCCTAGACGAGCTGGCAGGTAAAAAACCACAGCAACCCGCCCCTGAACGCCGGAACTCGCTAGACTTCAAAGTTCTCTCCCTAGATGAAATAAGAGCTAGAAAGAAGACCGAAAGCATCGTACACTCGACCCCCATCACGCTCAATTTACGGAAAAGAAAGCTCTCCACGCAGGAGACTATAACCACATCGGGAAATAAGATCATCAAAGTGGTTAGGAGTAATTCCATAGTTTATAAGAAGTTGGATCGCAACTCCCCGGCGGCAGTCACTCAGGCCAAGGTAGATCAGAAACAGACTGAAGTTTCAGTCAGTAGGAAACGAACAATATCAGAACTAAGTGATTTATACGAGATACACGACGACGAGTTGGTCGACGATTGCTACGAATTTAAAAGAATTAAAATAGCACAGCACATATCCAAACCTAAATTAATAAGGAACACGAGTACAAGTTCGAGTAAAGACAACACACAAACTACTGACGATGTGAGCGTTAGTATTAATAGTAAGACGGACAATGATTCCGATACAGAAGTACAAATAGTTAGTGAAATTAGTGATAGTAACGTTGATATAAGTGCGGTATCGGAAACTGAAATAATAGACGTGGACTCTGCCAATATGGGCGAACCTGTTGCTATAGTCGACTTGAGTGACGATCTTGATGATGGTGATGACGTTACGATATCAGACGCTGATTTAGGTTTAGTGAAAAATGTGCCGGACGTTGTTGCAAGTTGTCACAATATTGCGAACAAATTCGACACATCCGATAAAGATTTACTAAGTAACATTGACGCACTTTTAGATGATGACGACTTATGATTGAATGTACGATCTGTGCAAGTTGTTTTTGCGTCGTCTGTATCCTTATCTTTAAGGATTTCTTTGTAATGAAGGCGAGAGGTAGCTAGATGCGGCCTTTTTATAATTGTTCTGAAATTGCCCCATTTCTTTAAAAGTATCTATGTTAAATGAGTTGTGATGTGAGGCTCAACGGCCGGACATTGTGCTTTTTCATCAATTTAGTTTGTGTTTTTATTGCGGTGTTTTGTACAACTATGGATACGTCTTATATATCCTTTGGATTGGAAATTGGAATGTAATAAGTAGTATGATTTCGTCCTTGAAAAAGTACAGTTAGCCGTACAAAATACCTCGATGACACCATAAACTAGATAAAGTAATTAAGTTTGCCACTTCACCTCATAGGCTTTAGATAAAGTGTTCATTAGAATCGTAAAAATGCTATCTAAGGATGCATAAGTTTTGTGTTGAGTTTTGGTGAATATTATTGTAGCTAATGAATAGCTATAAAAGTAGATATTTTTATTAATAACTCTCATCGAATTACACTATTTCAAGAACTAGTAGAACGAAATGAAGCATTTATTTTTTTGTATTAGTGGCGTTCTACCGATTGGTAATTCTGCCAATGTCAAATGATATTGCAATTCACTTTTTCCAGTGTTAAAAAGAGGCAAAGTTTCAGGGCCTACGTTTTCCGATGAAAACATGATCAGGGGGCCATTCGCCTAACGGAAATGCTTTGGAAAACACTAACGCTTTCGTTTTTATTTTGTTATTTCTGACCGCCGAAGGTTTTCGAATACCTAACGTTATTAATTTGTTATTACCAATGCAAAAGAAAAAAAAGAGCGCGAAGCATTTGAAAACCTCAGGCGGCTAGAAATAACAAAATGAAATCGTAAGCATTAGCGTTCTCCAAAGAATTTCCGTTAGGCGAACGGCCCCCTGGCCCTGAAGACTATAGGTATACCTATGTCGTTAGGTAACTGCTGTACCTACTTGTCGGTTTCAAAGTACGATTTCAATAAACAACTAGTTCTTGTGATAGGTAATATTTAGCAGGGCCGGATTTAGAGGTGTGGGGTCCCCTAAATCTGGCCCGGACCACTTTCGGGTACCGTTGCAAGTTTTGTTGTGCCAAAACAAAACTGTAAAATTCAATGGTTATATCGTTGTGTCAATACCTTATAAGTAATGCGAGTGCAATATTTTGTTAAAACTCGTTCTTAGCAACGACAACGTAAAATGTGGATTTTCTCTTTGGATCTTTCAAAACGAGGTGGTCAAATGATAAAATTATCAATAAAAAACAGCGACGTTTGATCGGCTGGTGAAATTGAATTCGTTTGTTTTTTCCCCTTACTTTTTTTCTTCACATGTTTTTAAACATGATAATATTTTCTCAATCTTAAAATATACCTTTACCATCGTAATCGTGGCGGCGCTAGACTACCTATGGACGTCGGCGACATCAAGTTCGCGAGGCCTTTTTTACTTCGCAGTAAAAAACCGTTAAATTAAGAGCGCCAAATTATAAAATAACGTATGAGTAAACGAGTTTTATTGTTGATAATCAATAGATGACAAAAAATAATTACAAACGTAGAAATTTAATTACAAAAATAGTGTTGCCAGGCACTGTTCCATCACGCACGTGTTCGAAAATAATAAAAGTCATTATCATCTGCTCAGCTTTTTCCCCGAATTGTTCGGGGTTGGCTACCTAAGCCAGGCCAGGAGAAACGAAAATAAATAGGTAACTTGTAAAAAATTTTTGCGAGGCCCCCTCAGGCGCAAGGCCGTCGGCGGTGGCCGACGTCGCCGACGCCTAGCGCCGCCACTGTTTACCATGCAAAGACTGAGGCAGATTAGTTTGTAAAAGGGAAAAGTATTCATTATAAATACCTACCGTTAATTAAAATAAATGGTTCTATTAGCCACAAATGCTATGATGGTGTGGCATTCGAGGAGGCTAAAAAGCATTGAATTTAAATTCATTTTTTATGATTCTATGACAACTAAGTCAATATGGTTCTTTATAAAATATTAAAATTAAAAAAGCAGAATAGTTTGATCCAAAATTTATTTAAATTATATTATGCTGTTATTAAAACGTTTTATCGACATCACACAATTATTCACAATTTCATGTATTTCATGTATAAGTTAAGTACTATACAGTTAAAAACTAACAGTAATTAAGCATAATAAATTCGAAAGTAATGTTACAAATTATTTGTGAAGTATCCTTTGCTTTAATAATACTACAATATTCAGGGCCACTTGTACCAAAGTTATTAAATAAAAATGTAAAGCTGTAAATGTAGGTAAGTTGCCCTCAGTCACGGTGCGAGTTATTAAATACTCTGCCCCGATTCCGTTTATTATATTCAGCAGCTCTTACTAGTCAATAGTATCGTATTGCGAAAATTCTGTAATAACATGTTTACGTAATTTAGAATTCGAACCATAATTTGGAGTTATAGTTATCTATGTAGCAGCGAACTTCTAGCGCAAAACCACAGACAAATAAACTCGCGCTTTCTATGTTTTGTATGTAAAATTTCTACTGCGCAGGCATCATTGTCTATGGTCGCTGTTCAAGAAGTTTGCCGGGGTGTAAGTATGATGTTGGAAAAACCCGCTCGATCACCTTTTATTTGTAGGGTATTTGAAGAACCTGTTGAATGGCTGCACGACAAAATGGCGGTTGCGTAAATTTGATTTAACTGGAGTTAAAATCTAGCACCGCTTATCAGGGCCCAATCCAAGGGGGGGGGGGGGGGGCGCCGGCGCCAGGCATTTGCCTAGAGCGGCAAAAATTAGGGGTGGCAAAATTTACTTAGGGTCATCCGTAAAATACGCACTAAAGGGCGGCAAGAATCTGCACTGAGCGGCAAAATTTCTAGATCGGGCCCTGCCGCTTATACGTAACTGAGTATTTATTTTTATTCTTCATACGGATTTTTTATTCTCAATAGACAGAGCTTTAACTGTCGCATGCTACTCATGGGACTGATCCCATGAGTATCCATCGCTCTGAAGCGATGCAAAATATTATGTTATTTTTAAGAAACAGACGACGTATGGGAAACGACACTGCGATCTTTATATTTTGTAATCAAACTCTAAGTGACTATTTGACAATCATGAAATCAGTAAGTCCTTTATTCGATTTAATTAAAGTTATGATTGTTCCAAATTATCAATGAACAAGCTTTAATGGCCGAAATTCAGTTGCATTAGGAGAGCTCTTTTGGTGGCATAAATTAACTAAAAGAAATAACTTAATTATTTTCACAATCATTGGACTTAGCTTTAAATAATGAAAGATAGATAGAGAATTATTTACAACATACCTTAAATCTAAAAAGCCCCTGTTTCATAAAATTCTAATAATGATCTTTGTTTTCTCAAATGAAGTGTTTAATGCCCATTCATATAGACATTATTTTAACCACATTTTAATTCTCTCCATCTTAGAACACCTATGCATAAGCTAGTCTGCTTATGCATAAAGGATTTCTTATTATGAATGACATCGAGAGTTTTCAAAATTTTAAATGAGCGATCTCACATTTTAGGAATCCTTCCATTAACAATTATTACTTACAAAAAAACATTTAATTTACATCACAACGAACATAAAGAGCCAGTCACTTACGCCTACAACTTTTCTGTATTTAGTAATTCTATTACATACTATATTCAGTGCCGTCTTTGACCTATTGGAGGCCCTGGGCATAATAGGATAATGGGGCCCCTACGTCTTCCGTTTGGTGATTTAACAGGAACTAGAGATTTTGTATTTGATCTGAGGCCCCCCTATCGATCGCGTGGCCCTGGGCACTTGCCCAAAGTGCCCACTGGGAAAGACGGGTCTGACTATATTTACTTGTGTTAACCAAAATATAAATTGCACACAGTCAACATCATGTAAGATACCAGAATTTTGTTTTTTTAAAATTCAAATATAAGAGCTACTTAAGCTAAGAATTTTAAATAAAGTTGCTAAATCGACTGAGGAAAATTCCGGTACTTTCTGGTAACTTCATGTGCCGTTGACTGGACGTTTCACTTAAAATTAATTCAAATTCTGGAAGTTATCGAAAGCGCATTAAATGTGCTATTATAAAGAAAATATAAACTATAATGTTATTTTATAGATACAAGTTTTTTCTTTGAATGAAACATTCAAAATTTTAACATACATCATTATAAAATTACAATTTGAGCCTCTTATTTGTGCTCAATATAACCTGTTTTGTGGCAACTAACAGATATGTTGATTCTTTATACTATTTGTGTGCACAGAATAATATTACATTTTCTACTAATTAAATACAATATTTTGGGACAGTAAAAGACGTGATCAGTAGTAGCCTTAGCACGAATCATTATCGAATTCGAATATGAAATGGAAACTTGAACAGCACCGCCACAACGGACGTAACAAGAACTAAAAATCATACAATATCCATAATCATACACGGCGATGTTGCGACACCTCACCGTTCCTCACGTTGATGACATCGTGACGTAGAGATGTGGACCCTTTTCTTACTTTTGGCGTAATCAAAAGACGATCGTAGTTTTCGAAAACAATACAATAATCGACCATGGTAAACTTAGTTTCTGGGGATTAGTGAAAATGGATGCGTAGGTATATAAAGAGGATTGTTGTTTGGAGAGGGGAAACGTACGCGCGCAAAGAAACTAGTTCCACCAGGGTCACTGCAGCCGCGACCAGTACTGCTGCGAGTCCTGACCCGGCACCGCCAGCGGGACGGACACGCCCGCGCCGAGTAGCCCGCCCAGTTCTGTGGGACGAGAGAAATTTTATCAGTTATCTTTATCTAAAAATATGGGTGCGTGTACTTATGTACGCGCGTGAGAAGTTATACTTCTTTGGCATCATTAAAAATTAGTTTTTAATTGCATGCAAATAATTACTTACAAACTAATAAAAATATAATAAAAGGACTGGAAAAGGATAGTCAACACAGTCAATAAAATTCAGTTATTTCAGTCAATTATTTTGAAAAATTCAATAAATAATCAAAGTATTCAATTTTTAATCACTACTGAATATAATTTATTAGCACTTAATATAATTCGCACATGTATGAAACAAAACACGTGTTGTGAATATAGAAACATGTGGATAAATATTATAAATATGAAAACACAGAGCGTGCCAACATGCGCGACTAATAGAGATTCTATTTCTATTTTGTTGGTAGCTTTTTTGCGAGACTTAATGTGCGGTATAGCGGCCAACTTCATGGTGTTACTTTTATTTTACAGTGATGCGCGCGCATCTTAATATTTCACTCTCATCATTTTTTCATAACGCGCCTAAAGAAGTATAACTTCAACAAAGGCACCTTGCGTACTAGATGGCCACGACCACGACCATTGGCCGCAACAACCAGATTAACTAAAGTTATCCGTGGCAGCTAAGTTCGTATGGTGTCTTTGGTTAATCTGGTCGTTGTGGCCTATGGTCATGATGCGCGAGTTGTCGAACGGTCTGTTCCATTATTGAAACTCCAGTAAGAGATAACCCAATAAGAGTAAGAGTTCATCTGTTGAAGAAACGGAACCATATTGTCCTTATCTAGTACTAAAAATTGCCCTTAAATATTATTGTCATCAGCCTATTATAACTGAAAGGTTAAGGAACGGACTTCCCAATGAAACAGTACAGTAAAAATGACGAGTATTCAGAACGTGACCCGAAATCCTAACCTGGTCAAAGGTGAGGTGAGGAGGAACTTGAAAATTAATTTAAAGAAATGTGATACGAACCAACACTTTTCCGCATCGTATGGCTTAGATTTGAAAACGATGTGTAACTTTTGAAACCTCATCTTATATTAGTAAAAAAAAAAATAAACCTACTACAAAAGGAATAAGCCATTTGAACATTATGTTCTAAAATCAAATCAAATAGCGCGCGCTTTCGCGACTTCCTGTTACACACTTCCGTCCTCTTTCACGAAATCACTCCCACAAATTGCAGGAAAGCGAGAGGAAAGATGTTACACATCAAAAAGAGTACTAAATTCGAAACTAAGACCGGCTTAGGATTCCGGGACATGTTCTTAATAATTAGAAACTGGCTCCTACGCCATTATATACATGGCGTAGCTAATTATTGCCTTTCTTATTCATCGTGATACTACGTATGAGCCGACTGAGCACGCACGTAGGATGAGGCTGCAGGGCAACATATCTGATATTAAAAGTAAGTTTATTTTAGATTTACCTCACATAAATAAGGACGACTAGTGGTGCCGGTGGTACCTGGAACGGCGAGTTTTAGTTACTTAGCTGTTTGGGAAAGACCTGACGGTATCATTAATACTAACGGTAGTTGTAACGAGGATATGTGAAGACTCCTCCCCGCTCATTTCACCTATTTCTAGGGCTCGATGAAAGGAACAGAGCCCTATCTCTTAAAACAGAAAATACTTCAGCCCGGACACCCCACACGCAGTCTTTAGGAACTAGGTCACCAGAATGCATGCCGAAAGAGTGTGTGAGATCGTGGCGCCCGATCAGTAATAGCGTGCCTAGGGCCGAAGTCGGGAAAGTTTGGCTTTTTAGCTTATATGAAGGTTCTACCACTGCCGTTAGGACTGGCCTGCGGCCACGGATGCGACTACGTACCCGGCGGGGGCGAGTTGTGGTTTTTAGTGGATAGGTGGATCCCGAACAGCCACTCAGACAGCCTATGGAACTGGCGGGATTTGGGGGAAGAGGAGGGGAGTCCCAGCATAACATCTTTGCTTGCATTGTTCTAACAAAAAAAAAGTGGTGGCACATACCTGGAGGAGGTGAGTTATTGTCGTGCCGGGTAGAATGGTGGCTAGGTTTAACGGGAGTGCCATTGAGCCGGTTCTATAGACTGGATGAGCCGGCTTTGGGGGGAGAAAGAGTCCTACTTGTGTGTCTCTACTGGTATTGTCTTAACAAAAAGAGGGGCGTTACATACCTAGTGGAGGCGAGTTGTGGTCGTGGTAGACTGGTAGTATGAGGGCTAGATTTTTATTGGGGAATAGTGTGATAGCTAGGTTTTTAGTGGGTTTAGCCTCATCTCGAACAGTCACTGAGCCGGTTCCATAGGCTGGCTGAGTGTTTGGGTGGGATTTGCGGGGAGGATGAGTTCCTATTAATGCTGCCCAGGTATCCTTGTCTCTCGCAGTGTCCTAGCAAAAAAAGGCGGTACATACCCGGTGGAGGCGAGTAGGTCGCGCTTTGTGGTTTTCGTTCATCTTTCTTCACGTTACTTTGGAGTCAGGCTAATTGGTGCGCGTTATAAATGTTTATTATACCCGGCGGGGGCGAGTTGTGGTCGTGCTGGTAGTGTGGGGGTGGGTAGGCGTGGGGCTGGCGGTAGGGCAGCTCGTAGCGCCCGTAGCCCACGAACCCACCCTTGCACAGCTCCCCCTCCGCCTCGCACGCGCCCGTGTCGGCTACCAGGCCGCCGCCGCCGTAACCCATCGGCGTCAGGGGGCTGGGGAACCAAAAATAATAGCAGTTAGCTGGACCATCTTCAGGAAACGCTAAAGCTATCTTTAATATTAGGATAATTTGCACCAAAATTCTAATATTCAATTTTAAAATAAGACTTTTCAACAAATCATTTTCAGGTCAAACGTTTCATATCAAAAAGATATAGAATTAGACATAACAACGATTAGTTTTTAAATTGAATATAAGTTTTGTGCCTTATATTATAGTGATTTAGTCAGAGCTGGCATGATCGAATTGATCAATCTAAATATTTAAAGGACTAAAAAATAACAGTTCATTCTACTTGATATTATAAAAATGACAGTTTTCACGTTAGATACTCAATCACACATCAAAATGGACCAAATTTGTTTTCTGAGTTTATTTTCCGGTAATGTAAAGAAAATGTCTGTGGAACCTAACCTGAGTGACATTGGCGGGATAGTTAACAAAAACTAACACGAACAAGCTGTTTTGTAGGTAACAAGGAGCCATATTAACCTGTAAGTGTCGACGTTGAGCGGCGGCTGGTAGGGCGGGTGCGCGGGCGCGGGCGCGGAGACGGGCGCGGGTGCGTGCGCGGGCGCGTGCTGCGGCGCGTGGGAGAGCGCGGGCGCGGCGTACGCGCACTCCGGGCTGCGACGCTGCGAGCGGATCTTCTCCTCGCGCCGCCACTTCGCGCGACGATTCGAGAACCACACCTTAACGTCGGGTTAGGTTAAAAGAGAGGGGCGCCTACTGGTTTTAGTTAGGCGGTAAACTAAACTACAGCAGTTCAATCGTTTGATACTTTATCTATACATATAATAAAATGGTAGGAAAGTCAAAACTGTACATTGAATATTTTTTTAAAAGAACACTCGGGGTGTGACTACAATCGCTACCGAAATCAAAAATATAGATTTTAGAATTTTGGTCTGTTTGTCTGTATGTATGACCGGGATAAACTCAAAAAGTACTTCATGGATTTACTTTAAATTTTACACGAATATTATTAAGAAGTCGGGTCAATATATAGGCTACATATTATCACGCTATCACCTACGGGGAACGAGCAAGGAATCTTTATTTCTAATTAACTCCACGTGTATGAAGTCGCGGGCGGCCGCTAGTACTGTATACAGGGACGATTACATTAGTCTCAACGAAACTGAATCGACTTTTTATAAGACCAAATGGCAACTCTTTTGCATCGGACAAAAATTGATTACCTGAATCGGATCATAAATCTCGGCCATAGTAATTGGTAACCTATACACAAAAAGAAAACCTTCACCTGTTTCAGTATCGTTTCGTTTTGTTTGCTACGGTTTTGTTTACGGACGAGACCAGACGGGCGAGTCTAATGGTTCGGTAACATTCGGAAGCACTCGGAGTACAGAGAGTCGCTCGGTAAAAGTTCTATACCGCAACTATTCAGTGAGGAAGCTCTCATTTAATTATATGAACTCGGCAAAGAATCTGTACAGATTCAGTAAGGAAACGAAACGAGCCCACACCGACTTGGTGAAGAAGGTACCTTAGACTGACTTATTATCCTGTGCACAGTCGTATAACAGTTAGAGAAGTAAATAAATAAATAATATTTCCAACACACACCAATTAGCCTAGCTAAAAAATAAGCAGTGTAGGCTTGTGGTATGGGATACTAGGGTAACGGATAGAATACATATACTGATACATATGTAAGTATATTTTTATAGAAATACATATTAAACATCCATGAATGGAGTATAGATGCTCGTACTCATCACACAAACATCTGCCCACCGGGGTTCGAACCCGGGACCTCTCGAGTAGGCGACACCTTGAAACCCGGCGTACAAACTACTCAGCCTCGGAGGTCGTTAAAAGTGCGAATTAAGAGAGGAGGTGGGCAATGTATTTTCCATACAAACATTGATTTTCATAATTAATATTTATTTTCACTCATTCTATACTGTCTTCCTTTTTTCGATAACTTGTATTCAAATAAAAACCAAATATAATGAAATTTCCATCACTACTAAAGAAGTCTTGTGTCGAGATATAATAAGCATTTACAAAAAAAGCAAAACATACAGGCATAGTATAACTATTTATTATTTTTTGTGTAGAAATTTCTATTACATATATCTAATTTTCGAGGAGGAAATCGTCGAGAGCCAAACTTCGATTTTTGCAATTTTTATACGCAATTTTCAGCGTTAACTACTGTTGTCTCTATCGCACGGTATTTGCCAATGTGTGACAGCAATAGTTTTTTCAAATACCACTTTCTCAAATGTTTCTCAGCTCACGTCCGCTCTTAAGTGCCCGAGAAACACGTAATAAGAAACTGTTTTTGTCTTTTTATTTAAAGTAACAATTAGATGATGCTCACCTGTATTCTAGCCTCGGGGAGTCCTATTTTGGCAGCGAGTCGCTCCCGGGCGAAAACATCGGGATAGTGCGTCCTTTCAAATTCTAAAGACAAATTGTCAAATTAATATCTTAAGATTAAGTAGATACAGGTGTCGATTCTGGCGTGATTCTCTAAACTTAAAACTAAATTTAACATCAGTCTCTCCTTTTCATTCTGTATAGAGAATGATAAGGATGCACTGTTGTCAAATTTAAGTTTAGCTTTAGAGAATCATGCCAGAATCGACATCAATTACTACATTACTTTGATTATAATGTTGACGAGCATATGTTTTATCATCATCATCAGCGTTGTAGTTAAAGGAATATTTCTAAATCAGCATATCACTATATTGGTGACACTGACAACCAAGGCGAGACGAAGGCTATCTCAGGAAGGTATCGCATGACCAGAAATATGAAAACTCCATTTCAGTATACTCAGTTTTTTTAATGTAAACAGTATGGCAATGGAATATGCGAATCCAATTAGATAATTATTTCATCATCAGCCTATTAATGTCCCCACTGCTGGTGCACAGGCCTTCCCTATGGATGGAATAGGGAGATTGGGCCATGAATGACGCACCACGTGGACCCAGTGCGGATTGGTGGGTGCTAACGACCGCAGATGCAGCCGGGACCAACGGCTTAATGTGCCTTCCGAAGCACGGAGGAACTCGAGATAGAAGATTTTTGGTTACCCATCCAATGACCGACCATTGCGAAAGTTGCTTAACTTCATCGCTCGCAGGCGAACGCGCTAGCCACCGGCGCCATCGAGTTCCTTTAAAATACTAAATCTATCTAAATATACTGCGGTCTGTGCACACTATTTTTTTTTCTGTGATGTTATATAATTTAGGGGTAGATCCAAAAGTTTAGCTGACAAGGATTGTCTCGTCATGCCAGCAGCCGCTCCGCTAGAGCCGGCCTTCGAGTTGTCTACGGACCCCGTCTCGACAGAGTAGAAGCCTGACAAGAATTGTCTTGTCATCATGTTAGGAGACGGACTGACCTCTTTCAAGGCTGTCTATCTGGTCATTGGTGAAGCTGGTGCGGTTCCGTTGCAGCTTGCGTTTGAGCCGCAACCGCGCGGCATCGTCGTCCGCCCCGCTAGAGCCGGCGTTCGAGTTGTCACCGGACCCCGTCTCGTCGGAGTGCAGGCCTTCTAGGCCTTCCAGCGTCTCGTCTCCTGCAAAAAGCAGATTTTCATAAGCTTTATATAAAAGACTAGCTATTCGCCCCGGCTCTGCATGGGTGAAATTTATGAAATCATAGTTATTGGCAAATCTATGAAAGCACATACTACACGGTACATATGTTAATGGTATACAATAAATCGTGACTTCATTCATATAATATCCGTACTCCGTGGAACTATAGCTAATGTACTGTAAGAATGCACCGCTAGATATATTAAAAGTTTGCGACCTAATGCAGGGGGTGAGAATGGGGAGTGACTCTAATCATTAAGTCATCTTCTTACAGAAATAACAAGTCGACCAAAAATTATCACCACCCACAATATATCAGTTAACTTCATGATTTATAGGTGCCCACTGAAAGTTAGCAAAACTGTTTAACTGGAGAATAAAACCCTTCGTTGAATTTAGCGCCATGAATCAGGGTGCGAGTTGGATCTAGGGTTGCCAGATCAAGAAATCTTAAAATTGATGAAACGTTCCGATATTTTAAAATGTTGAAATTTTGGGGTTGTCAGGAGAATTAAAATTCAAAGGTTCCAATTCCGGTGGGGCGAATATTTGTATGAAATACGAACATTTCTTTTTTTTTTAAGCACACCAATTAGCCTAGCCCCAAAGTAAGCACTGGGTAACGTGTAATGGGATACTAGGGTAACGGATAGAATACATATACAGTACATATATAAGTATATTTATATAGGAATACATATTAAACATCCATGACTGGAGTACAAATGCTCGTATTCATCATACAAACATCTTACCCCGCCGGGATTCGAACCCAGGACCTCTCGAGTCGGCAACACGCCATGAAACTCGGCGCACAAACCACTTGGCCACGGAGGTCGTATATACCTGGCAAAACATACTTATATATATGTATAAAGATTTTCCGCTCTAGTTGGAGCGCCCTCTAGAGAAATACATAAGAAACTACACACCTAACCGGGCCGGCATGAATCGGCACAAACTCCACCTTATAGATAATAAGCAGTAAAATAACACTACCTTTTGGCGGTGTTGCGCTTCTGTCAGTAAGGTTCCAGAGCTCCACGGGAGGTAGGGGATTGGATCAGGGTTGGCAACGGCGCGAGTGATATTTTTGGTATCTCAAGCATTTAAAGGCTATGGTGGCCGCTTACCATCAGGTGGGCCATACGTCTGTTTTTACCACCCTTTTAACATAAAAAAATCTATCTGTTACCCTACTCCATTACACAAGCTTACAGTGTTTACTTTGGGGACTAGGCTAATTGGGTTGAGTGTTTTATTATTAATTAATATTTCGTCGGGAGTCTGTACAACATCATATTTACAGCGGAGTGTGCGGGTATGACTCCCGTCTGCTTTCTGGACCGCGTGGAATTTTTCCTAGTAAAATTTTCTTTAGAACATCACGATTTTTCAGGAGAATATTGCCGATTCTAGATCCGACCATCTCGCACCCCTGGTGGATCGCTCGAAATGCCAAAGTCGTACTCCGGATGCCACCCCACGTTGCCTGATATGCTGTTATCTTTCCACTCTGTATCTCTGCAATTCGCTATCACTCCAAAAGTTTAAGCGAGCTATCGTTGTGTGATAAGCTGCTGATCACACATAATATAGGTTCGGTATTTTCCTATAATTAAATCCATTAGCGATGTTATTCATACCATTACGACGTAGTTTTGGAAACGCGTGCATTTAAAGCTTAGTTTTCACTATTTTTATGTATTAAACTAAATATTTAACTTGCTTCATATCTAATCTATCTACTCTAATCAATCTATTAAAAGTTAACTTGCCATAAGTTTTTTAAGTACCTACGAGTGAGAACGCAATACCGATGTATTTTGTTGAAATTGTAGGTACTTATCTAATTTGTAAGTAAGTAAACTTAAATTTAAATCATAAGGATTCAAAAATCTAATTCTTTCTGGAAGGAGAAAGAATGTCACCAACTGAAACTCAAATTTAATAAATTATCCAGTTTAAATTTTTACAGGCACATAATTCTGATAAAGTCGAAAAACTAAATTAGGGTTGGAAATCTACGACGGAAGACTTATTACTGAGAAGAACTGGCACTGACTCAGCAAGGTCTGTTTTTTTCTGTCTGTTTTATTTCATACAGTGTCGAAAAATTTAAAATAAACTGATATAAAAATATTTATTATTTGTTAGTGGCCTTTCTCGTTGTTGAACGCAACCCCGATAGCTATTTAAAAACGAAGCAGGTACCTACGAATTATTTTTTAATTTAGTATATTATAGATTTTCATCATCAATATTTAAAACAGAGCACATGTTCCGTTTTCCACTCGAATTTTATTATTGCACGGCTCAATGGAATTTAATACGGGATAACTGAAATAAGCGAGAGGATAAAATAATTATAATACTGTTGCGGTTGTTGTATTTATCCGGTGCCCGCCCGCCCGGGTACCGCTGGGCGGCTACACTGCGGCGGCATCGACATGATACTTGATTACGCAAGCAGGCATTTCAAAAATGCGATTTTGCTCTTTCCTATTTTTAGAACTAGCTACTGAAATGGACTTTAATTGTTTGGTTAGGTAGCTATGGAGACATTTACAATATTATTTTGAGTTGTATAAATAGGCACAACCGTCTTGATACTTGATTATGCAATAGAAATTTCTGGTACTTATGCGCTGTTGTTCTTTACCACGCTTAAAACTATATTCTGTAAAGGACTTCTTGGTTAGGTAGCTATGGAGATATTTACGTATTTTTTGAATTGTAGAAATAGTCACAGCCTTCTCGATATTTGATTATGCAAATAGGAATTTCAGGTTTGCGTTGTTGCTCAATTCTGTGTTTCAAACTAAGTTCAGAAAAGGACTTATCTTGTATTGTTACGTAGGTATGGAGATATCTATTTTTTCATTTGCAACAATATTGTGCAACTCTCGAGAGTTTAAATTAAGATTTTAGTGGATAAGAATTTATTTTTACCATGTTGTAAGAGTATAAATCGTCTTTAAACTATTGAAAGTGCGCACTAAAATAAAGGTTTTCATATCTTATTTAGCCCGTAAAATATTATATTTATAATGCAAGGTAAAACTTTAAAAAGGCTTACACTGTGTTTGCTTCATCGCTGAGTAAGTATTTCAGCAGGTCCCAGGACCTTCCTACCAAAACGCGTATAAAATAGATGTACCCTCAAATCGCAATGGTTTAGAGTGCTAACGCAGGTTGCCACTCTCAACCATTGTGATTTGCTTACAATTCGATAAAAAGAACCGTGATAGCGACTCAGTCGCTTTGCGGTCGCACGTTGCTATTGCTTCCATCAGAGGCTTGCCGATTCGCCTTCTTCTCTCAAAAAGTTTGTATAATGGTCATTATAAATGTTATGTAAGTCAATGTTACCAGGAAAACTGTAATTAGCATAAGTATAACGAAAGTATTATTAATGTAACTAGAAATAAGACAATACTGTAGATAACCTGGAATAAATGTAGGTTTGTGCACATTATATCGAGTCGCAGCGGGGCGGTGCGGGCTGCAGCTTAGCGCAAAATTCTAATATTAGTGACGAGCCGGGTAGCAGCACGCGGCATGTATGCACTACAATCCGTGTCGCATCGCTCGCAACCTAAATCTACGGTGGAAAATGCGGCTCGCTACATACATAATTTGTTAGACGACCTCCGTGGCCGAGTGGTTTGTACGCCGGGTTTCATAGCTGTCGCCGACTCGAGAGGTCCCGGGTTCGAATCCCGGTGGGGGCAGATGTTTGTGTGATGAATACGAGCATTTGTACTCCAGTCATGGATGTTTAATATGTATTTATATAAATATACTTATATATGTACAGTATATGTATTCTATCCGTTACCCTAGCATCCCATAACACAAGTCTTATAGTGCTTACTTTGGGGCTAGGCTAATTGGTGTGAGTGTCGGAAATATAAAAAAAAAACATAATTTGTTACTATATACTATCTTTCGTCTATGAGGCATGTCGCGTGAACCACTATATCCTGTCTGTTGTGATGGCTTAATTCAGCCACCTAATCTATACAATTGATATATGTATATATCGATTGTGCTTCGTTTCGTTCGTTTGTCTCGCTTAAACTCAAGAACGACTTAGATGATTTAGTTTGGTTTTGAAATATTTGACGTTTCAGTCATTTTAGAGAAAGGAGAATTTTGATGTCGTTATGATAGGTGCTTAATACGAAATACACCGGGTCATCTCGTTGGAAATAAATAAAAGACAATTTAATGTATAAGAAAACAAAGATAACAAACTCCAAAATCTAAAAAACCAGCTGCAGGGAAGATAGTCCAAGAAAACCATTTCGCGTCCATAAAATAATGAATTACCCTAACACAATTTCCTCGAAGCAAACTCTAAGATAACGGGCGTCTTCGTATTAACATCTTAATTCGCGGAGTAACAACTGGCGAACTCTGCGAATAAATTAAGCTCAAGTGTCAAGATCTGTGTGCGGAGTACGCGCGGGTGGCGCGGCAGGCGCGGGGCGGTTGCGGGACGGGCGCGGGGCGGGTGCGGGGCGGGCGCGGGACGGGCGCGGAGCGGTGGGTGGCGTAACGGGCGCGTTCATGCAGAAACGGACGATAACGGCGGGCCTACCACGTAACCCGGTACGCTATCGCACTCTAAAAATGTATGCCCAATAATGGAGTGCTTTGACAACCGGCACTTTAGTTGTACGTATCTACCTGCCTGCACCGATAACCGATTAGGAATTAATTTGAAGGAAAATAATTTACTGTTCGTGTTTTTTGGCGGCTTTGCACTTTCATGGCTGTATGATAAGAATCGGTGTTGTGTTCGTCGTTAGACGTGAACGTGAATTTTTAGGGGTAGTTTTGAGATAAGTTAATAGTTCGTATGTACTTGGTGTGTGGGATGAATGATGTTGTTGATATATTTTCCATAGTTTTGCGGGAAAAGTAAAAAGGGTAACCTATTTTAATCAACACTAAAAAGGCACTCGATGGCACAAATATTTAGCACGTTCGGCTGCAAACGTTGAAGTTAAGGAACTTTCGCAGTGGTCGGTCATTGGATGGGTGGCCAAAAATTTACGATCTCAAGCTCCTTCGTGCTTCGGAAGGCACGTTAAGTCGTTAGGCCCGGCTGCATATGCAGTCGTTAACACCCCGCCCGCGTGGTGGGTCATGGCCCAATCTCCCTATTCCATCCATAGGGAAGGCCTGTGCCGCAGCAGTGGGGACATCAATAGGCTGATGATGATGATGATGATAAAGGCACTTGTTGTTAAGTTACAGTTCTTTAGATTGATCACCTTTATTTATTTACATTGAAATCTTTTACATTTAACTTTTCTTTCTTTGTTTCTTCTTTCTAAAAAAACAAAATTACGTCCTTAAATATTATATCTGTTCTGTAGATTATATTATAAACTTTAAAAACAGTGACGCTATTTCCTTGCACTTTGTTGTAGACTAGTTTTTTGTTTCCAGGATTATGTTAAACATACCTCTATGCACTGATGGTGAAAACCATACGAGAATCCGTTTAACAGTTTTTGAGATCAAAGGTGATATGGGGACTTTGTTTTATAATATGTAGTTATGAGCTAAACACAATCAATAGTGTTACCGTTAAATTTCTTGTGAATAAGTTTGTGTGAAATTATCTTTGTCAGTTTTGATGTGAATTCAATAATAATAGAGTTAGCGGACGTGAGGTAGATCAGGGAATAAATATATTAATAAATAAATATTTCCAACATTCACACCAATTAGCCTAGCCCCAAAGTAAGCACTATAAGGCTTGTGTTATGGGATACTAGGGTAACGGATAGAATACATAATATACTGTACATATATTAGTATATTTTTATAGAAATGCATATTAAACATCCATGTTTGGAGTACAAACCTCGTATTCATCACAAAAACATCTGCCCCCACCGGGATTTGAACCCGAGAGACCTCTCGAGTCGGTGACACCATGAAACCCGGCGTACAAACCACTCGGCCACGGAGATCGTCAACGTAAAAATAAAAAAATCACATAACTTGAGGTAAACAGATGTATGAAAGTATTTACAAGGAGTGAGACCGATAAGTAAAAGTTGACTTTGACTTTGAAACAAAGTAAAGCTATAAAAACCGAATTCATATTTTTAAGAAATATACACAAAGGAGGTCGGTTATCCACATTCTTAGTGATTTGAAAGATATACCGTTAACTGCAAACAGGAGAATTTTCACCTCCTCCCAGTTCTATAGTACCAATAAATCAATTGAAAAATTAAAAAAAAGGTCGCCTCAAAATTTGTGTGCACAATTTAGAATGTAATGTTTCGTAGCATACAATAAATGACGTAGCAAATGTAACTACGTAACTTCTACGAAGTAGCTACGATAATGTTAATATTTTGATTTTTTAAACTGGAAGATGCATGTTTAAATATTGAATCGTAGAACAGACTTTTGTTTTCTTTCTATTTTTACTATATTTTTAGTAGACCGTGTATTTGATCTATACTAAATTTTTTTTTTATAATCTTCAAGATCTTCAAGTGGATATGTAACTAATTATATATTTACTATTTCTATGATATTGTGTGAAAGATATATCAAACCTAAATGGTTTTCTTGGAGGATCACTTAGTTATAACCTTTGAATTGATAAATAAGGAATTTTTTTTTTAATATTTTTGTGTCAATTTAATGATATGAAGAATCAAACGATTGTGTTTTGTCTATAAATATAATAATATACAAAAATAGGCGTTCCCCCGCAGGCGCGAAAGTTTACGATCTATGTTCCCCTCCTGAAGTGTTTTTACAGCACCTCCCGATCTCCCATAAAGAGTTTAGTTTCAGTGCTATATTTCATAAAATATCATACTTTTTGCACAGTATACGACCTACGACCTAGAGGTATATATTGTTCCGGGTTTAATGTAAAAGAAATTATGACTATATTTTTTCATTTTTAAGCATGTAATTGCTAGATGTTAAAATCTTCTTTCAAATGTTCAATAATTGTAAAGGTATTCATTTGACATTGTGGGTTACCTACAATACAAAAAGATGAGGCTGCCGTGCAGCTTAAGAAAGGCTAGAGAAAATTCGACACGGCCATCAGGGCCGCGGTAGAACAATTGTCAGTGCATTCGCTCGGATAGCGAAGGGTGCAGGTTCGAGTACCGTCTGCTGCCTGGTCCGCGTGTTTTTTTTGTAATATTTTTTTTTGGGATATGGCTATTTATAAAACAACATATAACTTTTATTGTTTCATTACAAAAAAATACGACAAAATGGCTATAATCGCATCAGGTGTGCATTATGTAGAGTGCAATTATAAAAATTAAATTACTTAAATTTACCATTTACAATTCAGAGGTAAAAACATATAAATGTACCCTTAGCACTCACCAATATCAAATTTCAATAGTTGAATTCGATCTTGATACGCGTCAAATGCCGAAAAGTTTTGTATGGATATTTGAACAGCGCCACAACGGACGTAACGAGGATCAAAACTATCCTTAGAGAACTTCTTGGCATTTGACACGTATCGACTTCGAATTCAACTATCCCTCCGATTTCGTCGCCCTAAGAGTACCCCGACGACGAAATCACCTGCGCCAACGCACTTCCGACTCCTCCCACACAGGCTACAAACACCAACACTACATAGCTAGCAAACTTGCACACTAGCTTAGCATTAGGCAGACACTGCACCCGTAGGATAAGAGTAAGAAGACACGGTATACACACGACACGCTATACCACGACAACGGCTAAGTAGAGCCTAGGTTCGAGTCTCAGAGACGCCCTCTAGTTGAGCCGACCCCCTCAGGTTCGAGTGGTCTAGAGCCTCCAGACGGAGATGAGACTTTCCCCGTGGGGAGATGCCATCCGCCTGGAATTCCTCTGGAGGCACTCGCCAATTCTCGGCTTGGGTCCCCTTAGGATCTAGCCGACTTTCTTCCGAAAATCTTTTATATGTATAAAAAATTAAAAGCTAATTATAAAGAAATCTGGCGCTCTTCTCTCTACCTACTCCAAGCAGGTCTCTGCGTGAAGATAGATACCTAAATAAAATTATATAGAAGTTATCAAAACTTCCATAGATTTAAATATGTATATATTAAAGTTAACAACCAAAAATAAAAAAAATAAGCCTCTTATTAGTTTCACGGTAAAAACACGAATCGAAATAATATTTTCATATTCGATAGCTAGCGTAGATACATCAGCTCCTGTCACCAGTCCACCACCGCAGAGAACATGACACCTCGAAATACAATCCTAAAATATTATCGCGATCATGTGACGCAGGAGCGAAACTTTACCGTCTTTATGTCAAGGGGATAAGGTTGAATTCGGTCTGTGCTGGAGTTTTGTGAATAGCAAAACATATTTTGTATCTGAAGCCCATCTGTCAGCGGCCCTGGGACATTAATGTTTCATGAAGGCTCGCAGATCCATATCAGATAATAGACATGTCTGCCTGTATATTTACCGTCACTCAAACTTTGTTCGGCCGATCCTGTGGTGATAATTCGCGAATTAATACCTCCCGTATATATGTGGATTCGGAAATGAAATGTAAAACTTGTTTATGTCGTAAAGTGTATTATGCGATGACAGTGTGCCGGAGAAAAATCCGGGAACAATCAGGGATATGGAAATTATTCGTAGCAGATTTAGTCAGTCAGACATGAACCTTAGATTCAGGACATAGATTTGCATTTACAAGTTTATAGTAATGATTTTTGTTATTTATAAGAATGCTACACGTCTTTAATAACTTGTTCCTCTCACTTGATGATCGGACGTCTGACAGCCGCTTATTCTCTTCAATTAAAGGTATATGCGGTCACTATGCTGAATTAGGAGTTAATGAATAAAAAAATTCGTGCTGATTCATGATTGAACTTCAGTTCAAAAAGTCATTCTCCTCTTCCTAAAAAGTGTTCAACATTACGGTCTCCCGTCTGAAAGGTTTTTTTTTAATTTGTTTTTGACGTTTCTGGTACGTTTTTGTGAGGGCTGTCGTGTTTTCAATTCTTTATTGTTGCGCATTACGCTGAACAAAGTTGACTACGTTCGATATTCATAAGTACTTAAATACGACTCCAGTATACAGTCTACTGATTAAACAATAAATACATCGAAAACATGAGTCAGATGATAAAAGTAAAACAAAAAGTTCTTTGGTTGCTTGTAAAATGACGGAATGGGTTCTCATACAGAAGCTATAGCACAAATAACAATTATAACGCTATGTTTTAAATGTAAGTCGATTACGTCGACGGATAAGTATATACCTACAACTCAGTCTAGTATTAACAAGAACGAAATCACAACTAAAGAAATTGCAACTAGAATAAAACAGGGAAAGAAACAAAAAATATTTTTTTTGCTTTTAAAATTACGAAGCTAAGCTCTGTTTCTCATAGAAGCACTAAAATTACAGCTGTAACATAGTTCTACTAGAAAATAGCTATACCCAAGATCTTTACACAAAACGGCTGATGAAGTGGATCTCCGCATCATCTGTTGGGCAGGACAACAAAAGCAAACATAAGGTGTAAAATTGTCATTATGTAGT